GAATTCTGTTGCTGCTTGTTGCGACGGCGACGACGGCGACGGTTGGCACGGGCACTTTTCCCGTTTTGCTGCTGGTTCGGGGAATGGTGAAGCTGCTGGCTGCAATCGTTAGGCTTGAATGCAACAGGTTGCGGTTGGGCCACGGCTTTCAACAGGTTTGGTTGCAAGGACTGCAATTTGATGGAAAAGATTTTGATTTTAGTAATTTTAAAATCTTTTAGAAATCATAGAGTCGCTAGAGTGCATTTTAATGCCCTAACAGAAACAAAAAGGAACATTTAAACTAAGTTTCTTGTGGAGTTCTTGCACAATTTCAGTCTTCACAGTAGTGTCGCAAATATTGTGACCGCCTACACTGTTAGTGCTTACCGAAAGCTCGCTCTCTTCGATTGCCCGAAGCTTGTGCTCTTAAGAGCATATGCCGGTGGAATCCAGACAGACAGATGGGCAGCTGGGGCGAAGCGGCAGTGGAAAGTTAGTGTAGAAATTGCAAATCAGGTGATGCCGAGCCGGGCGGAGCTTTTGCCGCGCATATGCTGGGCGCGCGCCGGTTTTTGTTGTGGTTGTGGCGTGATGACGACCCGTTAGCCGCTCTAACAGCAACTTGTGGCAATGCGAGCTTAACAGTGCAACACAGCTTGTGTTAACATAGGCGGCTGCTACACACACACACACAGACACACAGGCACACACAGCTCTTGCCCAAACACAAGCTGCTTTCTTATTCGCCGAGAAACTCGTACGATGTGCAGAATGATTCAACAAAAGGAGGGAAAATAAAATAAGTGGAATTGGTTGGCACGGAGTGACGAAGTCGGTTAAAGCTGCAAAAAATCTAGGGAAGCCGAAAGCGTCGTTAGAAAGAGAGTCAGAACAAGAGCGGTCAGCAACAAAGCAGAAAGCGAAAAAGAACAGAACAAAAATACCAACAGAATACACAGAGAGAAAAATCTACTGAATTAAGTAAACAAATAAAACTGAAAACTATTTAGAGAGATTTTAGAGCTTAAGGAATTCATATTAATAAGGTTGAAACTTTTTTGCTTTTCCCTTTTGTTCGTGTTTTGTTTTCGGATATTTGTTTACAAACAACTTTATTGTTTTGATAAACCAACTGTTTATCTATTTATCACAAATTGCTTTCACTACGACAGAGGTTCCCTCTAGGGAGACTAGTTTCTTCAAGTGTATTTTTGAGCTATCACCTAAATCGGCCGACTCGGGGAGCTTATCTTCTATTCGATCAAAAGGCCGTTGGCTTTACACGTCCATACAGGCACAGTCTGGGATTCTATGTTTATGTTTTGCTATTGCAATCGAAATAGGGGAGAAAGAGAGAGGCACAACCGGCATACAGGCACACATCGGACACACACACGCTGTGGACGCCTGTACCATTTGTTTGGCGAGATTAGGTGGCGTGATTCTCAAGTTCATTGAGGTATTAATTCCACTGCTCAGGAGATGCGCTATTCCACTGCTTCCTCATTCGGGGAATTGTCTGTAATCGGACCTTTCACATATCCTTTTACAGTCGTGGTTGCAGGAGCGTCATGGCTTATACCGATACCGATACCGATACCAAACGATCCATCTATACATTTATCATCAGGCCATATTGCCAAAGTTGCGTCATTGGAAAGGCAAACAAACACACACACATACACATAGAAATCAGCAAACATTAACCCGTCCTCCTCCCTTGTCGCTACAGGGCACGGGCACTTTACACTGTTTATTTATGCACTCGGTTCTATTTTCACAGTTATCGATTTAGGAGGGTCACCAAGTACACGTGTACGCGTCATCACCACCGCCCACTCTGGGCCAGTGACGACGCCAACACTTCAAGTTCATGGGCGAGGAGATAGGCCACAGTAGTGTGGATGCAAGACTGGGACATGGGGTGATTCCAAAAGAGGCGATAGCAGCGATAAGGCGCTGCCTACTCATACGACTGTGCACCTGGATCGGAAATGTTTGATCGCCGGTTGGACGCGTGTTCTTCAGGAAGCGCCATTATTGGCCGATAAAGATTAGCCAGACACTCGAAATTTTCCAATCACTCCTCGATTTGTGTTTTGGTTTTGTTGGGCGTGTGAGCTGTTTTTTATGGTTTTATTTTTGGGAGAGCTGCTTTATATGCAAAGTGATCGCGGACAGATAAGATACTTTCAACTACAATTAATTTAGTTTTTGTTTTCTGTATTCCAAGAATTAGAATTAGATTTATAAATTAATTATATTATTGTTCTTATATTTACGCAGGTTTTGATTTTATAACTTTTTAAAGCTATTTAAAAATTATGACAAAAATTGTCAAAATGCTTGTTTACTTTGATTTGGTTACAAAGAAATTAAGTTAAGGCACGCAACCGGGAAATGCTTTGAAAATTTGATCATTTACTCAAATTGGTTAGATTATTAATTCAGAAACATGCAAATATGCAAACTAGATTTAGAAGTTAATTAGGCACAAAAAAATAAACTAACTCAATTTATTCATTATTAAAGGAAAATTGTATAGCTATTTATAATTTTCCATTTGAACTTTAATAAGCAAATATTCGAAAATAATTCAATTTTTAAGAATTTAATAGTTTATTTTTATCAAACAAAAAAACTAACTAACTTCCTTATTTAAATTTGTCTTACATTTTTATTTTAAAAATTTATTTTCAGTTTGAAATGTATAAAGTTTTTGAAAACTTTAAGAATTATAATTTTCTACCTTTATTTGTATAAATTATACAATCAAAACTCTTTACGCATACTTATTTACGTTCCCTGAAATTCTACCAAAAAATAGGAAAGCATTTTAGGTCATTTCAATAAACGTCACTTTCTAGCATTATCTAATGCGCATTTGAAAAAATTATTTCGTCTGTTATTTGGAGAAATCGAATCGAACTTTTGCTGCTTCAGGGAGACAGTTGGCACAATTGCCGAAAGGCGGAGGAAACCCTATAGGGAAGCCCCTCGTGGAGATCGCTCCTTGGCTCCTCGCCAGACAGACTCAACCCCTTCCCACCTCCGCTTGCCCAATTAGCGACCGCAGTAATTTGCGGTCTCCGGGAATAGTGGAATGTGGGGGAGGCGGATGTAACACTTTGGGGCTGGTTCAAGCCCAAAGGTCCTAAAGGTCACCAGCAGCCATGCACGGCAAGTGCTGAGCCCGAGCAAAGGCGAATTTCTGTGTAATTTATATTTTTAGCTGGCTTAGCGAACGATCAGATCACAATTTAATTTTTTTTTATCTAACCATTATTTTTCTCGATTGTCTATTTCACTATTTAGCTTCCACTTTCCAGGACGGTCTTCACCGAAGTATTCCCACTACTTCAAGTCCGGACTAATTTCGTTTTCATTTTCTGTCTCGTACATACACCACACATACACACACACACAAACGTTCTATTCCTGTGGCTGCCATGTTTTTTGTACATACCTAGAAATCAGGCGATTCCTCGACAGCTGTTTTGCGTAGCAACGGGCGTTGAAGGAGCGGCGCGGCGTGGGTAGCGGGTTCCTTGGGCAGTTGGTCCTCACTGACTTCCGAAACCGTTATAACCACTACGTAACTTAGCACTCTCAATATCCCAACAATTTTCACAGGCACTTTTCAAGCACTCTGTTTGGCTTAATGTTCTGCAAATACCGTTAGCTGTCGATTTTCTATTTTGCGCAAATTAATTTGCCACACACTTAGTATTTTTGAAAGCGGTAGCGTTTAAAAAATTCACAACGACGAGCTGCTGCGGCTGCTGCGACTGCGAACGGGAGATGCGAAATTATTAGTCTTGGAATCAGGTGAGCGCCGGCTTTTATATGTCGCCATCGGGCGTCGACGCCGGCAGAAAGCTTTGCGGCGCATGATGAAATAATATGAGGTGGTCTCGTCTGAACTGTTTGCTCTTGGAACTTTTTGCAGGCGAGACCACCTTATGCTTGTTTGATTATGACGGCGCAGAGCAAGAGCGAACAGCGGCGAGGGAGATGAAAGTTCCCGCTCTTTGCGCTCTTTAGCTTAACCTTTGCGAGGGTGTTTAGGGCTGTCTATATACGCTCTCAAAGAGTACTTAACATTTTGTTTTTTTTTGGTGGTTATGCTTACATCTAAAAACTTACCTTTGAACTTAAAACTATAAATAAATTTTGTTTAACAAAGCTGCTGGAGCATTTACTTTCCTTTCAGGATCATATGCATATGTATGAATGTATGTAAATGTATGTATTAATGATGATTAAAATTTGTGATACTGAAGTTATGACTTTAAACTCTCAGTATACGGAAACTTTTAGTTTTTAAAAATAATTTAATAATGTATGTTTTTAATGATTATGTTTATATATTTTCCTACCATAATGTTGATTTATCGAAGGGAATGTAAACTTCGGCTTTCTTAATTTCTCCTGTTTTTAGCAAGCTTCCTCGATCTTACTGTTATATTGTTGCTGTTATTGGCGTCGGCGGGTGCTGTAAGCCACGGTTGTTGTTGGCCTCTGTGCTTAATTTCGCATTAACAGCGATAAGCGTGTCAGCTGTTGTGTGCGTGACAGAGATGTACAAATTTTGATTTGCCCGCCAAAGTCGGACCACTTTTTTCCTCGATTATTAATCGTCGTCTGGGCAAGATCTCAGTCGCGATTGTGTATGGGAATCATTATCAATTGTGGAAAGGTACACACAGAAGTCGGTTTTAGCGGGTCAATAAAGCCAAAAAAGCCAGCCGGAGCGATCGGATCGCCGCCTCGAAACATGATTCATCGAAGAAATCATGCGAGTGCCACGCGAGTATAATTTGCGACTAAAAACTCAAAATACAGGCGAACTTCTTTAACTGAAATTAATCTGGGCTATCATTAAGTTAAGATTTCTATTTAATAGATTTTTTTAACTACTACAAGCGAGTAAAATGTTTAAATGAAATATAAAATAAATATGTATCTTCAATTTGCAAAATTTCAAATTAGTGAAGTTCGACTGTATCTAAATAAACTACTAGTGCTTAAACAATCCGTGCCAGATTGCTACATGTATTCGTATAAGTAGAGGGTATACCTTATAAGCTAAAAAATAAATCATCAACATTATCGTATTTATATAGCTACAAACTATATATATTCCATTAGGGACGCTTCCTCAGCACGCGTTCGATGATCTGAAGAGTGTGCGGCTCCTTGAGGAAGGTCCTGTGTGTGCCCTCCACCACATGCATATCGATCTGGGCACTGCAGATCTATAGATTATGGAATCTGAGTTTATTTCTGCACCCTATATTGGGATTAAGATCATCTCACCTCCTTTAGGCCATAATCTTGTGCCATTATGGCATTGTGCTCGGCAGATTTGATAAGGACCACATCACTGTGAAGCTGCTGGGCGCCCTTATAACTCTCGGAAAGCATTAGCTTTTGCTTAAACATGCAGGCGGCTTTCTTGATCTATTTGAATAAATATTTATAGCTCAGGATATAATGATTCAAATTTATAAAATTAACTAAAAGCTCACCCTTTCTTTGGTTTGATTCGTGTGAGTGGCCAGAGTGTCGGCCAGCTTGTCCAGCTTCGAGGTCCACGTCTGAACGCCATCGAGGAGGTTCAGCAGCTATCGGAAGAAAGCCAGGATCATCATCATCACAAAGCTAAAGGGGAAGTTAAACTCAAAGTCCCACCTGGTTGTAGTCCACATCGGCGAGCAGGGCACCAAAGTATGCCAGCGTCATGGATTGCTGCCGATTGAGGTCGTCTGTCTGCTTCTTGGCCTCCTGGACGTAACCACTGGCCATGGTTGGCGCTCCGTCCAGCATGATTACCTTGACCCCAAATCGGCGCTGCTCCAAGGCCACGCCGATGGCATGGGCCAGTAGACAGCCATAGGAGTAGCCGACAATGTTGTAGGGACCACGGGGCTGGAGCCTCTGTATCTGGAGGAGATAGTATGCGGCACAGGCCTCGATAGAGTCGAGGGGCACCTGCTCGGTGCACTGCAGACCGTAGGCGGGGCAGGTGAGCGAGGCGGCCAGCGCCTCTACGGCTATGGTGAAGCCCTCGATGGGCGCCAGGAAAAAGACGGCCGGATCCTTGCTGGACACCGGCGCCTTCGACCGGAGGCGAACCATCACCTCCTGGGGTAATACTTCCTCGGCAAATACCTTGCGCGTCTCGTCACTCTGCGCCTGCACCTGCACTTGCGGCTCCTCCCTAGCGGCAGATGGGTCTGGCGAAGACGCAGAGGAGGTGGATGCAGTGGCTCCCGGTTCCTGGGCGTCAATCTGCCGCAGAGCACTGAAGGTCAGCGCTCGGATCTCCTGGGCACTTAGCACCAGATCAAAATGACGCTCCAGGGTCTGTTTAATTTCCGTGCTCATCAGGGAATCCATTCCCAAGTCGAATAGCGTTGTCTTGTCTGAGACACTCTTCACATCCCGCAGACCCATGATGTTCGCTATGGTAGCTATCAGGCTCAGGCGATTCGACTGATCCCCTGTCTTCCGCTTCTCGGCCACCACCATGGAGGCCATGACGGGATGCGGTTGCTGCAGGAAGAGATCCAGCGTCTCCAGACAGCTGTTCATCCGCTGCGGCAGGGTGCCACCCACAACAGTTTCATTGTTACCCAAGTTCTCCATGATGAGGCCGGTGTCACCGATGGCTCCCCACTGTATGGCCATGCCCGGATAGCCATCCACCTGTCGCTGCTCGCAGATACGTTCCATGGTAGAGTTGGCCAGTCCATAGTTGGTCTGACCCATGTTTCCACGGCCGCAAGACAGGCTGGAGAAGCACACAAAGTACTCCAGAGCGGGACAGATGTCGCGTGAGATTCGATCCAGGTGCTTGGTGGCCAGCAGTTTGGGCGCTGTCACCTTCTCGAAGTCTTTCGGGCTTTGATCCTCTATAAGGCCATCCCGCAGCACTGCAGCCAAGTTGAAGATGCCTCCGACCAGGGCCAACTTATTGCTCACTTCCAGTAACTTCCGAGAACCCGTCGCTGTGGTCACGTCATTGGTATCGATCAGGACCTGGACACCGCGATCGTGCCAGCGACGAACCATCAAAGCTTGATAGCCACTCTTTAGCCCGGAACGTGAACTCAAAACCAAGAAGCGGGCTCCCCGGGAGACCAACCAGTTGGCCAGCTCCAAACCGAATCCTCCCAGACCGCCCACAAGGATATAGCTCTTTTCCGGATGCATGTACGAGCGTGGAATTGCCTGGATCTGGCGGAGACGCGGCTGAGCTGTTTGCTGCTCCTCCTCCAGGCGCACCTTGATCACAACCTTGCCAATGTGTTTGCCTGAGGCCATAAACCGGAAGGCTTTCTCGATCTCCTGATCCGCAAAGACCGTAGTGGGCAACGGCAGCACAGCTCCGCTCTTGATACCGTCCGACACCAACTTGGCCACCATGAGCTGCATCTCCTCCTCGCCTTCCATCACACTGTCCAGGAGAATGCCGTGGAAGGAGGTGTTCTTAAGGAACACAGACATACCTAATGCTGTGTTGTTACTCAGATCGAACTTGCCAATCTCCAGGAAGCGTCCATTCAGGGCCAGACAGCGGATGGAGGCCTGAAGCTTCTCCTCGGATAGGGAATTGAGCACTAGTTCCACTCCCTCGCCATGGGTTTCGTTCATGATCAGCTGCTCGAAGGATGTGTCTCGGGAGTTGCCAATATGATTGGCCTGCAGCTTGGGGAACCGCTTCAGCAGAAATTCACGCTTCTCCTTGCTTCCGACGGTGGTGAAGACGGTCAGACCATGCGACAGAGCCACCGAGATGGCTGCCTGACCCACACCGCCAGAGCCGGCGTGAATGAGTATCTTCTCACCCTTCTTCATCTGGCCTCGCACCACCAAGGCGTAGTAGACAGTGGCATAGACACATGGTACTGTGGAAGCCTGCTCCATGGTCCACTTGTCGGGGATTTCCCACAGCAGATTCTTGTTGGCCAAGCAATTAGTGGCCAGCGACTTGGCAGTAACCATGGCCATTATGCGCCGCCCGCGAGAGTCTCTGCCAGAAAACTCTAGTCCCAGAACACAATCCTGATAGGCCAAGTCGCCGGGCAAGGCATCCACTCCTAGCTTACCCGAGGCTAACATAACATCCCGGAAGTTAAGAGGAGCATAGTATACCGTGCAGGGCTCCAGATGGGACTGCGTGGGACTCGAACGCGGACTCTCGATCCAGCGGAGCGAGGAGAGATCGCCCTTGACCAGAGTGTTCACATAGGCTTGCTCTACGGGCAACATAGGTGCTTGGGATTCCATTTTCAGATGACGATAGCTACCCCAGTTGCCGTTCTTATACACATTAATGGCCAGATCCTTGGCCACCTGACTTGCGTAGAAGGATTCCTCCAGGGAAAATTTGGGTAGACCTTCATCTAGGATGAGATAAAGCCGGACATTGTTTCCTCCGGCCTCCCTCTTAAGGCAATTCATCAAGCCCAATGCACCAGAGTCCGGCTCCCCTTGGGCCACCAAGTAGACGATTCTCTTCTCAGCTTGTGCCTTGACCATCGAGTTTTTTAGTTCGCTGACCCATTTGAACTGTTTGTTGCTTAGCTGCACTATGAGGTGTTGATTAGGACTTTCAGGCTTCCTGGCCAAAACAAGCACACGATCTGATCCAAAGAACTGTTCCAAAACGGGCACTAATTGAAGTTTACCTAGTTTCAATTTTCCTACTTGTGTGTAGGTGCTTCCTGATTCCTCTAAGAGCAGGAATCCCGCCTCCGGTTTTAGGCTATCAAGGCAATGCTGCAGATCCTTGAGAGAGTTCTTCGATAAAAGGTCTAGGGAGTGGACAAAATGGCACTGCTGCTCCACGGCACCAGCTGATAGATCCTTGGCCATCACTCTAATGCCATGTTCCTTGAGCTGCTCACTGAGTTCTGATTCAATGGCTGAGGTGGAGGTGACCACCGCCAGATCACCTACCAGGATAGGTTCCCTCTCAATCAGTTTAAGAAGCTGCACGGCACTCAGGGTTTCCAGAGTGGAGCGACTTCCAGCCAGTTCCACGGCCTTGATCTTCACAGCTCCACCGCTATTCTCGATGATGACCTGAATGGCCACAGCCAAGGCCGAACTCCTCGATCTAAGCTGATCCTCCCGCTGACTTAGATGCTGCACATAGGGCCAGAATCGATAGCGTTCCACACTGGGTGCAGATTGGCCGCCCGATCGCCTCTGTGTCTGTGCGGTCTTCATCTTGTGGATTTCCACACCACCGCACTTGACCACCGATATATTGCTGTGCCAGTTGACCAGCAGCTTTTCCTGGTGCTTTTTCGCCAGCTCCAAGTGCTTCAGAGGATCAATTAGAGCCCGTTCAATACCAGTGGGCACGTAGAGTTCTCTTATGTCTTTACTCAAGATCCGGAACTGCAGCATTGTGTCCATGAAGCTGATCCAGTTGTCAGCCCACTGCAGGCGACCCGTAACCGCCGCTATGTCAGACTCTAGGATGCCCTGGAAAACACCACTATAGTCATATCCCCTCAGTCTCAGCTCTTTGTAAATATCCTTGGTGCTTAGCCGGCGGGAGCCTGCAATACCCGGAAGTGAAGGCAGCTGCAGCTGCTCCTGCTGCACATTGCTTACCACCAGCTGGATCTTTCCGGAAGCCACCAGGCTGCTGCCCTCGCAGATCTCAAAACAGCTGCTTCCCGGGAAAAAGTTGAGCGTTAGCTTGACCACTGTTCCCACTCCAAGAATGGTGGCCCGATGGAAGACGATATTCTTGAAGAGAACGGGAGTGCGCAGATAGTCCAATCCCTGCTGCTGGGCGAGACTCATCCAGGCGAGCGTCATGTAGCCCGTGGCCGGAAATAGGATCCTGCCATCGATAGTGTGTCCCGCCAGGAAGGCGTTCTCCTCCTTGCTCAGGTCCAGCTCTACACTCAACTGGCTAGCCTGTCGTCCACCTTTGAACTTGGGATAGTTCCACTTCTGTGAGTGATCCCACCCAATCGACGAACCCAACATGGGTGTGCCCCGTGAGACAGGATAAGATACGTACGGGGAGATCTTTAAAATTTGTGGCTGTCCACCGGCTGCGAAGAGTCGTCCAATCTGGCTGAGCAGGAATTCAAAATTGTTGGTATGACCGCGCTGCATGAGACTCACATAGCTGATCTGGGGACTCAGCGAGCGGAGAATTGCCCGGAAGAGACCATGCGGTGCAATCTCTACAATGAGAGCATTCTCTGGGATCTTCTTGATGGCCTGCTGGAAGAGCACGGGTGAGATCAGGTTATTTATAAAGTAGCCAGCAGATGCCAAGTGATTTTTCTCTGTGTCCCATTCTGATTCTTGGACACTGGTGCTTAGCCATCGTGGTGTCTTTTCCTTGGGCTTGGGGATCAGTTTCTCTAGATTTCGCCTTAGCATGGGAGCTGCTCCCTCAATGTACGGACTGTGGAAAGCATAGCCTCCAGAGCCCACTTCCCGCACAAAGATCCCCTCAGCCGTGAGCTTCTCGATGGCGGCATCCATGGAGGCTGCTGGACCCGAAACTGTGCAGTTATCATCGCTGTTGTGGCACACCGGATAGCAATCCTTGGGGATGTGGGCACCAATCTCCTCCCAGCTGAGACCCACTGCAGCCATTTTGCCTCGGGGCAAGCCGGGAGTGTCCAGAACACTTTTTCCACGCCAATAAGCGGCCAACACTGTTTGCTCTGCCGTCAGGCATCCATCCATATAGGCCGCTCCCAACTCTCCAGCCGAGTGGCCAATGATGCCATCTGGTCGGATGTCTAGCGTACGGAGAAGATCCGTGAGAGCCACCTGAACGGCGGATACGGAGACAAAGGAGTACAGCATGTTGTCAAAGGTGCGTTCCGTGGAACGGGTCAGGACGTCTATTAAATCAAAGTCCACCTTGGCCAGGACCTGTAAACAGTTAGGAGAGCGTTTGGTACTATATAGTTACAACAGTTTAATTTGCCATGAAAGTAATCTATACATCTTTAGGAATAAATACGAATGTAAATTTGTGTATGTCAAGTAATTAAAATGAAATTTATATGGGATTTAAATGGAATCAAGACTGTCAAAACATAATCCGGTCAATAAAGATTAAATAAAGTTCTGCTTAAAGCTCATTTTACTAACTAATTTATCATTATTTCGTAATTTACAACTACATAATTATTGGCGATCATGTAACATTGAATTTTAGTGACCTTTTAAAAAGAATTATTTTATAATGTAATTCGCCGTCATATAATAATAATTGTATTACGAAGACTTTCAGCCAGCTGGTTCACTATTCAAAACCAACATTTGTAGTTAGTTTTTCTCAAATGTTAAATGTATTATTTATGGCCCACGTCGAAACATGGGCACTACGAAAAAATTATTTTAGACTCATTAGAGTGCTCCTCTCCACGGAAATCTTTAGTAAAAGGCGAAAGATTTATTCGACAACTGAAGAGAAGCCAGAGTGATTTTCAATTCCGAAACAAGAGCCTCTCTACTCGTTTCATGCTAAAAGTGGTTGCGAATTATAGTGAAATGCAAGAGGGAAAAGAAGGCACCCTAAGATAGGCAACATATCTAGGTAGATAAGGATTGTGTTCAGGTAAAAGAAAATAACACTTATGTACATATGTATGTAGGATAAGGGGAGGAATTATTTCTTCTATGTACATAGCTGCTGATATTGTAAGAATGGCGTAATGAGTAGAAGCATATAAAATATATAAACATGATTCCAAAACCTTTTATTATATAATTATATTGTATACGTCCTAGCAACAAAGACATATTTAAATATTATAGAAAAATAATTCCAAACCGAACTTACCTCGGCACAATGTTCTATGGACTTTCGAAACGCCTCCAGCTGCATGAGATCCCTGGCCATGCTGGGCCACTGGCTTCCCATGCCGGCATAAACAAACCATATCGGTCGCTCCTCCTCCTCGAAGGGCAGCACTTCCTGCTTGACAGCACCGCTGGAGCCCAGGACGGCGTATCCCCTGAACGGGTGCAGGGGAATTGGATGAGCGTGGATGTCGTTGATAAGGGTTAGCAGCTCCTGATCTTGGCAATGTTCGGTGGCCACATTCAGTAGCTTCTGCACAGCCTCCTCAGTACGTCCGGAGCAGGTGACCAATCTAAGAGAGTGCTTCGCCTCCACTGCTTTGGAGGATGCCTTGGGTGGCTTGGATTTTGCATGCGACCGGAGTACGACATGGGCATTGGCTCCGCCAAAACCAAACGAGTTCAAGCCCACAATGCCACCCTGCCAGGGCAGATTCCGATCCACGACCTTAAGCCGTCCGTCGACCAAAGCTTGTACCGCAGGATTCGGGGTGCGGTAGTGCAGATTCTTAGGTATCACACCCTCCTCCATGGCGATGATCATCTTGGCCAGAGCACTGACACCCGACGCCGGCTCGGCATGGCCCATATTGGACTTGACGGATCCAATGAGAAGGGGACTTGGTCGCGAGGGGCGGCAGAAGAAATTGCTCAGCATATTGGCCTCCTGGTCATCGCCCACTGGTGTGCCACTGCCATGCGCCTCCACGTAAATTACCTCGTCCGGATTCAGTCCGATTTCGCTGTAGGTCTCCTCCAGCAACGTATGTTGCATGCGTCCGTCCGGAAAGGTTACGCCCTGCTCCTTGAAGCCATCCGTATTGGTGCGCACATTCAGGATGCTGGCATAGACCCTCTTGGCCTCCTTCCTCCGCTGGAGGAGGACCACGGCACATGTATCCGCTCGGGCATAGCCATTGGCAGCCGCATCGAAAGTCTTGCAGGCGCCATCATGGCTCACAATGCCCAGACGGAGGAATTGAAGGGCAAAGATCGGTTTCAGAATGAGATTCACGCCCGCCACCAAGGCGTAGTCACAGCGTCCCGCCCTCATGTCCGCAAAAGCATGATTCAGCGCCACCAGGGAACTAGAGCACGCGGTGTCCACTATGAAGCTGGGACCCTTAAAGTCGAACGTGTACGAGATTCGATTGGCGAACATGGCCCGCGCACATCCCGTCAAGCAGTAGCCATTGATTGTGCTCGGCTCCATATTGGGTATTTCGTGCTCCGTTTCCACAAAGGAGAGCCCTATATAGACACCGGTCCGACTACCGCGCAGCTGGACGGGATTGATGCCTGCATCGATGATGGCCTCGTGGGTTAGCTCGAGCAGCATTCGCATGCAGGGATCCATGAGCTCTGCCTGCTTCTGATGGACACTGAAGAATTTGTCATCGAACTTCTCCAAATCGGAGTCCTTCATTTTGGCCATGCGCTCGGGAAGGCCATAGATGCCTTAAGAAATCAAAGAATGGGTTATGGAGAAAATACTTTATAATATTTAAACGAAATATTTAAATTATAACAGGGCTATTTTTATCAATGTTTGGCTAATCATGAGTCTTTTTTAAAGCTTGGCACTTTAGGAAAGAGATTCCCCATACGATCTCGGATCACATAAGAGCCTTAAGGAAAGCCACTTATGAACAGCTGAAACCAGTTTTTAAATTTATTCTTAATGGCCCGGCGGTAAACCAGCCAGGCACTTCAAAAAATTGCCTCGGATACTTGAATGTCTTTACTTATGTTTCATTTTGGTTTTTCAAATTGGTGCAAAACAATTCCATCGCCGAAGCGAAGTTCAAGACATTGACTTAACCCTCGAAAACAAGGAACTCTCTGTGCAAAGTTTACGATAACAAGTTGGGAATTATATGGTCGATCAAGCGGAGACTCAAGACGAGGCAGAAGCTCCTCAAGAGTAGGGAATGGAGGGAGGATCGCCATATGGCATGGGGGATGTTTGTTTGAATGACTCAATTGCATTGATTTCGCTTTTTGTAGCTGAGGGAAGACTTTGGCCCGGCATTTGAGCTTCAAAATAACGTCTTGTTGTTGTAGTTTTGATTCTTACTATTCTTTAGCATAGTGTGTGTAAAAGACATGGGATTACTTACCCGCCTCCCAGCGCCTGGGATCATCTGTGACCATGTCTATACCATTGAGCAGGTTGTACTTGAACTCCTCGATGTTACTGCTCTCCGGCAGTTTGCCGGAGATACCAGAGATCACAATATCTCCATCCTCGCCAGCTGGGGGCTCTGCCTGCGGGTTCTTCTTACTGGGCATCCTGCTGGTTAAGTCTCTGGTTTGGGTTCAAGGCGCCCAACTATGCGGATATCTATCAAAATTATACAAATATTTTTGGGGTAAATAAACGGCAAACAGAATTGTAACTTAAACATTTTATAAAATATTAGATACGATTTTAAAATACTGGTTTAATAACAGAAATATGATATCAATTTATAAAGGAATAATAAATATGGCTTATTCTTCAATATTTTTATCAAGCAGGCATGTAAATTAGTGTAGTTTATAGATTGGTTTGTAACATCATGTCGAAAATCAATCATAACTAAGTAAAAAATGTATTAATTTCAATTCGGAACGTAGAGCTGTGTTAGTTTTTGTTCAGTTAATAAATCTGCATACCAAGTTTACAAATTTTTAAATATTAAAATTTTATTGAATTTTAAAACATTTTAACGATGTAATCCTTTATAAAATTTTCAAAATTTTAAAACTATTTTGATGAATTTTGATGAATAAAATATATATATAATTTATGGGGTCGGAAATGACTCCTTCACTAAGTTTTAAGCTTCTGACTGAAATTTTAATACCCTGTAAACAGTATGCCTATACAAATATCTATGATAATTAATAGGATTTCAAAATGTAACATTTAATGATATGTTCTAAATAATGTTCCTAAAATAAAAGTGTTTAGGATTCGTATAATATTTGTAAGATTGCAAATCCAGATAAATATATATTCTAACAATTCATATTAAAATGTATAATTTAATCTCAATACTCTCTGTTAGTTAATTTAACCTTCACATTTGTTAGAGGATTTTAAACAAATTAAATCGATTTCATTGCTGTAGGTTATCATTATGCTTAGGTTTCAAAAGATTCCATAATAAAATAAAGTTTATTGATTACAATTCAGATTTATAATAATATTTTAGGAGCCGCAACTTGAATTTAAGATTTAAAGAATTTAATATTTTCGAATGATTAAAACATGGGAAATTCATTTCCGAAGAAATAATTAATCACTTAAAAGATATTAGAACTGAAGAGGATTGTTTTGTTGCTGTAGAGTTTTTGCAACTTGAGGGGCAAATGAGTAATATAATCACTAAATCTAAGATTCATAGATAAGGCCCATAGAAAATTCATGAGTAAGCACTTCATGGCAATTGATTCAAAAATTTTCATAGCTCTCGGATTTTATGCGAATATTGTCGCTTTGCGTAGTGATAAGAGACCGCTGCAGCAGCAGTCACCTTTCCTCCTCCTATCACCACTAAATGTGTGCACCGATCGTACGACTTGCCCACTCGGCAGATTCCGTTCTCCGGGCAGCAGAGCAGAGCAGGGCAAGGGTGCGGGTCACAGCACTGGGTTTCCTGTTGCCAGGTCACGGGAGCTGTCGGCTCTCGAGATTACAGTCGTCCAGCGCTTGAGTGCGTGCACTGCACCTGGGGGATAGGGATAGCGCCCCCGATAAGTACTTGCCTGAATATTATTATTTTTATTATTATTCCCGAAAAAAGCACTCGCATAATCGACTATGGCGCGTGCCACGAACACAGAAGTGTCTGCTGGGTTCAAAAGGGGCCTCGATCGCAGATTTCGAGTCTGCGAATTTTGAGATTGGTGGAATACTAAGTGTGTTTCATTATTTAATGTTCCAGAGATTAAATAATACTTGAATTGATGTTTCAGAAATATAGCTATAATCCCTATATATTGTATTGACTCTTAGAGTGAAATACTTGAATCGTTTATTTGATTTATAATTGTTAAATACTTGATTTGTTTTGTTACAAAACAAATCAAATTTAAAGACAACACTCCAGTATCTAAAATATATTCATAAAAGTAAAATAAAGAAATAGGCTTTTGCCTTTTTGTACACAAGTTTAAAAACTATATCGTTTTTATAAATAGTATTCTAGTAAAAAGAATGTAATATTTTGAAGGAGTTATTTCATTCATTATCAAATTTTGAAAAAAAAAAATTAATTTTTAAAATTTTTAGAGTCAGTAGCCAAATTGTTAACCGTTTAAAAACAAGCACAGCAAAACTTTCCGAATTAAAATTAATGAATTTTTGCCTTAGTTTTGATATTTTTAAACTTTGATTTGTAGAAAACATTGTCATATGAAAATATCATTAGAAACTAAACTGACTTTCACTGATTTATAAAGATATGTCTTTTGAGTTTACAAGAACTGAATTTTATTTATAATAATTATAATTTTATTTTACAATGCATGTCCTTTTAAAAGGAATATGCCATTTGTTTAACGTTCTTTTTTATATAGTTAGCTTACAAAGGACAATTTAGAATGTTTTGTGTACTTCTGTGTACTTCCTTTTGAATAGTGAATTTTTACCACACTTATTAAAACAAAACAAAAGACAGTTTGAAGGATGTTTCGAAAATATTTATTACTACAAATTAAATCTTTTTTTTTTCAAGTATTTTAAGTATCAAATTTATTGCACTATCAAAAAACTCTTATCTAAAAAACAATTCTTATGCAAGTACTGGAATTCAGTGTAAGTTTTTTCTAGACACTTGTGTGTTATTAAATCCAGACGCAGTCATTACAATGAATGGTTAACTTAATTATTTAAATATAAGGAGAGAACACGCCACAATTGCACTTGACTCACTTTCGATACGACACTTCTTTGGCACGTAATGACTTTTTAAAAAGGAATTTAAATCACTTTATCACGGTCCCTTTAGTTCACTGATCGCGTATCCTTTTTCTTTGTTCGTTGGGAGCAGCAAGGATAATGGATAAAGTCCTTTTATCTATTTCGAGTTCGATATGGTATATCCTTTTTGGTGGGCACGTATGGATCCGACTTATTCCGCAGACAGACTGAACAAGGGCCGCACCTGTCGAATTCTTTATATGGATTCGATCCGCGGGGCCAGCGGGGATCGGTGGCCACCAAAAGGCGCATTTTTAATTGTCCGCGTAACCAAGACTAAGCAAAAACCCACCCGATTTCATTACGACTGCGCCACCGCCAGCCGTTGAATTATTCAATTTTATGCAAAACAATGCCTCTAACTTTCCGACTAAATCGAATAGAAATTACGCTGTCCAGGAGAGGGACAAGTGTACCGCTGATTTGGTGTATTTATTTTTCTGTGCCAAGTGTGTGCCATTGCAGCTGACATCGCCTGGTTAACCCAGTTGTTGAAAGCCCCGTCCATGGCAGCAGAAGCAGCAACTGCATCACAGTCTGGTTCAAGAACACCAATTGGATTCTTTGCACTGTATTAACTCGATTCGTCTAAAGTCGCCTCTTCGCCTTGGTCTTTTTATTTTGGACAGCTCCTTTACGTTTTGTCTTGCACGGTGTTTGCTTTTCGCCGGTAAGTTTCTTTCTCAAACTCTTTCCGGCACAAGCCTTGGCTTTGGACTTTGGTTTGACCCTGGACTTGGCCAGTTCCCCCTTCACAGCCTTGCGTCCTTGCGCAGTCGTGTACTGTTTTGTCGGAACTGTCTTCTTAGCTTTGTAGTTGAAGGGAATGGGGATCAGATTGTCGTTTAATGTAATGATACCCATGTTGGAGCCCACCTCCAAGGCGAACCGTACCGCCATCTGAAGGTTGCCGAAAGGATGTATGTGCTCCTCCAGCACTGCATCTTTCACGGCATCCGTCAGTTCTTCCACTGTGGTGCCTGGTAACATAAAACAGAAAAATGTTACAATTCTGTGGAGGTTTATATAAAATATAATACAATTAATTAATTTTTTTCCGAAAGATTGATGAAAGATCCTTAAAACTAAATTATTAATGATAAAGAATATTTCTGAGCCGAACTTACACAGATTATTTTCGCGACTGATCAATTCCATTATAAAGGGCAGCAATGTTGACTGAACATATTCCATTTTAAAATTTGTATAAAGTTCTCACTAAAAAATATTAATTTTATACAATTTTACTGTTTCCAATGCGACTTTTATGAAAAATGTGTGTGTGTTTTGCATTGAAACAACAAATCAAAGGTTACTGGGGCTCAAAACAATTTGAACAACTAATATAGAAGACTACCTAACAAATTTGTTTAACAAACCACATTAAATTTAATTAATTATTTATAGCGTAATGAACTTTAATTCATGCAAATGAACGAGACCCAATTCTCTTTCAAATCAAATGCAAATAATGAAAAGAAGAAAGGTTCAAGCAACTAAACTGTAGACAGTCTACTCTCTGTGCATTGTTTTCCCTAATTAAGCTTTCCTATGATTCCACTGTCATGGGAAAAATAAATGTAAAGACATTCACAAAGTGCAGAATAAACCCAAATAACTTAATGGATGGATGACATTACATTATACTTCCAGACAAGTAAACACTCAGATGTGTTACTGCCTTGGCAATTTTTCCCAATAATAGCTGATATTTTATTAAGACGTACGATAAGCTCTGGGATAGAATTCAAGGTCTTCAGTAAGCTCATACGAATAATTTTTCTGCTGGCCAATCTTTAGGAATACACTCTCTAGCCAAGGGGTATAGTGACTCAAATATATAATGTAACAGCATATAATAAATGGGAAATTGGATAGGTAATCATATTCTACATCTGGACACTCTCTTGTTATTAGTTTACATAATCATATATATTTTATATACTGCCAAAGGGAATTTAAAAGCCGGCCAGCGGTCATCAAACATTTTCCTTCCATATCAAGCCATGCCGGGACCCAGTAACAAATTGAGAGCTATTAATAAAAACCAAAACAAAACAGAGACGCGTGCACTCTTCGCTTTCTTTGCCGGCTTCGTCGGATGATAGCGGTGATGGAGAGGCTTTTGTTATTTTTATTTTTTTTTTTTTGGAAGCCTCGACCTTGGTGATAGCTCATGTTCCGATGTTTGGGAGCGGTTGGGAACGCATGAGAACAATGTGATTAGCGGAGGCGGCCCGCGTGCTGCGAACGCCAATCGTTGGCTGATAAGGAATCTGGGTATTGGCCAGCTAGCCAGGCAGTCAGGCAGGCGATGACATAAAATTAGACGCACGGAAATTTACGCGAGCGCTAGCGTGTGTCTTGGTGTCCCGGAATAGTTTTATGATCAGTTGAATCACTGATTTGGCCAATACAGCTTCAACTAGACTGGATGCTTAAGTGTAAAACACCTAACAGTTGCCCTTCAGTCTAGTCGCTGAATGATAAGAGTAATTCGCAGAGGCTGGAACGGCTGGCTTTTCACGGTGATTTAAAGGTGATCCTTAATCGAACGGTAAGATCGTCGATTAATTTTTATAACAGAAATAATAATATGCGTCAGTGGATCGGGTATTTAAACTCATATAAACGTTGAACCCTGGTCAAAGCAGCCCGTGATGCAATGGCAGGCCCTGAGGTGAGCTAGAAACTGCGTCACGAGGCCGGAGCTTTGGTCAAAGTATGGCAGTCGCTGTTTTAGAAAGTACTTGGCAAAGTGTTACATATTAGGAAACGACGGGCGTTTAATATAACACCAATACAAAGTTGAATATCAGCCTATTTCCTCCACCTCTTAAACCGTCACCACAATCTTGCCTCGCAAGTGTCCGCCTTTCATCTTCTCGAAGGCTTGCGGTAGATCCCCAAAGCCGAAGCTGCTATCAATCTGTGGCATCAACTAAAAGCGCCGGAAAGGCAAAGAGTATTAGTTGGGAATTTTGTGCTAGAGATTGAACAACTGACCTTCCTCTGCTCCACTAGTTTCTGAAGGAATTGTATGCCTTGCGGAGCAGGACTGAAGAATCCCCACTTGACCAATCCGCCGCGCTGCGATACGGACCTTACATTGGTCTGCACCAAGTCAAAGACATTCTTCAATGCTCCCAGGCCTAATCCCTGCTTATCGATATTGGCCAGCAGGGGCGATGAGAAGGTGATGTATTGCCGGAAATCAAATTTCGATTCCGCCGCCTTATCGCCTCCTTGGCCGGAACAGTCTAGGACAATGTCGTAGGGTGCATATTTGGACAGCTCCTCCATGGCTTCGCTGTTGTTGTAGTCCACCACCAAATCGGCACCCAGATTGCGCACCATTTCAGTAGCATTCTCGCTGCAGGTGGCGAGTACTTGTACTTTTTGTGACTTCAGCATTTGTATGGCCAGAGATCCAACGCCTCCGGAACCACCAAGAACCAAGACACGCTTGTGGGCACCACCTCCGTCAGCTGTGACGGCGCCGCAGGGTCCGCCCAGGCCACCGGTGATGTAGAGACCCGACCAGGCAGTCAATCCAGCATACAGAACGCTAGCTGCCTCGCTGTCATCCAGCTCTTTGGGGGCAGGGGCAAGCTGAAAGGGATAAAGATTGATTAAGACTTTATTAAATCGATCTAAGCTGGTTCCACCTACACAGTAAGAAGGCACAGCAACGTATTCCGCATGAGCTCCGGCACTCGCCTGCACTGGAACTACTCCCCAGACCCGAGTTCCCAGGGCAGTGTGTCATTGGAACACCCATGCCCTTCTGGACCAACTCGCCACAGAACTCACGACCCAGGGTAAGCGGGAACTCGATGCCATCGCCCGGCCGACAGCGCATCTTGTTTAGGACCGCGGCGCCGTATCCCCGGAGCATAGCCAGGTCGATGGGATTAACCGCAGTGGTCCGAATCCGAACGAGGCACTCGTTGGAACTGCGTATCTGGGGTATCTTCAGCATGTCCGAGAGCTGTAGCTCGTCAATGCCCCCATAGTTGTGCAGTTGCCATCCACGCATCTTACCTTCGCCGGATCTCGGTGGCGGCGGCGGTTGGTCGGCATTTGTTTGGGAGCCACCGAAGGTGGTTTGAGCAGAGGCCGAGCAGTGGCGTCGCGCCAACAAGACAAACTGTCTTAGGGCCAGTATTCCACTACTTCCGGTGGTCTGCATTGCAGACCGGAATCTTAAATTAATTATTTTCAATCAAATAAATAATAAGAAAACTGTAGTTTGTTTATGTTTTTAGGCACAGAGTGACCAATCGTTCCGGAAACAGCTGATTGTTATGAAAGCTGAAAGCATCGCTCGTCGTTTAGTTATCGATTGCAAAAGCTCAAGACCGTTAAAATTAAATTATGCAAATTTAAACCCAAAATTATAAATGCAAATATAAATGCAATATTTGATTATAAAATTATATTAGATAAAAGTGATATTGAACACAGTCTTCTTAAGATCTTAATAATCTATTATAATTATTATTTACGGATTTACAGATTGAAATTCAATGTATAATGTTTAAAAAAGAATGCAAGAAATACAGCTTGAACTACATCCTTCCTTCTTACTGATTACTTTTTGGCAGTTTTTAAATTAGTATTTATAAAATAGTGATTTCTGTGGCATTCCAAGTTCTATAATTTTTAAGCTACCGCGTGATAACTCCTCCATTTTTATCAAGCAAGTCCTGAAGATTAAATTCATCATCATACTCTTCTTCAATTATTTTTTTGTCCTTTGGGTTGCCTTTGGTCTCAGACTGATCCCCTCCTTGGGCTGAGTTCGTTTGGCCCAAGTGATGGCGGTCACAGGGCTCACACTTGCAGATGGTGGGCACCTCAAACTCATGATCCAGATGGCTGCCATCGTCACAAATAATCTTTACAATAATTTTCCTCAAACCGGTTGCGCCACAGCAAGTGCAGCTTTCCTGGAACTTGTTAAGCAGCGGATTGTACTTGAAGGCCGAGTTGCAGGCGCCCTCGCACTGGGTCAATCCCTCGATCGGCTGCTCGTTGTGGCAGGCTCCGTGGTGCTTGTCCTCGAACATGATCATACTTCGCGTAAGATTTGGCGCCACCGTTACCGCTTGGCAGTCGATTTTGTCTGCTGGCGGTGGTGAGATCGTGCATCGTTTGCAGCAGCCACCATCTTCCTGAAGATGCTCCGCCGGACACTGGCTGACATCCGGACAGGTTTCATGCTGCTCACGAATCATTAGTTGACCCTTGTACGACACACAGTCATAGAATATGCACTTGTCCTGGCTATACCAATGCTCATCCGGTTTGTAGATCTTGCCATCGTGAACGCACCCTGTTGGGACACAGGTTCCGCAGCACTTGGTGCTGCCCGTGTGCTCGTAGCTGTAGCCCAGCGGACACTTCTTCTCGCAGGTAAGCACAGTTGTGACGGTGGCCACCACACCCGAGTCTGTCAGCCCGCATTCGTAGGAGACGCAAGGATCTCCGGGCAATTGCCATTTGTCTCCAATCCGATGGACCTGCACCTGGTTGTCATGTCTTTGGAGGCACTTGTCCTTGGGCGGCACACACTTGTACAGGGAACAACAGTCGCCGGGTTGCTTAGCCGAAATCAGTTCGTAGTATGGGTCATCACAGATGGCTGGTGGTTTTGGACAAGTGTCCTGGTGGCACACAACCCTATAGCTGGGACAGCAGCCGTCCACTATCTCCTCCATTTTCTCGCCGGGCTTCAAAGTTACTGGTGGAGAAGGATCACATTGATCTTTGGGCTTGCATTCTGTGAAGGGATATTGATTTATTATATTTTTGAAATAAATCCTAAAAGCCTGGGACTTACCACATCGGTAGATGGGACATTTATTGACATCCTCGTCTACGATCCTGTTCTGATGGAGTCCACAGTCAGGTAACTTGGGTGTCTCGCAGATTTTTCCGGGCCTCTCAATGTCTGCCACGCAAATCCGTTGGGGACAGCACTCAAAGTCACGCTGGATGACAACCAACTTGTAGCCGCTCTGGCAGATAAGATCCGTGTCCCGGCCGCACTGCTCCTTCTCGCAGCTTACCTGGCCAGTGGACAAGCATTCGCACCGTGAGCACTTGTCCGGTTGCCACACATCGCCCACATGTCGTCCATTGCCGCAAGTCACACACTCATTAGGTAAGACGCATCTGCCGTGGTGGAGCACCCTGTCCGGTGGACAGAAGCAGCCTTCATGACGGGCAGTGTGGAGGCAGCGTCCCTTGAAGATTATCTCCATGTTGCTGCTGTCCACCCGATCCACGCCTGTCTCACAGGTAACGTCGCAGTCGCAAGGTCTGTATGTCATTCCGGGTAGACACTGTGCCGGACACTGTGTGAAGGGCCGCCAGTCGGAGCACACTCCAATCTGATTACAGGCAGCAGCGTAAGCGGTGAGGGCATCACATATCACCTTCTTATCGTCGCTGGCAGTGCATGTATCCTTTTGGCAGGCGAGGATGTAGGCCAACGGATCGACCAGCAGCGGACATCGCCCGAAGATGCCGGACTGTACAATAAGCTGGTAGCACACGTTTCTTTCCCTGGGCAACGGTTTGCATACCTGCTGATCCCCACAAGAACGCGTATCAATGCCAAGACGTGGCTCGCTCACCTGCCAGCTGGTGACAAAGTCGATCAGCTTAAAAGGACCCGGCTCTGTGGGCTTGGGCTTGGCCGGGTTGACCTGCAGGTCGTCTATGCTGAGCCCATTGCAGTTGCCGCACAATCCCTCCATGCGACTTCCATAGCGAACCGAGGGCACCGAAAGCTGGAACTGCAGTGAGCTGAGATCCACCACCAACTCCAGCTTAATCAAAGGCAGTTGTACCAGGAGCTCCTCTTCACGTGGCTGTTTGACCATCAGCCAGGACGACCGATGTGGCCAGGGCGAAACCTGGTAGCCATCGGCTAGAAGCTGCACCTCATTCTCGTGTCGTTCGATGTGCAGTGTATGCTCTCCGGCGGTAATATGGAGAGCACTTACGCAGCTCTCTTCCTTGATCAGGCCACAGGGTTGGATGGTTGCGTAAACCTGGAAGTTGTAGCTGCCGGGAATAAGGAGATCTCTGGTCACCAAGTATGTGCAGTTGCCCTTGAAACTGAAGCTGCTACCGTCATAACTGACGAACTTGTTCAGACCGAACAGGTTGCACTTGCAGTCCTTGCAATCGTCCAGTGGGACGCATTCTTCGCCCCGTCGAACCGTTCCCTCGGGACAGTAGCAGCCAGAGAAACAGGTGTTCGGAATGGTGGGGCACACAGCCCCCGAATAGCTCGACAAGGCGCACTGCGGCTCGCAACGCTGGCGGAAGCAGTCGTGGTGCACCAATGGTGGACGACAGGTCGGCTCGCAGCGATGAATGCTCCTCCAACTTGTCAGCAGCACATTGCGATCCACGGCCAAGCACTGGCCCACAAACTGTTGAATAAGATCACAACGACAGCTGCCTTCTGCACCGCCATTGGCCTTAAGACACTCGCAAGTTGTTTCCACGCACTTGCCCAGGAAGTCCTCGATGTTAACGGAGAGATCACAGGTTCCGAAAGAGGGATGTCTGGGAGAGATGATGGATGAACTCCCGTTCAATTTAATATTTCCAAGTATAAACTCACCTAACAGCCTGACACATTTGGAGTGCCCGCTGTTGCAGATCCAGGGGACACACCTGTGGACGACACTTGTCTAATGGTAGCTTCCGGTCGTACCAAGAGACCCCAAAGTCCGTTGTACCAATCACATGTAGACCTGTTCGCGTTCGCTTATCGTCATCCTGCCGACCATTGTAGAAACCACATAGTCCGTCTACCTTCCCTTGAAGGGTCTGGGAGACTCCTATGCGGATGTTTCCACTAGCGGCATACTGCACCCAGAACTTGTGATGGCGGCACACCACCACCACGGTCTGGCCGATCTGACTGATCACAAACGATCTCCGCACAGCACCGACCAGGGCTAGATCGTGGACACTGAACTCAAAGTTATTGTAGATGACGCGCTGATTAGGCAGGATGGTAATGGAGACTCCACGTTCATCGTCGTTGATGATAAGTGTCTTGGCGCCACAGCTCGGCTGATCGGCAGCGCACTGAAGCTGGGTGCTAATGCTCCAACTATCTCCCAGTGCATCTCTGGCCAAGGTGTGGCTACAGATGTCATACTTGTACACCGTGCCATCGAAGGTGTGGAAAATTCTACCGGTAATGTCGCAGCTGTCGTCAGGGATCCTTGGGCGTCGGCAGGTAAATGTGGGACACTTGCCACCTCCGGTGCTTGTGTTGTCCACCACAGGCTCAAAGCCTGGGGGGCACTGAGGCTCCTCACATGTCTCATTCCTTAGGGGAATGCAGCAAAACGAGTCACAAAACTCGATATCGTTAAGGTTCTTGTTCGGAATCGCCGTTCTCCACTTGTACCGGTCACGTAGTTCTTTGGGCAGTTCAAAGTTGATTCCATAAGGACTCACACCGTCCGGCCCAGTAGCGCCATTCAGTACCAACTGCGTTTCGGTGTCCAGTCTGTCGTCCACTCCGCCTCTAGAGATCACGAGACTCTCTTGGGACACAATACCCATGAAGTCTAGAAGGTCATCGATTTCATCTTGACCGGGATCAACATAGTCCTCTTCGTCATCGCCAAAGATCTCATTCCAGTCCCCCGAGAAATCGGGAATTTCACTAGCATCCACACCCAAAAGATCTAACATTTCGTCGACTTCGCCAGGGTCTATGAAAGTAAACTCCAGCTGTGGCTTCGATTGCATCAATGGCAACTCGTTTAACTCGAGGCGATCCAGGGTCAAAGATTCCTCCTTATCCTTTTTGGGAGTAGCCAGATCCATGATTTTTTCTGCCACTGCATCCCCTAGCTTGTCGATCAGTGCTTCCTTGATCTTGCTGCCCAGTTTGGAGGCCAATTTTGCGACTCCCTTGAAGAATTTCTTACCAAACTTGACGGCGAATCTGCCCAGGACCTTGGCGACACCGAAAGATATTTCTGGCTTATCTGAGGACTTCAGCGGCTCCAGCCAATCTTTTAGAGGCTCTACAGAACCATCGCTGTTGGGATCTGCTGAGATCAAAAGCATTTGCGACAAGGTTACGGGCAGTTTTCCCCTGATCTTGACAGTGTAGCCAGGAGGACATTCGATAGGCGGACACACGTCTGGTTTCTTAGTGGTGGCTGCAAGGGAAAAGGGGAAATGATAAGTATTTGTGTAATCCATTCTTGACTTGAGACTTACGAGGTGAAACTGTGGTTCGCGTGGGATCGCAAGTATCGTCCTCGTCGTCGGCACAGTTCTGCACGCCATTGCACCACCAGTCGGTGGGTATGCAATCACCGCTGGTGGGACAGAGTCGTGTGGTTGGTGGACACAACTGGCACTCGCAGCGACAACCTTTCCTTACGCTTCTCATATGCAGCGGGCACTTGGGACAGTTTGTGGTCTTGCAATTGATTACGCCACCCAACAGGCACACGCACTCCTCGCAGTCACTGTTCTCAAACTTAGATCCAATGGGATAGCTGCAAGGATTTAAGGTATCTATAATACTGGTTCTGCCTCGGAAAAGGTGACTGTGTACTCACGTGGTATATACATCGATGCATGGACAGAGATTGCGCTCCACACACTTGGATCCAGTCCAGAAGAGACCGTCACTACAGGGACAACTTGGAACCAGGCTAGGCAGATCAATGCCCTTGCACAAATTGCATACTCGAATCTGAGGAGGCTTGGTTATGTTGGCTACAAGGATTATTAAGGATTAACATAAAGTCCAAAGCGTTATAGAAACCAATCCTTACGATAGGGCTCAAAGCATCCAATGGGCTCGATCCGCCAGTTTATATTTTGATCCCATTGGGTCGGAACCAGACGTAGATATCTCGTGACCAGTGGTCGCTGGAAGCCGTTTGTGTGCAGGCCATTGGCATCCCGATTGCCCTCAAAGATATTACCATCGCCCTGCTGACCCGGCAGCTCATTCCACACGAGCTTGTTGGAGGAGAAAAGCACGCGATATGAACTGACCCAGCCGTGAGCACCGCCCCGTGTCTGAATGCCAGTTACATTGCGCGGCTCAAGGAAGTCAAAGTCGATAAACTCGTCCTGCTTGTTGGCCAGCGGCCGCCAGCCCAGCTTGGAGCGGAAGCGTAGCAAGTCCAGGAGTCCCTCCTCGTGGTCCAGGTGTGACGATAGCCAGATGCTGCTAGCCGACACCTGATGGTATCCCAGTGTTCCACTGTCCACTCCAAGGGGGTCCTTACAGATCAAATCCTCGATGGGTGGCTTCGTGGGAGGCAGCGGTGTAGTGGTTTTATCAATCACAGGTGGCACGGTGGTGGGCTCATGGTTGCACAGTAGCAGATCAAAGCGTATAGCTATGGCCGTGTGCCACCTCAGGGGATACAGGCGAATGGACTTGGCCTCGATCGGTCGCTGAAAAACATGAGCTCGCGGCAGTCGGGAGTCACTGGGTCCCACCAACACCTGGGGTTCTCCATCCTTACCGATGAGCTCGTGATAGCCCTCACCGTCCAGGCTGTAGACCAGCTTCATGAGGGTCACATAGTTGTCCAGATGAGGATCACCGGCAATGAGCATGCCATAAAGAGCCAGCGGCTTTTCTAAGTTCACTTGAAGGTACTGCGTTTGATCGCTAATCCTTGGCGTCCAAGCTCCGATATTGAGCTTGGGTTTTCGGTGCAAGCGGGACAGATGTGCAGCATAGTGCTGGTCCAGGATGCTAGAGCCTGAGAAGGCAGTGTCCGGCACGAAATGCTCACTTGTGAACAGACGCACCATGCTAAGAGAAAAATTCAGTGAAGGTTATCAGTGGAATCTATTATTCCCAACTTACCTCTTCGTTGGACACAAAACTGGGGGAGTCAGCGTGGTAGGTATAATGGGCAAGGGTGTGGTCGATGTGTGATCTCCGATGGGAGCTAAAAAAAAATACCATTCAGAGTTATTTTAGAGGTAATAGTTGTTTATTCCCTCTGGTACTTACGCTTCACCGTGGTGGTCTTCTTGGGCACACAAACGAACTGGTTGAACACACACTGGCAGTCCTCAAAGTCCGTTGTGATGATCCTGTGCGGCTGCACATACTTGTCATCGCGATGGTCCAAACACGGACAGTCATCTTGATCCACGCAGGTATGCTCGTCGCGCCAGAACTTGCCCAAAGCCCGGCAGTCGGGACGCTTCTTGGGTACACATCCGCCCTTGCAGTGTTGGCCGGGATTGCAAAGACCGCGTCGGATGAGCTGCTGTCCGTAGAAGTGACAGGTATGCTCGCACTGGTTGGCACAATCATTCCACTCCTCATTGTCTCGACAACGATCTTTGTCCTTGCCGCATTGCGGTCGCAGACGGGTTACAATCGAGATTTGGTCGCAGGCTCCAATCGAGGGATTAAACATCAGGTGGACGCCACAGGTGCCAGGCACCCACTGCCAGTTGCTGTTGCCTGGAATATGCTCACAGCGTAGGTATTTAAAACAGTCTCCGGGATACTCCTTGAAAATATCCACCGATGGATCACACGTCTCGTTGGCACTCGGCGGTGGCGGTGGGCGGGCTGTGGTATAGCCATCATCATCACAGTCGCAATACACTCGTATCTCATAGTCATGACACTTTCCAATGCACACCAGACCCTGCTTAAGATCGCAGGACACATTGTCGTCAACAAGTTCGTATGACTGCTTTGTGTCCTTCACCCTGCACTCGATGTCCCTCTGATAACTCGGATCGCAGGTTCCGTAGATACGCTCGAAGTTATCAAAGTGTGGCAGCGGTTCCACATCGTTCAGATTGATGCCACCCACACTGGAGCCGCGATCCAACCAACGTGTCCATCCACGCACGCAACTCTTGCCTGTCCGATCTTGAGGATCCTTGGGTGTTGTTTCAATAATGGGCCATTCCGTGGTGGTGGTGGTAGTGGAGGTTGGTGGACAAGGCTGGCCACTGCATACCTCCTTCTTCTTGGAGCAGCGACAGGTGGCACATTCATCTGTGTAGGTCACATCGCCCTCGTAATAGGGAATGTTGCCACGAACCAGGCACACGGGTTTGCACTCCGAGCGAGGCACACAGGTGGTGTAGCTGTCATTCAAATATATGTGGTTGATAGGACATGGCTTTACCTGGCAGCCCTCCACGCAGTTCTCGTGGTGACATAGCCGGGCGGCATCACCTTGGTCCAGCAGATTGTCGCATGTCTCCGTGGGACATGCGGGAGTGCAGGCGCTGTAGTCGGAGCAATGGGCGTCGCACTGCATCGCTGTTAGGGGAAAGGTTTAAAGAAAAAGGATTAGGTTTGACTTCCGATTCACTTGCCGTAAATAAGTACTCACGACAGAAATGGGGCGTGCGCCAGCGGATGCTGATACCTCGCTGAGCACAGGCATCCGCGTAAGCGGCCACCGCTGTGCAAAGGCACTGGCAGTCTCCGCCTTGGTCGCAGGCACAGGTGTCAAAAACGCAACTCTTCAGATAACGCTCCAGTGGCACCTGGACATGGCAGGCTGCAAAGACGGGTGACTTGAGGACACTGCATTGGTTCTCCGACCAGGAACGACGTTGGGCATTGCGCTGGCAGGAATCAAAGGGCTGTTGCGGAAGCTCGCACTGCGGGTGGGTGCGCCACGAGTGGCCGAAGAGCGTGGGCTCTGCCTCCTGGCCTCCGGATGGCGACTTGAAGTCGTCCAAGCTGTTGCCATTGTTGTTGCCACAGAGACCGGCCAGGTGACCGCGCCACTCGTTGCCCAGCTTCACATAGACCCGGGTGCCCTCGTCCCACTTGATCTGGAGACGCAGGGCCACCACCTCGACGACCACAAAGACGCCAGCTTTGTAGACGTGGAAGGAACTGGAGGCATGCGAGCTGATTTGGTTGCGAAGACCTGTAGGAGAAAAAATTAATGTCGAAGGGCCTTGAATAGAATGAAATTCCTCTACTTACGTGTTATAATTGAGCTTGAATTATCCGTTCCATAGAGTCCACCAGCGGTCAGCTTGAGGTGCTCCGGTCCAGCCTTGCTGCTTAGCGAAACTTCTAAAGACTTGGAGCAGGTAACACCCGAGGTACCACAAAGTACATTTTGGATGACTATGGAGAAGCCACTGCCCTCGGCATTAACGCCCTTGGACAGGATATAGTCGCATTCGCCGAGGAAGTCAAAGTCCCGGCCATCGAAGGTGCTAAAGTGGGAGTCACCCCACACACTGCAGGTGGCCTCGCACTCATTTCGTGTGCACTTCCAGGATCCACCTTGGCAGACGCACTGGTTGCATAGTTCCTGGAAAGTGTCACCATCGTCAAAGCTGCGTCCGGCATGGTAACAGGAACACTTCTCCGGCGCCACACACTGCTGACGGGTCACGTCGTAAACGTAACCATCATCGCATACACATCCAGGAAGGCAGGCCGTGGTATCCTGCTTATGATCATGCATATTCTTACAGGTCTTCGGCTCCTTGGGGGCACAGCTGACGAATTTGGCATAGGGACTATGGGCGCACTTCTTGCGAAGACGACCCAATGGCGGGAACAGGATAGCGTCGTCTTTATCCGCATCCCTACACTGCCACAGACCATCCACACAAGTGCTACAGGGAGGAATTATATAAGACAATGTTAAACTTTCTTAAGGATTCCCTTACCACAACTGCTGGAACTTCGCACCTGGTCGCACCTCCTTGTAGCCAGGTTTGAAGCTCAGGCCTTCGTAGAAGCAGGAGCAGGCCTTTTGAGGCACACACTGCTGCTGCTCGTTCAGGAACTGACCCTTCGGACAGCGACATCCCTCGACGCACTGCCTCCGGCACTGATCCCGGTTCTGCAGGTCGAAGCAGCTTAGGGCACAAGAATCGCCACATTCGTCATAATCCTGGCCTTCCGGGCACTGGATTGAGCACTGGTTGATAACCTGACGCCAGCTGGTCCGGATACCATTGCGCACGCACAAATTGGCATAGTCGGCGAGGACTTCGCAGAAAGTCTTGTTCGTGCTGGCGGGTCTCGTATCTCTGGCACCACACACATCGACGATGCAGTTATCGTAGTGACTGGCAGGATCAACGGCCCAATGGCAGGTTTTGAAGGTATCCGAGCGAAGGACGGAACAGAGTTCTTCGGCCCTTGCCCGCTGGGCAGGATTGTTGGAGCAGGGAGTTAGCGGCACTGGAAGATCCGGATCGTCACAGAGCTCCTTGGTGCGCCATTTGTTTCCAAATGCATCGGGTGTGTGCTCGTAATCTCCGTCCGACGTGAGGAAGTCGTCTTTGGTGTTGTCATTGAAGGTACCACAAAGTCCAGCCGTGTTATCGTAGTAGCTATAGGGAGCATCGATGTGTACGGTAGAGTCACCATTCCACCACACCACCAAGCCATCGCGAAAAGTCATTGTAATGAAGTTGTGGCTAGCCAATCGCAGCACTGCCTCGCCATTGCCTAGTTCCAGGGGTAGTTGGGCTACCACCTCGCCATTCACCGAGGTCTGCAGTTTCTGTGACAGTTTTATGACCGTAGGACCGCCGTCCTTCAGTGAGAATCGTATGGTGACTGACCGAGTACACGATGCTCCTCCGCCGGTGTACAAGGGATCATTCTCTACCGAGCACTTGATATTCTCTCCCTCCACGGAGAGCGTGGATGTCTTCAGTAGATAATAGGTACAGCGGCCTTGGAAGTCATAGGTTCTTCCATCGAAGGTCCGATAGTGGGGATCACCAAATGCCGTGCATCGCTTGCTGCACTTCTCCTGCGAGCACTCCCATTTTCCGGCCTGGCAGGTGCATGTGTTGCATTCCCTCTGGTGCGTTTCACCTGGCTGGAATTCGCGGCCACGTAGCTCACATGGACACATCTTCTGACTAATGCAGGTATCCTTGTACTGCAGCGTCCCACTCGGACAGAAACAGCCCTCAAAGCACAGGTTGGGATCCATTACACCATTGGTTTCACAGCTGGGCTGGGACTGAGGACCACAGTTCTGGTAAATGCGACCACCGGAGCAACTGATCGGACATAGCTGGAGATTGCGCCATTCCTTGAAAGTGGGTCCGGTGCCCTTGGCGCGACATTCCTCCACTAGCGACTGCAGGAAGTTGCAGGTACAGGATTGACTCTGTCCTCCCGAGCAGCCACAGTGATCCTTAATGCAGGCTCGTACGAGGGTCTCCTGGTTGAAGTGCTCCAAGCAGGACTTTAACTGGACATTGTGCAACAGCTTTCGGCATTGTTCCACGGCATCCTTGTGACGCCCACCATAGCACTGAGCCAGGGTTCATCCGTGTCGGGCACACAGGCCTGATCACCACTCCGCCAGCTATCGGTGAAGGTGCGACATGTCTGTGAAACAGTCCCCGAGCGTGTCATCTGGTCGTTTTCACTATTTCCATCAAGATGACCACACAGGCCGCCCACCTTCTGCCACAGGGCAACGCTGGCGCGAACGGAGAGAAGCTGGTGATGATCCCATACCAGCTGGAGTCCCACAGATTCTAGCTCAACCTCGATCTGCTGGGCATAGGGCACAACCTTCATACCAAGTACCTGAGCGGGCAGCGAAAGACGCTTCTCGGGTGTGGATAGAGTGACGCTGCCATCTGCAACAAGAATAGGAATAGTCCGGAATAGGACAATAAGAAAAATTCTGCAAATAAAAGAATAACCTTCACTTACTCAGATTTTCCAGGGTATACTGCACGGACTGCCATTGGATCTGCAGAATTAGGGGCGACTCGGGCGAGTGACTCCTCACAGACACATGGAATGCTCCAAATATCCTGTCATTGACCAGGGTGTGGGCACAGTTAAGCGACAATCTGTATAGCAATCCATCAAAGGTGCGGATGTTTCGGCCGTTCCAGGAACTGCAGACCGACAGATGTGGTGCCACAATTACATCCTTGGCCGGCTTACGATGTAGTCGATTGGCTCCATCGATATCATCAACATCGCGATCCTCTGGCTTCCAGTTGCTGCTGTTATCGTACTGTTGATATCGATTACAAGTGTCAATGAGATTATCTGGCCAGGGAAGCTCCTTGCCGATAATAGTAACGGTTCCATTGGTCTGCGTGTCAGAGGTGCTGATATGCTGGGAAACATTTAGGTTGGGAGCTGTCCACAAGAAATAAAAGATTGAGGGGGTAAGTTATAAATATGCTAAAGGTTTTTATGACTTCCTAATCCTTTGTTCGATCTTGAGAATATATTTTTAACAACATTGTCAAGTGCTGAAGATATAAACAATTAGAATGTCACCAAAAATATGTATGTCGAGTGGGGATAATGTTACCCTCAAGATTCCCAACAATCCGTAAGACACATGGCTGGATCGAATTTCTTATCGCTACAACTCTGAGTTATAGAGTTATGCCCCCCGGTGGGACACCCCATTACTTACGATAGATACACTTCACCGCGGAGGGCGAGGGCTCGAATTTCCCAGTGCCATAGTCGCAATCGTAGTGTGAGGCAAATGTTCCCTGGACACTCACTCCGGTAACATCTGGACAAGTGAGGCGACACTCGGATTTCTGGGGTCCATGATCGCACTGGAAGTTGCCGTTGAAATCAAGCATGTTGCATTCGGATACATCGAACTGGCACTGTTTGCCGCGGAATCGTGGTGGACACTCGCAAACATTTGCCGCAATGCATTTGCCTCCGTTAAGACAATTTGGAGTACAAGTAGCTAAAATAAAATATTTTATTTACTTGGTAAAATTTACATATGTGTTAAAAAAATATATTTCTACTTTATAGTTAAAACAAATAAACAATCTTGAAGTCTCACTTACCCTCACACTCTGGCAATTTGCTGTAGTCTCCGCCCATGTCCACATACTTGGTACCCTTACACTTCAAAAGAACCCGATTTCGGCCATCGGAGAAGGCGAATCCTCGGTTACACTCCACCTCACAGGTGTCGCCCCGGCAAACCGTTCTCGAGTTCTTCGGAAGCTGAGGCGGACGCTCTGGGCAGCCGAACTCCTGGTTCCTCTCACAATTATCTCCGCCATAGCCCTTCCGGCAGTGACAGAACTTTTCGCCGTTGCAGATGCCTCCGTTACGGCAGGTACAAGCCCCATCGCAATGCTGGATGGTCTTTGCGGTGGGATATCCATTCTTGATGCCCCATGCACCGCGGCGGCAGGAGAGGATCAGTTTACCGACATTCTGGCGCTCTCCGTAAAAGTGATTTGTGCCGATGCAGCTGACCAAGCACTCGCCGCCCTCAGGCGTATCCACGCAGTTCACATTGGTGTTGATGGGAAATTTGTAGGAGGGACAGTTGGTAAACGGCTTCTTGACCTGGCTAAACCAGAGTTCATTGGCAAGCTTTGGTCCCGTTTTGGGATTGCTGTAAAAAACAATATATTTTTTAAGTAAAAAAGGTATTTAAAAACTGAAATATAGATTTATATGACAAAAAAAAACGTAACACTTAAGATATCCTTTCACTTACTCTGGCACCCAAGATCGCGTGGGTTCTACATTATATGCGCCAACTGTGGTGAAGAACAAGGACGCGGCCAGGACACTCAGTGCCACCTCCATGCCGAGCAATGACTCTGTCCCCGGCAGGGACTTAAATCTGTATAAAACTATTTCACTATTCCACCAGGAACACTTGAAACTCTCACACAAGACTAAGATTCATTGAAAGAGTGTAGGCCTTTTATAGGCATGCTGAGCACATCCATATGGTACCAAAAATAGGGGTTATCGCAGGTCAGGGCATTCGCTGTGGTGTTCCCTTTATTTTAGAGACTAATAAAGAATACACTAAGATATACAGCACATGATATTATTATATTATATCATATGTTAAATTATTTCAATATTTTGTAATTTTCATCAGCAGAAAATATAATAGTAAATTAAAAACACCTTTGAAAACAAGAACTTTCAAATGGGCAAAATATTTAAGTTAAATAAAATTATATTTAAAACTTTAATCTGTAATAAGAATCCTGATAATTTTAAAATCAAATCAAAAATCCATTAAAACGATTTTTTGGTATTTTTTATCGGTATATTCTTAGCCGTATGCCGTTATCGATAATACCCCGTTATCGGCAAAACGGGAAAAACAATGCCAAAAGATTTGTAAACATAAACAAGAAAAACTCGTAATTATAAATTAAAAAGTAAATCTCAACCTCAATTATGTTTCTGCCCGAAACAGCGACGTTTTGCATAACCCTTTTAATCTATGGGGCCATTCTGCTGCTCCTTATTTACTATGTGAGTTGTGATTTTGCATTCGAAGAAAATTTAATTAGTTTGAACTTTGCCTAGGTGTTGACACTGGCTGACCTGGAGTGTGACTATTTGAACGCCCAGGAGTGTTGCCGGCGACTCAACTTTTGGGTCATACCCAAGTTCGGATCCCACGCCCTGCTCTGCGTTCTTCTACTGCTGGGCGGTCACTGGATAATGTTCCTGCTCAATCTGCCGATGGTGGTATGGTTGTTTTACGAGATGCACCGCCAGCGACGCGACAGCCTCGGCGTCTACGATCCAGTGGATATACACAGTCGTGGCCTGCTGAAGGTCCATTTGAGGAATTGTATGATATACCTGGGTTACTACTTCGTCATGTTCTTTGTGGCGCTGTACTGGTGAGTGTGGCGATCCAAACTAGTCACAGAACTGATTTAAGATGCGTTGCCCTTCCATTTGCAGCCTCATCTCTTCGCTGATCAAGGGGGATCCCATCAAGCGGTATGAGGATGATGAAATAGTCACGGATTTCTGAAGTTTAGCCAAATAAGCCGGCTCCCAAAGGGCTTCCAGCGCAATAATGAACCCTACAGCTCAACTATTAAACCTTCACCTGGTCTTTGGTTCCGAACAATTACTTTCGTAACTAATTCGGAATCAAATCCAATGCAGACTGGTTTACTTTTACTTTCCAAAAATTATTAATTAGAACATATTTATTTTTATTTTTAGGTAATTTTTTCACGAAAGGGTATATACATATGTATGTGAACTCAATCCCAATCTCTAAAGTTAAAACAAAAGACTAACACTGCGGTATGTTTAATTTTTTGAACATGGCGTGATTAGGATACACAGGATGCTCCCAAAACACCAACCTAGTCGCACTTCATCTTCATTTTATTTATTTCATTAGCAATATAAGCGTATTCGAATATAAATCACAAAATACATAACCATATACAGTAAACAGCTTGCGAGTTGAACTCTCTGTTATTGCAGGAAGTCCACCACTTCCTCGAGCTCCCGTTGGCGGGCCTGTTTCTGGGCCCAGCGCGCCTCCGCCGTCTTCACACTGACGACCCAGCGATCGTGGGCCAGCTTAATACCGCACACGTAATCCTCCGGAGCCTTGGGTGGCGCTGTTCCACCACTGGGAGCGACTGGGGGTCTTCCCATGTAGGTCTGAGCATCAGAACGCGGATGGCGGCGCTTGGCCGGGCATAATTTGCCCCCCTTGGGGAACGGAGGCTCAGACAGGTATTTCTTAAGGCACCCCTGGTGAAACAGGTGACCGCAGTAGACACGCTCGATGTAAGAGTCTGAATTGTCATCCAGTTCGATATCCTTGGGATTCTCTGGCAACACTGTATTATCACAAATGGGGCATAGTTCGATATGAAAGTCCCGCGTGGCCTCCAAGCAGAACTTGAGGGTACGATGCAGGCTCCTAACAGGCCTGAAATTGGCCAAAGCCTCCTTGCTGATTCGGATCGGTGGCTCCACGCACTGGCGGGCTATCTCCCGAGACTGGCCGTTCAGGTACCTCACCAGCACGGCAGGAAGATTGGACTCCTGACCACGCAGCTCCACGCTCTGCATCGGATAGCTTTCGGGAACGACAGCTATGACTCTGTAGGTGTAGAGGCCTCCTTTGGCCACCAGCTCCACGCTTCCGTTCTTCTGCTTAAGCTTCAACAAGCTCTCCGTTGAGATCCCGGGTGCTTTCACATCCGCCCTGAGCTGCTTGATCTCATCTAGACACACGCACAACGGATTATCCGTCAAATACTGCTGCGCGAAGGCGAGGACCACTAGGGCCTGCGGCTTTCCCAGAAAATCGGCGGCATAGTCATCAATTAGGCGAGTGAGCTCGGTCAGCAGCTTGTCGGAGTAGACGCGACTCTTCAGCTCCACCAGGATGGACGTGCTATGCGGGTAGTCTTCCGGGAAGCGGAGGCACACTGTCATCGAGCGATTGGGCCGTTCCGGATAAATGTCAACCCGGATCAGCGAGCTGGAGCAAATGATGATTTTGGTGTGCGGCACTTGCTTCTCACATTTGGCCCGAAACTCCGTCACTTCCTGGTCAATGAAGCTCATCGTTGACTTTACGTGGAAATTCGTTCAAAGTGTTATTTTTGTGACGAATAAAAAGTTATGCCGATTTTAACATTTGAAATATTTGTTTCCCAACCAGATTGTTATCGGGATACGCATTAATTTGATTCAAATCAATATGGCAACGTTAACTTATAAAATAAGTAGACATTAAGCTTAAAAATTTCGTATAATAAAACAGCTGATGCGCCGATTAAGGTGTGACCAGGTGACGTGACTTACCAACCGATGTTGACGTGAGTGTTGGCATTTTAGCCAATTTATTCTAATAATATTACTCTGACTTCTAAATCATTCCCATACATTTTTTAATAGTTTTACATAACAAAACAAGTAGAAAATAATTAATTAATATAAGAAATATAATTTAATCTTGTATTTCCAAAAATATTCCATATTCCTATGTTCTCAATTCTTGTTTTTATTTTGTAGCAGTTCTAATAAAATTGTATTGCCAATTTCTAGCTGCTTTCCATCAATCTAGCTATTTTAGCGAATATTTCTGACAGCACTGCCTGATGCAAAGACCCAGCCACGTTGTGAAAGATTTATAAAGATAGAAAAGCGTATCTAATATAAAATGGTTCTGGATTTGGATCTGTTTCGCGGAGACAAGGGCGGCAATCCCGATGCCGTGCGCGATAACCAGAAGAAACGCTTCAAGGATGTGGCGCTGGTGGACACCGTCATCAACAAGGACTTGGAGTGGCGTCAATGCCGGCACCAGGCCGACAACTTCAACAAGGTGAAGAACATCTGCAGCAAGGTCATCGGCGAGAAGATGAAGAAGAAGGAGCCGGTGGGGGCCATGAGCGAGGATCCGCCAGCGGACATCAACCTTTCGGAGATCGTAGCCGAGACCCTGCAGCCTCTGACGGTGAGTCAGATTAAGCAACTGCGTGTGCTTATTGACGACGCCATGGCGGTGAATCAAAAGACACTCGAGCTGGCGGAACAGGCCAGAAACACGGCCCTCAGGGAGGTGGGCAACCACCTCCACGAGTCGGTGCCGGTGTCGAACGACGAGGAGGAGAACCGCGTGGAGAGGACCTTCGGCGATTGTACGAAGCGCGGCAAATACTCGCATGTGGACCTTATAGTGATGATTGACGGCATGAACGCTGAGAAGGGAGCCGTGGTTTCGGGCGGTCGTGGCTATTTCCTGACCGGAGCCGCTGTCTTTCTGGAGCAGGCACTCATCCAGTACGCCCTGCATTTGCTATACGAACGAAACTACGTACCGCTCTACACGCCCTTCTTCATGCGCAAGGAGGTCATGCAGGAGGTAGCCCAGCTCTCACAGTTCGACGAGGAGCTCTACAAGGTGGTGGGCAAGGGCAGTGAGAAGGCCGAGGAAGTGGGCGTGGATGAGAAGTACCTCATTGCCACCTCTGAGCAGCCTATTGCCGCCTACCACCGCGACGAGTGGCTACCAGAGGCTTCGCTTCCCATTAAATACGCTGGATTGTCCACTTGCTTCAGGCAGGAGGTGGGTTCCCATGGACGGGATACGCGCGGCATTTTCCGCGTGCATCAGTTCGAGAAGGTGGAACAGTTCGTACTCACCTCGCCGCACGACAATAAGTCCTGGGAAATGATGGACGAGATGATCGGCAATGCCGAGCAGTTCTGCCAGACGCTGGGCATTCCGTACCGCGTGGTGAACATCGTTTCTGGAGCACTCAATCATGCCGCATCCAAGAAGCTGGATCTGGAGGCCTGGTTCGGCGGCAGCGGAGCCTACAGGGAGCTGGTCTCCTGCTCTAATTGCCTGGATTACCAGGCACGTCGCCTTCTGGTGCGTTATGGCCAGACCAAGAAGATGAACGCCGCGTGGACTACGTGCACATGCTGAATGCCACAATGTGCGCTGCCACTCGCGTCATTTGCGCCATCTTGGAGACGCATCAGACTGAGACGGGCATCAAGGTGCCGGAGCCATTGAAGAAGTACATGCCGGCCAAGTTCCAAGATGAGATTCCGTTCGTCAAGCCAGCCCCTATTGATCTGGAGCTGGCTGCTGCCGCCGAAAAACAAAAGGGCAAGAAGGACAAGGCCAAGAAGGATCCAGCTGCTGGCTAGAACTGAAGTCGTCCACTCAACTTAAATTGCTAAACTAAGCTTGCAGTCCCAAAATTCTTGTTACCTATCCACTTAACTAATATTTATGGCATTTATATAAACTTTATACAGATTAAACTGGATTAAGCTTAGCTTCGAATGCATAACAATTTGGTTTTCTTGCTTGGTTATTATTGACGATTATTATATATGACAAAGGATTTGAATATGTATGCTAACAGGGGTTGCTTTTCTCCGGCCGGTAGTTTTGGTTGCCAAGTCAACATTTTCAATTTGTTTATGAAAATTTTCCTCTCCATTTAAATCGTTCCGATTTTAAGGAACTAGATATATTAATAGCTGAATTTAATAAAATATTTAAATAAAATGTCGAATTTAAAACGTCGAGAGAAGCTGAATAAGGACACCCGCTGGGATCGCATTCGCAAGCGGCATCAACAGGCCAATCCTCTGGGCCTGAAGACGGATGCAGTGCGGCGTTTTTTCGAGGTGGATTATGTGGACAAACGACAGGAGCGCTTATTGATCGAAGGCGATGAGCCCAAGCAGCTGAACCCTAGTGTAATTATGGATATGCGGCATAAGATGGTGAGTGATTAATGCTTCTGAAACTTTCAAAAAATTAAAATTCATAAAGTTAGATTAAATAAAACTAAATTTCAAATAACATGTATTAACCATTAAATAAATTCTGTTAATAGTTTCAGAAAATACCACACAAGCTACCGCTGGCCACAATGGCCCATGGCAGCACTTTGGAAGCCACCAAGGCGCACAACCTTGAGGTAGAGCAGCGCTTCGTTGACAACCAGTTGGAAAAGTTTCGCCAGCAACTGGCCAGGCAGTTTCAGCGAAGCAAGTCGCACAAGGTGCCGCCCACCAAGCCAGACTTCAAGCTGAATAACAAGCCCCTAGTCCAGAGTCTCACCCAGGCAGCCCAACATATAGACAACTTCTACAACACTCCCGTCCAGGCCTTGGGTCAGATGACTCAAATGTGTGCCAAAACCAAGGCAGCGGCCACCAAGAGTCTGATAAGGCAACTGAGACCGGAACCGGAAAGGGAAGCAGACATGGATCACGATTGGGCGGCGGAGCAGCAGGCTCTGGCAATGGAGCTGCCAGCGTTCAGGACGAGCAGGCGATATCCTTCGACTGCCTTGAGTATCGAAACTTCGCCAAGCAAGTTCAGGCGGATGAGAGCAAGGCAAAGCTACTGCGGTGTCGTACTCCCAGTCCGTTGACTTCGACGGAAGAGTTCTTCCGTCCCATGCGAGCTGCAGCCGAGCGTCAGATGCTCCATGTTCGCACTGTTCGGCACGAGGAGGAGCTGCAGGAGGAGAACAAGCAGGAACAACCTCAGGAGGGGAATCCGCCGCAACTGCAGAGGGAATCGTCTACTTGCTCAAACACCAGCGACGGCATAGACTCTGTGATTTCTGATCTGGCCGAGGAAGCCCTCTACGAACTCCAGCTGGAGGCAGCCGAGGAGCAGAACGAGCAGCTGGACAAGGATTTGCCCACTGCCACAAAGCACGTGCAGTTTCAGCTACCTCAAAAAAAGACTCCAACGCCGAGCACCTATCCCATTGGAGGGGAGTCAGATCCAGAGCCAGAACCCGAACCTGAAGCCTTGGTCATTCGCCGCATTGAACTTCCCAAGGTGGTGGTGAAGCCCAAAGAACCAGAACTCCCGGAGCTCGGTCCAGCGACAACGAAGATGAATGGGTGAGGCGCCCACACATGAGAAGCAGAAGATCATCGACAAGCTGTTCCAGGCCAGGGCAAACACCGAGTTGGTGATGATGCGCAAGTACTTCTCAAGTGGATCCATTTCACAACGCTCGAAAAGATTGAGCGGAGCAGGGACAGATCAGCCAATCGCGGGACAATCGTGTTCATAAGATCAATGCGTTTTTGGACAAGGTCCGGCAGGAGAAAAAGCGCCAGCGCACAACCCAAGCCACAGACGCTGCCGCCGAAGCCAACAAGATCACACAGAAATGCCTGGAGAAACGAGAAGATGCCGTGAAATGGCCAAACAGTTCAAGAATAAGTAAGATTAATAAAAATTTAATTAATTGTGTAATAAATTACCTCTCCACGTAGACTCAAAGTTCAGCAAGACATCATTGACTTGCAGCGGATCAAGCTGGAGCGCCAAGAGCGTCTCATTATGCAGCTGAAGCTGAATAAGCTTAGCGATGAGGCTAAGGAGGCTCGCGAGGATCTCAAGCAAGAGCTAAAGACGGTAATTCGTTGCGGGGATCCCAAGGCGAAGGCTAAGGCCAAGTGTCTGCAGCTGATCGGCAGTCTGCGTGATGCAGACGACGAGGAGATGGCCCGACTTCAGGGCAAGGCACTGCTGCAACCACGCTTCTTGCAGCACATGCAGGAGCGGGCCATGGAACGAAGTGTGCGCCACGAACAGGCTCGTCAGAGACGGGCCCAGGCAGATGCCGAACGAGAGGCGGCCAAGGCGGCTCTTGAAGAGGCAAAGGTTGGTACTCATTCACATTTGTGTTGATTGATTATATCTTTCTCCTCAGCGCCAGGAAGATGAGGAAGCCAAGCGCCTTAGAATCGAGGTCCTCAAGGAAAAACGTCGTCAAGAGAAAATGGCCAAGGTGTTGAAGGAGCGCGAACGCCAAAGATTCATTGAGAACCAGCGCAAGGCTGTGGAGTTCAGCCGTCGCCTGCTGCTCCGTCGCATCGGTATGGAGGGTTCAAACGTCTGCTGCAGCGGAAGCGCGAGAATCTTGTCAGGAGCGAGGAGTTCCGAAGGCAGATGTACAAGAAGAACGCCTTTCAGTCGTGGCGTAACTATACGGCCTACAAGCAACGTGAGAAGATGGTCCGGGCTAAGATGTGCTGGCATAGAATCGTCAAACGTCGCGCCCTCTTTGCCTGGATGCTGTATGCGCAGAATGAGCGAAGCAAGATGCAAGTGGCTATAGATTGGAACGCTCTTCATGCCATGGAGCACTGGTTCGGCAGATGGCTTAAGTACACAACGCATAGTCGGATGATCGAAGACACTAAGACGAGGCAGGCGCTCTCTCATCACGATTGGTAGGTGTTCCTTAAAGAAATCTTTAAGTAAATGTATTAATCTTTGTGTCTCAATTTAGGCACCTGAAGTGGAAGGTCCTGGACTGCTGGCGACGTCTGCCACAGATCCTGAAGATCGAGAAGGAAACGGAAGAGCGACGACAGCGATGGCGCCTGAAGATCTGGGAGCTCCTGCCGATTACAAGCCCAGGGAGGATAGCTTGTGGTAAATTAGGCTATAGTTTAATTTTGGTTTTATTCATTCCACTTTTTGTTTTGGTTTCATAATATTAGTTTGTAATAAATTTTAAAATGGCTTTTACCGACCTTAAAGCGCTACGGCTAAGTACAACTACTAAGAATAGCGTTGAGAGTGAAATACTTTATAGTATTATGCGCGAAAAGCTTTTTTGTGCTCTTGCTTTTTTTTACTTTTTGGTTATTGCCAGGCATGGCTCACTTTAGTATGGCTCGCCACAGGCTTAATATACGGTTGCCCCGGCCACCGGCATGCGTAGAGCGTTTGTATTCGTGCAGGGTGGAACCCTTCCACCACAAGTATGCCTGTCGAGCTAGGATAAAGGCGATGTAGCCGGATATAAGCAGGGCATAGCAGGCCACCACAAATGAAATGCCGAGCCTACGAGGAATTAGTCACTCAAAACTTGAGCTTTCCATATAATTTAAATAAATTTATACTCACTCAAAGCTCTCAAACACCTCGCTGCAGTCGTCGGGCAACAAGATGGGATAGCCGAGGGGTCGCACCACCATAAAGGGATGGCATATTGATGTAAGGGTTAAGTTTGCGCCCAGCAGCAGTGCAATCTCTGACAATACCAGTCCACAGATGTACCACACATAGTTCCGTTCACCAATGCAGCAATTGAGCCAGTAGCTGTGGTGATCCCGCCTCTTCACACAGGTGCCGCAGATGGGACAGTGGTAGGCTCGCCTGGGAGTCACCTTCCGGCAGCTCTCGCAGATGTTGGGCTGTCCGTGCATCAAGCCCGCTCTCTCAGAGGAGTCTGCATCGACCACATCGTCGTCATCAAGAACACTCTCCATTTGAAGAGTTATCTGCGCCTCCGCCTGTTCCTCCCCGCTAGAAGCCTCCGCAATTCCAGGCAGCTCATCCTTGGGTGTAGTCCCATATTGCGCAGAGACTAGATTTAACGATGAGAGAGCTTTTGTCGAGTAGAGACAGTATAGGGCAGCGCACGAGAAAAACATCAGGGCGTAGTTTTCCTCGGGAGCCAGCTCCAGCAGTGGCACTTGGAACTCAAATATTATTATCATGTAGACACGGAGAAGACAACCCAGCTCAGAAAGAAGTTAGTCCGCGTAGCTGTCCGCTTGGCCACCTGCATGCCCCATACGGTGAAGCCGACAAGGGTAGCATAAGCACCACTGCTGTCTTGGAATTCAGAGTGGCCAAGCCAGCATTAGGGGACAATGAACGCGGGGGCCACTGCTGCCGGCGAGATTCGCTTGGCCCCACCGCGCCAAGGAAGGCGCAACCGGTCCTGGAAGGCAATCAGCATGCCGTCTATGTTTCTTCTATCAATGGACCGGCAGGTGACGAGTCTGATTGGGCAGGGGATAACGAATTAGATACAGTAGATACTTCAGTTTGCCCGTACCTTGTGCACACCAAGTCAAAGTCCTCGCAGTTACAACAGCATCCTAGGAGATGGGAACGCTGTTTATTCTTCTCCGCGACGTACTCACAGCAGCACAGAGCTCTACTGGTACCAGAACTGGCCTCTTCGTGCTCCAGTCTCCGGGCTGCAGACACAAAATCGCCGGAGCCGGCAGACATAAGGAACATCGATTAGACCAGCGGCGTTTGAATTAAGGAGTGGTTTTTGTAATGATCCAAGCAGCGTGTATGGGAAACAGTTTAGATTAGATAAAGGCACACCGCACTCATTCTGGAGAAGAGTTTTAACAGCCATTTACAGCGCCGATAATAGACATTTTCTTTGTTTTATATGAGCACTCACAGTTTGTCGGAAAACAATATCAGCTGACTGTTGGCACTAGAGATGCAAAAACATCGATAGTGAGTACAACGATGTTTTTGCATCTCTAGTTGACACCCTGTTGCAGGGTGTATCGTACTGACACCGACAATTTATCGAATGAATTGCTGCCAGTCCGAGTAACTGTTTAATCAAAAACATAATTAAAACACGCAAAAGTAAAAGGGCTTTCATTTAAATAAATGTATTAAACGCTAACTTTCTTTAAACTTCAACTGCAGAATCCCTCTCTTTAAGTTTTCCTCTGCCTGCCACACATTTTCAGTTTGGAAAACCTTTCCCAATTTTATTTTATCTGTAAACTGTTCCATACCGCCACCCACACCAAAATAATGAGATTTTGCAGCGACTAGAACGATTCCATCTGGTTTGAGGCGACCAGCAAAGGTTTCCAACAGCTTCTCCTGGTTGTCTATATTGTAAATGGTCTCCGAGGTCAGAATTAAGTCATATTTATCCAGGTCCTTGGTCAGAACTGCAAAATGAGACCAGTCGCCGGCATATAAACTAGTTTTGTTTTCCAAAAATTCCAACTTCTGTTCATCAGCAAGAGTTTCATCGACATTGAGCAGTATATTTGGATAGGTAATGTATTCCAAGACATCTTTGTTCTGAAATATACTTGATACATTAAAGGGATATAACGTTAAATGTTGAAATGTGACTTACATAGTCCTGAAAATCGACTTGAGCACCCATTTTTATGGCATAGATGCCCAGCAATCCGGAGCCACAGCCCAAGTCTAGCACTCGTTTGCCTTTCCAAAACGTATCATCCTCATATTTCCCGGCTAGGTAAGTAAGTAAGTCGTCGGTGCACTCCCAGATCTTGGCGCCGCCTTCGTAGACCCCGGCAATGAGATCCGAATGGCTTTCTTCCGCTTTCTTGATATCGAGATGAGTTTGAGCTTTTATGTCCTCTAGGAGAAACCCGGCCACAAGGTGTCGTATCCTGGCCTTACCCACTTCTCTTTCTTTGGCATTCAGTTCGTAGAAGTCGAGTGTGGGTATTAAGTTATCTATTGGTTTTACTCTCTCTGCCTGGTACCACTCTATAATCTGGATTTCATTCGCCTCAAGTTCCTCACTATGACCTTCTTTTTGTCAACAAAGGGACTTTTAACGGCCTCTAGATCGGAAGAGGACTCAGCTTCTACGTCAAAATTAAACTTGAACATTTTTAAGAGCTGTTCCTATGCCCTGTTGGACATACAATGGTAGAAATCAAATTTTAAAACTAATAACAAATCAGCTGCCGGAGAAACCACGCTTTTAACATTGACCACCCGTTGTTTTGGTATCGATATCGATTTTCCACGAAATGTATGGCAACCCCCTCGAGACTTGAGAGATGCCGTCAGGCTAATTAGTGTGACCACATGACACAGAGGCATAAATCCTCGCAACGAGGTTTTTCATTGCCCAGCTCTAACACTCACATTTCGCTAATCACATTTACCTTTACTAGCATTTGGAAATATAATATACGAAAATGCCGGACGCAGTGCAGCAGAGCTTTGTGCGGAGCTTCATCGACTATCTGAAAAAGCAGGTGGACGTGATGTCGCCAGACCAGAGCGAGAGCATCGAGGTGGCGATCCAGTGTCTGCAAGCGGCTTTCGACGTAGGAGATGATGTGGACCAGTCGCAGGACTCCGCTCAGGTGGAAGCCACAACACAGAGTAGCACTGGAAGCGCACCGGGCGGTGATGCGACCCCTAGCGGTAGCAGCGGCGTTGGCGCCCCCAAAAACATTGACATGTTCGAGCTCTTCCAGTCGCTGTACATCGAGCGCAATCCGGAATCTTTGGCCCTGGCCGACTCCATCAAGAACGAGGGCAACCGCCTGATGAAGGAGTGCAAGTATAACGAGGCCCTGCTGCAGTACAACCGTGCTATAGCCTTTGACCCGAAGAACCCGATATTTTACTGCAATCGTGCGGCGGCTCACATCCGCCTCGGTGATAATGAACGGGCCGTCACCGATTGCAAGTCCGCGCTGCTGTATAACGCAAACTACAGCAAGGCGTACTGTCGCCTGGGCGTGGCCTACTCCAACATGGGCAAGTTCGCGGAGGCCGAGCAGGCGTATGGCAAGGCCATCGAGCTGGAACCGGACAATGCGGACTTCAGGAACAATTTGGAGGTGGCCAGGAATGCCAGAAACCAGCCGCCGCAGCTGTCGCACCTGGCGGACGGACTCAATGCCATGCTGGCCAATCCCACGATGCGGAATCTATTCAGCAACGCTGAACTTGATCTGGAGCAATTAGTGTCGATGACTCAGAATCCTACGGTGATGAATACGATCGGTCAGTTGTTTTCCCAAATGGGCAATCCGAATGGCGGCGGCGGTGCAGCTCCTGGCGGCGGCGGTGCAGCTCCTGGCGCCGGTGGCGCACCGCCTCAGATTCCGACAATGCCGAACGACATGCTGCAGCTGTTCCAAAGCTTCGCCAGCCAGCTAGTGGGTGCCCAGCAGCAGGGCGGTGCCCCGAATGCAAATCCCGGCAATGGAGGCCAGCAGCCGGGCAATCAACCTCCGCCGAGCATCTAGTCGGGTGAGAGATGCCAGCCAGAAAGACCGGAGGAAACACACATAGACACACAGATTAAGTTTGTTTAGGCTGGAAACTATAATAACTGTATTTTTAATGTTTAAAAGGCTTCTATTACACATACATAAATATATATATATTTTTATTGAACGTAATAAATATATACATTCAGTAAAAACACTTCCTTGTTTCCATTATTTTTTGTATTTTGCGTGTATTAAACTTGGTTGCATAATGATCCAGGAAAAAGTTTGTATAGTTCCATAGGTCTGAGAAGACCTTGAAATGAGCAGTAAATAATTAAAAATTAAATCATAAAAATAAAGAAATTAAGCTTACATTACATCGCATGGGAAATCGATCAAAAAAGCATTTATTTCAATTCGGAACGTTTTTCTGTGTTAGTTTTTAATAGGTTAACAAATCTGCATACTCAATTAAAAATTAGAAGAATCATTTTAAATATCCACTTAAATATATAAATTCAACAACCGCAAGTGTAGTTTAAATGTCGTTTTTATTGAATTCAAGAAATGTATGCTTTCTGTGTGGATTATTGCTGATTTGCATATCTACGTGGTACAATTGTTGATTCGATTACAAGTAAACTATAAAAACTAATTAGTGGTTAAAACAAAGAATGGTTTTGACGTTCCGCAGCTTCATCGACTTCTTCTTGTGGAGAAATTGAGAAATGTATATTTATCCGTTGCATTTGAGCTTTATTTTATACGAATAGTAAATATTGCAAGTTTGTTCAACTGGTTATCGTTATAATCTTATATTTATGCATTTGACAGATCGAGAGTGATGGAACGTGATTTAAGTTTAAAACAATGCCAGCGCTCTTTTTGAGAAGGAAGGAGCAGAATGAACGGGTGCGTGACACAATTAAAAAATTGTCACGCAATAATTGTGGCAAATAACGTTCTTTGCGAAAAAATAAAAGCAATGTAAGAGTGTTTTATGAGAAAGATGAATTCACTTTCTTTTGAAGTGAATGTACGCTGAAAGTAAACGAAGGGGAGAAAGTTATTAGGAAAACCATTTTCATACTCACCAGGGAGGGTCTTTGGAAACAGTAGATTCGCATATTTCCCTTCGATTGCTTACTTGCTTGTCGCAGCATCATTGCAGTAGCGTATATTCTGGACGTAGAGTAGTGACTCTTAATCTCGGATGGTTTTTTTTTGTTTTGTTTACGGACTAGGACAAAATTCATGTGAAGTACTCGTACTGCTGCTGCTTTTCTTTTCTCAATTCTTTGCTTAGTATTTGTTAAAACGACGATTCCTATAGCCTCCGCCGCCACCGCCACCGCCGCGCTGTCTCGCCCTATTGTTGTTTCCATAGTTCTGGTTGACTTTGTTGGAATATTTTCCGGATGGCGGCGAGTAGAACTTCTGATCGTTGGATGGCCGTGCCTTTTTCTCCTGATCCTGCTCCTTCTCCTTACTATTAGCGACGGCTTTGTCACCAAAAGTGATAGGTGCGTGGCGCTTGCCCAGCTTTGTCTGCAAATGTAAAAGATATAGAAAAAGTTGGGGATATTTTATAGCAGAATCATACCGCTTTTGGCACTATCCAGGAGAGGACAATATCATGTTTGAAAATGGGCGGCGAGTGGAACAAATCGCGAATCAATACGTTAATATTCGAAGTGGTCTTTAGTGCCGTCTGCTTCAGTTGGTTCTCCTCCGACTTTAGCTCCTCCGCCGACTTGCCCTTTAAAGCCTCCTCCAGCTTCTTAATATAACTGCAAGACGATTTTAAGTAAATAAACTAATATTCTAGTCTTATTTTTATATGGACCTACCCCTGTGTTCCCCTGGCGAGATATTGCAATCTAGCCCGAAAGTCTTTCAGCTTCTCTGCGTCCTCGACGAAACTTAAACTAGTTGGATGATTCTTGCCCAGCGTGTGCAGAGCGTACAGTAAGCACTCGGCATGCGAAAACTGAAACGAGGGCGGTGTATCACCCAAATCCTCATCGCTCAGCTTCGGCAAGGGCATGTACTCCTAGAAAAAAGCATTCATTATTATTTAGATAAGCCATTAGAACCGAAAGATAACTCACAAGTAATACATTGTAGACTGCATTAATGCGCTCACTGGCATTATCCAGCTTGTCTGTGTTGGCTATTATCTCAGCAAACACCTTAAGTAGTCGCAGTTGTATTTGATCTTGGGAGACTGCAGTTGCAATCATGTTCCAGGTCTTGATGGGCAGCAGTTTATCGCAAACGTGGGCCACGAATGCCGTCGATTTTATGGTTTTCTTTTAAATATAGCCACAGATTAGATTTGCCAGGAACTAAAATTAAAAAGAAACACTTACAGAGAAGTAAGGAGCCGCTGCCGTAGCACACTGAATAAATCTCTCCACAACTTCATCGTCTACGGCAATGATATCCGTGTCTGTGTTATTGAGTTCGGCTTGCTCGGTGGCCAGCTTAACAAGTTCAGCGTGTCCAGTGATGGTTGTACCCAGCTTTGTGGCTCCCAAAATGGTCATGCAAAGATGGAACTCGTCGGCGGTGACATCCTGTAGCGCCTTCTTGATCTCTTCAACAATATAATCCTCGATCTCCTTGGTATAACTGTGGGGCCCATGGTGAGCAGTTTGGTGGCAATGAACTTAAAGCAACGCTCCCTGGTTGTCTCATCGCCCGTGGTGATCTGTTGGAACAGCCCGGTCACGGAACTCTTCGTGTCTAGCTTGATAATGCTCAGCAGCGAGTTGTTGACCTGCTGCAGCTCACTTGGATCGTCTAGGATGAGCAGCTGAGCTAGAGTGTCACCCACTCGGGTGGTGCTTCAGCATTTCCTTGACATAGTTTCGGCAGATCCTTGATGGCCTGACGACGGATCTATAGCAATATAAGAGTTAATATTTAGCTAGCTGCTAATTGGTTTCTATGACAGCAGGTGGTATAGTGAAGAGATTTTTAGTGATATACATTTGAACTTTAAACTGAGCCATACAAAAAAATACGGGCATACGGATAGATAAACGTTTACCCTAATTTTTTGAGGAAATTCTCTCTACCTGCATAGGTACAAATACTTTTTAGTAGACCAAATCCACCCACCTGTGTGTCGTCATCTTCGCATAAATCAAACTGTGCATCGATGGCTGTGTCAGCCAGATCCGGAAAATGCTTAAAGAAGTTTCCGATAAACTGTGATGCAAGACGCTTCTCTTTGACGAGCCTTTCACGGCCTTAAGTATCTCCTTGTATTCCTCCACATGCTGTAAAAAAACAAACACATACATATATTAGTGAGACATTACTCCAACACATTCCCTCCCGGCACGTTTCGGCGGGGTACCGTTTTCTTTTGCAATGGCGGCTTACCTCAGATATTTTGTCGCCTGCCTCAGAGAGAATCTCGTAGCATTTGTACAGTCGCTCAATGTTGTCCATCGTCTCAACCAATAGTTAAACTAGTTAAATAGTCACAACGTTCTGTTTGCAATTAATTCTAACTTTTCTTTGATAAACCGAACTGACAGCGTTTTTTACGTAGGCAGCTAACAAAATGGTGATCTAAAGTGTGACCAAAGCTAAAAAGCAACGATATTTCTATCCCGGATAGAGGTGTAAAAATATTAGTAGTGGTATTCGGTGTTCAGCTATTACGATACTTTGCTTACTAATTTATTTAATTTTTGTATTCTTATTTTTTTGTTGTGTAATCTAATATAACTGAATAAATCAAATTGCTTATACGATATTTTCAGTCCTTTCCTCTGGAAAAATATTAATACATACATCTTCAAAATTAATAAGGGTATTCCCTTAAACAAATTATCAAAATTTATACAAAACTTAATTTTCTTAGTTTTAAATTAATCAGAATCTCTACGACTAAATGACTGAAAATACAGGAAGCTTAAAACAAGTGCTTCCATACAAATAGCATATACGATATTTTCGGTCATTTCCCTAGAAAATGTATGCATTCTCATACATCTTCAAATTTTTTGAAATATTTATTAAAAATATTAATTTGCTTAATTTAATATTAAATTCAATCAGGATTTCCTATTCTTTTAGGTCGTTGAATATATTGGTAATATTTCTTGTTTTTCAATATTTTTTGAAGCGATTTTACATCACTACAATTGTCAATGATTGTCACTACAATGATCTTAAATTAATGCATTGTTGATCAATTTTAAATATGACTGATTGCTAACTTCAAGGGTACACAAACTTCGGCTTCCCAAAGTAAGGATTTTTTTTTTTTTTTAAATTATTTTAAAAAAATGCTTTATGTATAATAATAAGCTGTAATATTTTTTAATACGATTTTGTAGCAAATTAAATTATTTGTAACTAAATTAAATATACATATTTAAAATACGTAAAATAATATTTATGGAATAGCATTCAAGGCCTGTTCAAAGTATTCCACCATCATGGGATACACCTCGTCATACTGCTGGATATTTTTGCGCCTGGCATTGTCCCGATACCGCTGGAGTGCACCCGAGATGAGCTCCAGCTTCTCCCGTTCAGCCGTTGACCATCCAGCCATTCGATCAATCGCTCATTCGACCAGTTGGCGGTAGTATGCGGCGACTGTAGGTCTGCTCCAGCATGTCCAAAGAGCAATAGTAATACAATATAACTGGGCACAAGGGAGTCCTCTCCGATTGTCTGCTTCCCCATCTCCTGCGGCGTTGGAACGATCAGTAGTGACATGGCTCTTAGCAGACGCGAAGGCTTTCCGAGCTCAGCCAGATTTAGCAAAGGGCTTTTAACGCATGTTCCATATGCTGGCAATCTGCTTCAAACGCTGCCTTCCCTCTGAGCACAGAGCTCGTGGCCACACTTGGTGTTGAACGGTTAATGACTTCCTGGGGGATATAAAAGATTGTATCTTAGCCAAATTCCGAGAGATAGCCATCAAACCCACCTGTAGATTGAGGGACCCGTAGTGGACAACCTGTCAGTGGGACGGGAATAGATCGTGGCAGCGCTTAATTCAGTGAAAGCCCATCGTATAAGGTTGTCCACAGGTTAGCAGCACACTAGCTGACATAACCCACTTCTGCGGTATGCACTGGCCCGAGGACTCCGAGGTATAACCAAATTGGTTGATCTGCTGTAGGGCAGTCTTATGCAGCTTGATCTGCGTGCGAAGTCTCGTAGAGCTCATCATTGGGCAGTCAGTGCGGGGACTTTCAGAATTTGTCCCGAAAGTTCTACATGGTGGTCAGCTGGGGAGTTTTGCCTGGTCGACTTGCTCACATTGCGTGTGGGCGATAAACTGTGCTGCAAGACGCTTCTCCCTTCACGGCCTTAAGTATCTCCTTGTATTCCTCCACATGCTGTAAAAAACAAACAAATACATATATTAGTGAGACATTACTTCAACACATTCCCTCCCGGCACGTTTCGGCGGGGTACCGTTTTCTTTTGCAATGGCGGCTTACCTCAGATATTTTGTCGCCTGCCGCAGAGAGAATCTCGTACATTTGCACAGTCGCTGAATGTTGTCCATCATCTTAGCCAATAGTTAAACCACTTAAATAGTCACAACGTTCTGTTTGCAATTAATACTACACTTTTTTTTACGAAGGCTGCAAGCAAAATGGGGATAGAAAGTGTGACCAATGGAGTCTAAAAAGCAACGATATCTATCCCGGATAGAGGTGGAAAAACATTGATGGTGGTATTCGGTGTTCAGTACTTTGCCTAAAACTTATTTGTTGTTTGTATTTTATTCTTTTGTTGTGTACTCTTATATAACTGAATAAATCAAATTGCTTATACGATATTTTCAGTCCTTTCCTCTGGAAAAATATTAATACATACATCTTCAAAATTTAATAAGGGTATTCCCTTAAACAAATTATCAAAAATTATACAAAAATGAATTTTCTGAGCTTTAAATTCAATCAGAATGCCCTATACGACTAAATGACTGAAAATACAGGAAGCTTAAAACAAGTGCTTCCATACAAATAGCATATACGATATTTTCGGTCATTTCCTCTAGAAAATGTATGCATTCTCATACATCTTCAACATTTTTTGAAAATATTTATTAAAAATATTAATTTGCTTAATTTAATATTAAATTCAATCAGGATTCCTATTCTTTTAGGTCGTTGAATATATTGGTAATATTCTTGTTTTCAATATTTTTTGAAGCGATTTTACATCACTACAATTGTCAAAAAATTAAAACATTAAGTTTCTGATCTTAAATTAATGCATTGTTGATCAATTTTAAATATGACTGATTGCTAACTTCAAGGGTACACAAACTTCGGCTTCCCAAAGTAAGGATTTTTTCTTTTTTTTTAAATTTATTTTAAAGATTGATTTTAAAAAGAATGTCTTTATGTATAATAATAAGCTGTAATATTTTTTTAATACGATTTTGTAGCAAATTAAATAATTTTATTGTAACTAAATTAAAATATACATATTTAAAATACGTTAAAATATATTTTATGGAATAGCATTCAAGGCCTGTTCAAAGTATTCCACCATCATGGGATACACCTCGTCATACTGCTGGATATTTTTGCGCCTAGCATTGTCCCGATACCGCTGCAGTGCACCAGAGATGAGCTCCAGCTTCTCCCGTTCAGCCGTGTGACCATCCAGCCATTCGATCAATCGCTCATTCGACCAGTTGGCGGTAGTATGCGGCGACTGTAGGTCTGCTCCAGCATGTCCAAAGAGCAGCAGTAATACAATATAACTGGGCACCAGGGAGTCCTCTCCTATTGTCTGCTTCACCAGCTCCTGCGGCATTTGAACGATCAGTAGTGACATGGCTCTTAGCAGACGCGAGGGCTTCCCAAGCTCAGCAAGATTAAGACAGAGGGCTTTTAGCGCATGTTCCATATGCTGACAATCCTGCTTCAGACGCTGCCTCCCCGCTGAGCTTAGAGGACGCAGGATGCACAGGTTGTGGAGGAACAGCTCGATGCAACGCTTGGCCAGCTCGTGACCACACTTGGTGGTCATCTGCTTGTCATCGAAGAGGGCAATGTGATGTGACCAGGAACGGTTGATGAATTCCTGGGGGATATAAAAGATTGTATCGTAGCCAAATTTCAAGAGATATCTATCAAACCTACCTGCAGCTCCTTCATGTACATCGAAGGACCCGTGGTGGACAACCGGTCAGTGTTGAGTCCCGGTTCACGGTGCATACTAAAATGATGATGCTTATTGTTGTAATAATCGACTCCATGATCTGCTGCAGAATGGTGCCAATTAGCAGATCCGCTTGCTCCAGTGAGCGTGAAATGTTCTCCCTAGCACTTCCTGGGGTCTTCTCGAACTGAACCTGGAGATCTCCCAGCATGCGACGTACTGAATCCTTGTAATAATACAAGACATTGGCCAACTGTGTGTTCTGTTGCTGCTGGAGGTTAGGCAGATCCACAACCTGTTTTGAATCGGCTCCCAGCTTGATTTGTGCCTCCAGTTTGGTACACAATTCCTTGCCACAAGCTATAAATACATTCGCAATGGAATTCGTAAGTCGGGAATCGATTAAGGCAGCGCTTAGTTCAGTGAAAGCCACTCGTATAAAGTTGTCCACAGTCTCGTTGCCAGGTAGATCTACTCCGGCCAAACAGGCTTTAAGGTTAGCAGCACACTTGCTGACATAACCCACTTCTAGGGGGGCAAACAGCTCATTGTCGAACTGGAATTCCCCATTCAGACGCTGCTCCAAGCCACGTGCCGACGTCAGGAGCTTGGAGAGGCCTTCCTGGAGGTCTGAGTGACGTGCTGTGGGCACTCATCAAAGGACTTCCGTAGCAGTTGCTGGACTTGCTGCCAAAATCTCTGCGGTATGCACTGATCCGAGGACTCCGAGGTATAACCGAATTGGTTGATCTGCTCTAGGGCAGTCTTAAGCAGCTTGATCTGCGTGCAAGTTCGTAGAGTTCATCATAGAGCAGCCAGTGCAGGGACTTCCAGAATTTGGCCCTAAAGTTCTGCGTGGTGGTAAGCTGGGGAGTTTTGCCTGGTCCTCTCGAGGCAGTCGGCTTGCTTACATTGTGCGTGGGCGACTTGTTCAACACCGAAATGTCGTTACCGGCAAAGCACTCCTTGAGCGACTGCTCCATGTCCGCTATGAAGGTGGCAAGCAGGTTGTCCAGCGATTTCTCCAGCGTGTTGAAATTCATGAAGATCTATGTTGATGGATAGGGTGTGATAAAAAATGTAAGATCTAGAAATTCTTGTTAACTGACCTTCAGGGCATTAACCACTTGATTTTGATTTCGTTCCTGGAGGCCAGTGACCAACTGCATCTGCGTGAGGTTTCTTATCTTCTGTCCCGAGCTGATCACATACGCTCTCTCCTGCTGTATAAACTCGATGTCCTTCAGGTCCTTGTCCTCGATTAGTTGGCCCAATTCAAAGTGCAGCTCCGCTTGCCGCAGCACATCCTTAGTGGCCTTTAGTTTGGCCGTGAGAGTCAGCAGTGTTCCGGCAGAGCGCAGAAGGTGACTCACATCATGGAGACGTCCCAGAACCTGTGTTTGGTTCTCCACCTGCTGATACTGCGTGTCTACCTGGCTCTTCAGCCGATGCCCGGTTTCCCTTACCCGCTGAACGTCTTCCGCTAGCGTATTCAAGGCTGCATCGAATCTTCCTGCATGCGTGGCCTGCTGAAGAAGTGCTCCATGCTTGTCTCGCACCTGCTGGTGCAGCTCCTCCTTGGTGTTCTGCAGTTGTTTGGACAACTCCTGGATCTGCTGTCCAATTGTTAGGTGCGACATGGCAGCGGTGTAGTCGTCATCATCTGAAGCTGCCGTTTTTGGACTGGTCACTGATGGATCTCCAGTCACCATGCTGGAGAATGATTTAATCTGTATATATTTCAAGTTTATACTGTAATTAGCCTGTAATGGTGTTATTTTCCACTATTTTAGTACGAGCAAAATCTTTTTCCACGCAACCAATGGCGGTTTCTAAGAATCGATAACTTTGCATGGGTGCAGTTAAAAGGGTTTGAATAAAGATATTTCTATAAATATTCTATATTAGTTCAAATTGGCAAAGCGTAAGGAAATAATTCCACAAGAGTACAGGTAATTTGTAAAATTAATTAAATTAAGGTAAAACGATTTATTGCACTTGAGAATCCCCGTATATCGAAAGCTCTAACTGCGCCCATGTAAAGTGCATTGCTATCGATAGCTCGAATCAGCTGTTGCTTAGTTTGTTTTGTGTAAATAATTGTGAATGCGGAGAACAGCCTTAATTTAATTGTTATTTGTAAACTGTTCACCATACTTCCCATATTTTCCATGTCGGACGACATCAAGAAATATTTCAATGGCCTGCTGCAGAAGTATATATATTCAGGCATAGAGTACTTCGCCGTGAATAAGCTATTTTTTTTTTTAGGGTCAGCGGCCTGTACGTGATTCAGATAACGGATCGCGACGGAGTGCCACTCCTACGGGTCAGCCAGGAGAAAAACATCGACTTTGCGCTGATGCCCTCGTTTATACCCACATTCACCACGGCCTGCGATCAGGCTAGCAAGCTAGGACTTGGCAGGAACAAGACCATCATCTCCATGTACTCCAACTACCAGGTGGTTCAGATGAACAAATTACCGCTGATTCTCACCTTTGTGGGGGCGGAGAACTGCAATACAGGTCACATTCTAGCCCTCGAGCATCAAGTGGATGGGTATCTGGAGGACATCAAACTGGCTGTTACCGAGGCATAGAGTTAACCTAATACATATACATACTTATTTTTAAAACGTACTAAATGTTTACACTTTATTGAAAACGTAAAGGTTTGTTACTATTTTTTCGGGAATATTAAGCTATAAACGTAGTCATTATTATTTTACAGGCAGTTTTGCAAAAGAATACGATTTATCAGTAATTTAGACCTGTGCTTATTTCTTGTATAAATGCAGATCCTGAATAGATATTTCGGTGACTGATTTTTTCTATTTTAATATCTAGGTTGCTTCTTAAAAATAATATTAATTGTTTCATATAGTTTTTATCTCACTTGTGCTTAAATATTTGAAAACATAATGTTGAAAGAACAATAGAATGCATTTATATTTTTCTAGAGGACTAAACCGAAATTATTTTCTACATTTACTGATATATATTCTCTTATTCTTGCATTTAATACATATGAAAATAATTAGAAAAAAACCTCTCAGCTTAATGCGTTTAAAATCAACATTGTTTTCCAACATAATTGTATAACTCGTTTGCAATTATGGTTCTTTAAAAATACTATGTGTGTTAACACTTTATTCAGAATGAAACTTGATTTACTTTTTGCTTAAATGCATAGTTTTCAATTAATTTGCTACAATTTTTGATGGTTTTCTTTCCTTCTTCAGCTTGGGAATGATGTCGACAAAACTTAAGTGTTGTTTTTTTGTTTACAACTAAAATACAATCCCCAAATCTCTAAAACTCGAATGCCAAGCACATACTCCTGCTGTTCCATTGGTCTGCGCTGGTTTATATTTTCAGAGTTCGTCGTGCAGGCTTTCCGTTTCAGCTTGAAAAGCTTCGCTATCGCAGGCCGCGGGAGTTTCAAATTCAAAGAAATATTCGCAACGGTTTGGCTCACTGACGGCCGTGATCTTTGGATCCAGAGCACACTTGATGTTGATAATAGCCGATCGCTGAGGACCATTCCAACAGGCGGCACCATTGGCGTACCGTTGCTGCGAATACTTCTTCGGCTTGCCGATCCACTGATCCCAGCGACCCAGGGTGGTCTCAGGACCGCCATTCTTGGATTTCTGCGAGGTGCGATCGAAGGGACAGAGAGTGTAGACATACTCTCGATCTTCGAAGGTGTAGCACTGGCCATCGAGCACCGCCCACTCTTGGCTGAGGCCATAGTCCTTGCCCTCCTGCTCGTCAATCTCCTTGATCTCCTGATCGATCTCGCGAATGCTTCGCTCCACTTCCTCGAGGGCATTCCGTGCTTCGTTGGCTTGCTGGACCAGACGCTGAGTCTCGGGGTCATATACCGGTGGTGTGGCGTCTTCTACATCGGGAGATGCTTCACCAACACCCACATCAGGTTCTTCTTCATCCTCATATTGATCCTCTTCGCCTTCCTCGTCAGCATCGATATCCTCATTGCCTGCCAGCTCAGCTTGTTCTGTAGGATAAGAAAAATAAATAAGAAGTAGAAAATGGTTTAGTAAAATGAAACCCATTCACCTTCGCTGATTATTGGCGGTGTGGGCTGGACTCCTTCGGTGGTTGCCTCCGCCTGCTGGCCTTCAACTTCTGGAGCCACCACCTCCGGCTGCGGCGGCTGGAACAGACCCTCGGCCAACATTTTCAAAGGCTTAATCCGGGGCCAGGCGAGCGTAATGAACGCGTCTAGATCCACGCGATCACGCTCGTCAAGGAAGTACTTGGCTTCTTCGACGGTGACCACACCGTTGCGATCGCTGTCCAGATTCATGTCCACCATCAATTCAGTGACCTCGACGAAGCCATCCTTGTTGGTGTCATACCGGACAAAGCTAAGGGAGGCCTCTTGACGCATTTGTTGTGGTTCCTGCTCCGCTTGAGCGGTCTCTGCATGCAGTTCCCGTTGCTGCTCCTTGAAGATTTCGACAGCCTCCGATTCCAGAGCCTCGGCATTTTGCTTGAGCTGCTGCTTCTCGGTGCGTAGAAGTTCCTGTTCTTTGTGTCGCTGGTTTAGCTCCTGACGGCGCGCCTCTCGCTCTTCGCGCATCTGCTTGCCCTTGGTAATCATTTCCAGGCGACGCTCGGCTCCTCGCTTGTGAAGCTCAGCCTCGTTCCTGCGTTGTACAGCAGCAGCTGCTCCGAGTTCCTGACACGTGTTGGTACACCCAACATCCTGTGACTCATCGCTGCCATCGCAGCAGTCACAGATTCCGTCCTGGACCTGTGAACTGGGAATGTCCACCGGCTGATGGCCCTTGTTCAAACAATGGAACTGGCCCTGTGGGCAGGCGGCAGTGCCTGGTTCATCGCTGCCATCCGCACAGTCGCAGAAGTCGTCGTTGACTTGTGAAAAGGGTATGCTCCGGCTGCCGTCAAGGCAAGTCCAACTGTTGTCCGCTCGCGGCTGGTACAGCGTAGCCTTGGCCAGGGAAACGCCGAGGGGACGTGGAGCTTGGGTGGCAGAACTTTCGTTCGGGATGAACAGGGCCACAACAAGTGGTATAAGCACTATTCGAACGCCTTGCAAGACCTTCATTTCAGCGCTAACTTTGGCTAATCCTAATTAATACCCTAATTTAGGTCGACTGTGTTGCACTGTAAATCTTACGTGGAATTTGCTATGATTTTTTACGAGTCGTAAATGCCGGTGGAGCTCTAGAGATGGCAGTGCTGTGTTATCGGTAGCTATCGATTTCAACCAGTTGCGGAGCAGAAGAGGAAATATATAAATTTTAATTAATCTGTAGGAACTCTATTAATTTACTGAACCAGAACATGTGCATTTGTTTAATATAATAATAAATAATGAAGTTACTTGAATTTTTAAGCACAAATGAACCTTCTGCGTAAGCCACTGTGTGTTCATCGATGTGGCAACTCAGCCGGCAATCAGCTGCCGGTTTGTTATTCAACCAAATTCGAGGAGTATAAAAACGTATTAAATTATGGAATTTCTGACTAAAGTTTGGGCCAAGGAGGTAACTAAAGCAGTGGATATAGAAGCCACACCCGCCACGGCACAGAATAAATCCAGTTCAACAACTGCCGATGCTCCTGCCAGCCAAGAAACGAGGGAATCCTCCGACGGAACCAGCACTGGCCAGAAGGATTGGGGCTATGACCTGTACCCGGAGCGGAAAGGAGAGACCTTCAAGCCGAAATGGACAAAGGTACTGTTTGGGATGGAGGGTCAGGAGAACATCGATCGCTTCAAGTGCGAGCAGAATGTCTATTGGTGCGTCAAAAATGGGCCACTGGTGAAACTAATGATGGGTGCCTTGAAGAGCTCCGGCTGTCCCATTGATCTGCGTCGACACATCTCCTGCGAGGTTTGCGATCCCACGGTCACGGGCGGCTACGATCCCAAGCTCAACCAAATCGTGGTGTGCCAGAATATGGCCAAGAACAAGAGCATGGTTCACGGAGTGCTCACCCACGAGATGATCCACATGTTCGATTATTGCAATAATGATATGGACTTCCGGAATGTGGACCATCTAGCCTGCACGGAGATCAGGGCGGCGAATCTGGCGCATTGTTCATTTCTGAGTGCCATGTTCCAGGGAGATGCCTCGCCTTTCAATGTCAAGGAAGCGCATCAGGTGGGTGAAATGCTTATATATATATAGTATTATTATTATCTTTATTATCTCAAATTCAGAACTGCGTCAAAACCAAGGCCCTCGCCTCTGTTCTAGCTGTAAGAAATATAAGCAAAGAAGATGCCATTGCAGCGGTAGAGAGAGTTTTTCCCAAGTGCTATGCGGATCTGGAGCCCATTGGCAGGAGGATTCGGCGCAACTCCACGGACCAACAGAAGGCCTACATGGAGGGACCCATGTATGGCTATGATGTTTACTAAATTGAAATATATGTGAATTCGTTTTAGGAATACAACAAAGTTAAATAAAACTATCTTTTTAAGCTTGGCTACATTTCCCATATCATGGTGGCAGACGGATTTACTATATTTAAAGCCCAAATCGGTTGATATTAATTAAATTGCTTAACATTAACCATGGAAATATACCAAGTTCAAAAGGTACATTTATTTTTGTATATAAATACAACCTTTTTATGGCTTGGGATGTTAGTAAAAGTTTGTAAAGCAATAGAACCAAAGGCCATGGAAGACTGCGAGATAATTGGAATGATATTCGAAATCATCGGTGACATGCTGTTCGGCTGTAAGTTGGAGGATATAGGAGAAGTCGAGCTGGATAAGTAATAAAGGAAATCCGATTTAATCACATAGAATATTATTATTACTTTTACAGCTGACAGCTCCTCTGATGATGATTACGACAACTAGGAGGCATTTAATAGAAAAAAACTTGAATTAATATTCAACCATTCCATTATAATATCAACAATTAAATTAAATTCCGCTTCCGACCTTCAGAATAAAAGCTATAAATGCGAAATAAAATTCGCCAAATAATACAAATCAAGTTAAAGCTACACCATGGACTGCTGTGAGCTGCCGGAAATATTTTTGAGTTTCCTCAACGACCTCTTCTTCTCGGACATAAGTAATTAATTAATTAATTTTGTGAAATATTTCCCGACTTGAACTGATATATGGTTTCTTATTTATTAAGCTGATGAAGAGTACTTTGGAGACTACTATGACAACTACTAAGCTGACTAGCCTGATGTAACAAAAAGCAAATAAATTTGATATGAGCATCTACCTTTTAAAGCTTTTCAATAGTCAATCATATATATTTTGACCTAAATCATGCAATCGTTTTTGATTCGAATTAAGCCCGAATTGGTCGAGCGCTTTTGTCATGGCTCATTAAAGGGGTCTGGGTCAAAAGCAATCTGGAGTTGAAAATGCCATTGTATTTAGTGACAAAACGTTGAGCTCACCGGATCGAATATGTTTTGGGATCTCCTTGGAGGAATTTTTGAATTTATTTTCGGGCTATTGTTTCCCAGTAAGTTTTCTTAGTTGTTGTCATAATATTTTCCGTTAAATTGTTTATTTTCTTGTTTGGGCAGGTTCGGACAGTGGCGATGAACCAGATTCAGAGGAGGTGGAAACTACTTGATGGCTTAATCGGTTTTCGTTATTATTTTTATAAAAAATCCATATTTTTGCTTTATTACGTCTACGTAAAGTGTGTATATTTAACATAAATTGCTTCAACTGCTTACTGCTGCTTCAGTGTATTCATTATAAGTAGGGATTATATACAGTGCGCTATCGCCATACGCATCTCAACAAGTTAAAACAGTTTAAACTGTTTTTTCAGCTCCATTTTTTTCCATTTCGGCAGCTCGTCAAATTCGTAAAATGACATTTTAAAAACCGACACAAAATCATCGTGGGTGAGATGAACCTGGTTATAGAATATAATTTAGTTTAGAAAACACATTGACATATCCCTTAGTTAAATTAAGCTCACCTCTCTCTTAAGAGGATTTATTTCTGATGGCAACATGTCCATCTCCTGGGTGAGTACCATCAGCGGGTACTTTTTGTGACCATCGAAATCCTTCTGTCTGTTGTTCAAAAGCAAGGCAGATCCATTATTTGTGATGTTACCAGTGGTGGGAACTGCAGTACCAAGCTCCTTGCGCATTGCCTCGTAGGACATGAAGTTCTAAAATGAAATGTAACATTAATTAAGATTTAAAAAGCAGTGTAAATGATGCACTTACCTTTCCATAATCGTTTTGCCACGACTCAAAGAATCCTTTGAATACATTCGGCTCTTGGAACTGCCTGACCACCGCCAAGGCTGTGGCAGATCGGCGCCCGAACGGAGCATTCTGCACATAGCTCTGAGCGATGGCCGTGTATCGCTCCTGATTTGGACCCTGTGAGCCCAGCCAGACGTATGTAAGGGTGCCCGTATCCAGGATATAGGTACAGTCGGCACTGAGATCCTGCTGCTCAAAGCCGAGTATCTCCTCGTACCTCAGTGCACTCTGCTGCCACCAGACCAAAAATAATTGAACCGGCGGCCTCGGTTTGCTCGGAACACTGGTGTTCAGATAGCAATTGTTGCTGAGAGTTGGCGATATATTGCCACTGTTCGAGGAACTGCCGTTGCACATGCTACCGGCACCGCTGCTACTGCTGCTGGTACTGCTTGAACAAGAGTTTCCGTTGCCATTGATCACCAGCGTTTGGTTGAAGTACATCGCCACCGATTGCCAGAACTCCTTGGTCTCCTTGCCCTCAAGAACCAGGGAACTCTCTCCAAGCATACCGCCTACTGATTTAGCCATCTCTCGTGCATCTCCCGTACTACTTTGGCCGCACCATACCCACACATGGTTGGTCTTGATCACATAACAATCCTTGGAGCTGATCGATGACAGAGGGGTCTCCTCTACTGCCTTGGAATTATAAGTGGCATCGCCATAGACCTTGAGCAGGAAAGTCTCAGACATGGCAGATCCCTTCGTGTTCCCGTTGCTGAGTATCTCGCCGCGTTGTCCCCGCATGATGATCAGCTTGCCCTCGAAGATCTGCAGAAAATGTGGTGGCTCATCGAACTCGTACAGCTGCACGAACATTCCGGGTTCTTTGAGAGCCTCGAAGCTGGCTCTGGCGAACTTGTCCGCTCTGGCAATTGATTCTGATGAGGCCTCCGAACCGTTCCACTGGTAAATGATCGATTTTATGCCCACCGATGCCAAGTCAGCGGGTATAACAGTGGCACACTGCACCGTGTACTTGACTACATAACTGGCGTTGGTGGTGAAAACCACCGTCTTGGAGGCTGCTACCTCCTGCACTTGATCGCCAAGGATGCGAAAGAGTACTCGCTCTCCCCTGCCATCGTCTACCAGCTGGGTATCCGCTGCCATTTTCGGACGCTCACACAGAGAGTGGGCATCGAGCTTTCCCAACTTCGTGGAAACGGGCTTATGGCTGCGTGAGTTCTCATGCCACACATTCAGCCAGTTAGCGAATAGCCGCTTGAACTCCACTGGCTCATGACCCTCCAGAACGCGCACCACCAGTGTGTTATCCGGGTATTTCTTCTTTTTAACAAAAGCCCTGCCATTTCCCATGGCCGAAAGGGCATCTGCTTGCGGTGCCTGAGCTCCAACCCATAGCCAAACGCTCTGGCCGTAGTTATCCAGCAAATACACGCCATGGGCATCGCTTAGATCATCCTTGGCCGGCATGCCAACGTCCAGTTGATCCAAATGAAGTCGTCCGCGCTGATTACACTTGTAGATTCGGAATTTGTTGCTATTGTAGTCGGTGTATTCGCTGACCAACTGGCTGGCCTGGCACACCATTCGCTTCTTCAGCGGCAACAGAGAGTTCCACAAATCTTTATTCTCCGGGGACATGGCCTGTTCGTAGCCATCGTCCACTACGGTGATGGGAGATCCATTCGAATGCTTTTGGACCCATGCAAGGGCACTTCTTCGTTCGATTCCCGAACTGGAGCGACCGATCCATACGAAGATCAGGCTATCCGTTTGCAGTACCATTATGTAATCAGAGTTAAAGTGCGACCAATCAATGGTGGCATGCTCAATGGATCGCAGCCATTTGCGGGAATGCAACTGATAGAGACGTGGCCGCAAAGGAGCGGTTATCAGAGATCCTGAGCGTATGCTATAAAGGAAAGTAAAAAGGGTATTATTTAGTTTGGAAAATTAAATCAAAAACTCACTCGTAACCCTTTTTGAAGTAGGACAGAAATCTGGCACTCTCATGACTCTGTGTCTCCCGATAAATGGAGGCCACATTTCCAAGATAAGAGTCCAGCTCTTGGATTTTGTGCACCACATTTGAGCGATTCTGTTCGCTGACATTTCCGCCTAACCAGTAGTGGATATATCGCTCCAGCGTAACATTCGGCTTCTGTTCGCGTGTCTATATAAGTAGGAGGAGAATTATTTATCAGGTGTTTAGTTAATTAAGTAAATGAAGTTACGTACGATGGTCTCGTGGTTGGCATAATGACCCGCCAAGCTAGCTGCATAAACGATGTAGGCGCAATTATCATAAAAGGTTCCATACTGCGTTCGGTTCACAGCCTCCAGACGATCCTCATCGATTTTCCATAGCGCAAATGTTATAGAATTTTTTGCAACTTTTCGGAATGTAGCGTCTACTTTTAAATCCGGAATGGTGTTGGGACGGACCTCCTGAAATGAGTTAAGATGTGAGTGTTAATGAAGGTTACACAGAGTTTCTTTAATTTCTAGGTTTTAAGTCTTCAAACCAACTGAAAACCAGCACCACTATAATTTCCCGCCTTCAGATTTAAGCGTTCACTGCGAAAGCACGTATTGCAACTGGAACCAATCGAATAAATCAGGTTTTGTTTTTATTTATTAAATGAAATTTCATCTGCAATTACCATTCTGTACTCGTGTTTTCACTGCAAGGTGACAATGCCCGTTTGCTGGCGCTTCAAACAGCGTTTACCACGACATTAAACACCTTTCAAATGGCCTCAAAGCCAATTGTTGCTGACATGAGACAGTTTTCAAAGATCCCCCAAAGGCCTCCTCTCCCAGTATGAGCCAGAAAGAAAGAAAAGAAAAATTCAATTTTCCGAAACCAGTCCGGAAAAGTGCTCTGCATCCCAGTGATAGTGAAAACTGAAGCTTCGAGGAGGCGGGCGTGAGTGAACCACATCTAGTGGCTGTAACCACAGCCAGTTTTTTGTTTTTCTTTGCTGTCGAACACATTGAGTTTTTATTTATTTATGGAACACGGAGCAAGGTGGAAAGTGGCTGCTGGATGGTGGCTGCACTATCCAAATGCTTGCTTACTTACTTACATATGCATCTTCTTCACTATCTTGGCTAACGGTTTGGGGTCATTAGGCTGCCGACCGGCTAATTAAGGCTCTGACTCTCTGGCATTTCATTTGGGAGCCTGTGATTACACAGATCGCCCCCCCCTGACGTGCTCAGTGACCAAAAACAAGTTCACGCTCCGCTTGGCAGTGACTTTTAGTTACTCCCTCGAACGACATTTTCATGGAAATTGCAATTATAATTGCCAGACTCATTTTTATCTCTTTGTATTCGGCTCATAAATAAGCAATGCATAAAATGTGATGTATGAAAACATTTTAATTGTCGCCTGCAAATGGTGAAATAACTTGAATCAGTTAAGCTTGGGTTGGGTTAACCAGGTTTTCCAGCTATCTCACTTTATGATTGATTGGTTGATTGATTGTCGCTGTGTTGACAGCCAAACTACATTTGTCACAGTCGTCAATTGGTTTAACAAAAGAAAATAACAAAAAATAAAACAAAAACTGGCACAGGTAAATTTCCTCAGCTAACCACAAACTATCTTTCGAGGCTTTGTCTTTGAAGTAGACTTTCACAGACACCAATTATTAGAAGCTGATGTCTCAGCGAAAGCTGTTTATTGAAAAGTTCTGAATAGAATGTCAAAAATAAATATAGACTTAAATCTATCTTAAGTGAAGCTTGGCTTCGGCTATTGTTGTTTATTTTGAATTTCTTTGGAGTAGAGCTATTAGTTTGATGGATGAAGCCTAACGCTTTAATTGTTTTGCCATCGATTTTAAACATTTGGAGCAACATTGAGTTGATTACAAAAAGAAAAGTAAAAGTGAATTCAAAAAACGCCGCAAAGGAAAGTTTTCAATTTTAAAAATTAGGGGAAACAGAAGCCATTTCCATTTAAAACTTTCAATGAGATGAGCATTATAATCACTTTGTGGATTTGGGAGTTTATAAATATCAATCAAGTTCAGTTATCTTATGGATACCTCTTACATTTCGAATTAAAATGGTTTACGTTATTGAAAGACATGAAAAGTTAACTGGAAACTGGAAAATAATTAAATTTATTTGTATTATTTTTATGTCTAACATAAAAAATACACCTTTGTGTTCTTTTAATTTATAAAAATAAAACTGAACTATTATAATTTTAGTTAAATTATTCAATCAACTTATTATTAACTCTTACAGAAAACAATTAGACATTGTATTTGAAAGATCTTTTCTCTAGTTCAACATTTTCCATTTAACTCTTACAGAAAAATCTAATCAAACTCTACAATAATAATCAGAAACCAAAAAATATTGTAATGTATAAACAAAAATTGTCAATTCATAATTAAAAGCTTAAAACTGGATAAATAAACTTGTCTAGCCTGAAGATAGGAGAAAGATCCAAGTGAGTATGAGAGTTATAATGATTAAGAAACCGGAGGCTCAAAACTGGAGAAACTAATATTTGATAATAAATAAGGAAGCAAGTTTTTCCATTACCATTTCTCAAGGAAACAACTCCAAAGAAACCCCCATCATATCAGACACAAGTCAATGGATTAACAAATATAATTGTCAGTTTGTAATTAACAGCTGCTACAACTGGCCAAAAATAAACTTGTCAACACCGAGGACTTCAAAGAGATTCATAGGTGACTAATAGAGTTTTGGAGACATGGGGATGTATGCATAATGAAAACCTGTAATTACCGTTTCTTTTGGTGACAGCGATAGCTCCATGTCGGGCATTGAGGAGACTTGAGATCGAAAGCTCAATCTGCAACTGCGTTTGTATCGATCTCTGGTGGCAGCCTTGAACTAGTTTTTGATATTTTCAAATTGATGCCGGTAAGAGAGCCACTCAAAGTGAAATCCTTGCCAGTTTTTATTTTTACTTCCAGCGCGTTTTGAAAAGCGAATGTCACTGCTGAATCACTCAGTACACTCTCCCCTCTTATGCACACACACAATCCGCTGCAATTAAGGCAAGTTTTCCAGTGCCATGCAAAACGATCATTGAGATAATTTGCAAATTTAGAATGGGCGTAATATCCCAAAAGGCTTCATCGAAATAAGACCGAAATGAAAGTGAAGCCAAAGCCTGGGCTGGCTTCGATTCGAAACGGTTCGGTGTTCGGTGGTAGTGGTTCGTCTGTGCACTTGGTTTTCCGACACACGCCGCGGGACGACTTTTCCACGGGACTGAACTGGATCAGATACGAGCAGGAGATGGAGCTACCAGCGACAACGCGTCTTCGCCACCAGAAAGCCAACTGCAGACTGGTCGCCTTGCCAAGCGGCGCTCCAAGTTTATGGCCAGGCCAAGAGATCCGAGCTCTGAGCTGCGACGAACTCCGAGCTCCAGAGCAAGTGGGAAGCGCCGACGACTGTGACTCAGATGTGAATGAAAATTATCAGTTAGTTTGTCGGCTCCTCTCTCTCTCCCTCTCCCTCTCTCTCACTCTCTATCTCTATCTCTCTCTGGGAAAAGCAGAAAGCGCAGCGCATTTTGTTGCGGTTTCTCGGCCTCAGTCTGGAGTCGGTCTAAGCCAACGGAACGAACCTGGCTGCGGGCAAAAGGCCAAGAGGAAGTAAGTGCCAAACAAAGAAGGGTCTTAGTCTTAGTCTTAGACTTGCCGGGTGTTTTGCTAATTCTATCTATTAGCTCCCAGCGGGTAAACATTTGACTTTCAAGTGGCTTTATGGGTTCTTTCTGCTGGGTAGAGGAGTCTGTGCTCAAGGAAAAACTATATAGGAACATATAGGAAAGATATAGAAACTATTTCTGAACAAGTTGGTAGGAGATAAATAATGCTTATTATTAAGAGACATTTAAGGTTCTTTTTTAATTACTTTATCATATGATAATGCATAGTAGTAATAGGGTTTTCTAAACCTTATCTATTTATATATGATTTCTAATTCTTTTACTTTAACTGCTTGTCTTCTTCATTTAAAATTGAATTAGAGAATGCATTCCCTTAGCTTTTACAGAATTAAAATGATGCCCTAATGTTTATAAATCTCTCCAAAATAAAACAATCATCACTGATTTTGGATAATCACAAAAGTGTTAAAAATAGTAACCTAATTTCCTAAGATCCATAGGCTTGGGACTCTAATTTCTGATTAGTGATGCCTAAAACTGGTTACTAATTTATCTCCAGAAATGGTTTCATATTTGTGTATGACATAAAATAACAAACAAATAGCTCGAGATTGAGATTCAATCCATTCGTCAGAGTGTTCAGTATCCTACTTGACCAGTGAGGTATCTTTTTTCCACTCGCTCTGCTCCGCCACTCCACCTCACTCTAGTCCACTCCAGTCCACACTTTGCTGCACTGAGACATTCTCCAGAGGCAATCAAGCACAAACAGTGGAACCACCGACCAAGTGAGAGGAGGAAGACATCGGTGCTGTATATACTCCATCGATTTGCATCTCTCGGGTTTCCTACGGCCTTTGTCAACTGAGCTGACTCGCTCGACTGACTTGAGTCGTCACTTTTATGATTTATGATTTATGTTTGAGGACTGAAAGAAAAGACGCGACCGACTGTTTGCCATAATCATTAACAGCCACGACTGGGTGTCGCTCTAGGAGTTTGGAAATGGAAATGGAGTTGGAGGAGGCTCCCATTCCTCCTGGGTGAGTAAGGAAAGTGGTCGAATTATATTTCGGCAGCAATTTGCTAAACAATCCAGCTCCCGGGATCGTCTCAATTAAGGCGCAAAATGTTTTGTGAATGAGTTATAATGATTTTCCAGTACGCGGTGAGTGTGAGTGTGTTCCAAAGCGTGAAAGACACTAATGGGCCTGGCCCAGAGAACCGTGTACACCTCGTGGGCCTGTCTATCCGAGCATCTTGGCATCTGCGTATCCACGTATCCGCATCTTGGCAAGACAATGCGATGCCTTTCAAAAACAAAAAAAAAACAGAGCCAACAATCGGACCCGACTCTCTTTATTGTTGGCCATGTTTCCATGTTTCCATGTTTTATTTCCCCCCCTCCAACTCAAGTCAAAACTCTGACAAGTTCAATCAACCGTTGAGGTTGAGGCGTGAACTGGAGGAAAAGCTTACAATAAAAAAGAGTAAAATTTGAAAATAAAAAAGGAAAGCAATTGCCAATGTAAATGTAGATGCGAAATGCAAAGCATTTCCCAACTGAAAATGTGCGACTTTTAGCATGATGAAAAATGCAATTTACGATTTATGATAATTACACACGTCAAGTCAAGCCGCAGAAAAGAAAAACGACCGGGCAATTGACTTTTCCTTTTAAAACCAAAAGTTAAAGTTGGCAAACAATTGCGGTGCCCGAACCCCCAGACACATTAGGACCATTTTGTGGCTACAACACGCGACATTTACGTAAAGCAAAACAAACAAACATATAGACAATGCAACCATTGACTTGTGGCATTTTCCGCAAAACAGCCAACGGGAAATGGGGCTGGAAAATGTACCGCTTTGGACGCCTCTTTCGATTTTCCATCTTACAACTGCTGGTGTCTGGTTCTCCCCTCACCGATCACCGATCTTTGCTCTTTTCCAGACTTTTCATTAGCCACTGCTGAAGATGGCCAAAGTATGGCAAACATGCTGCAACCTCAGCATCTTCTTCTTGTATCTTCGGGCTGAAAGCAGTCCACATTAATTGCCAACCGATCCAGATTCAGACTGAGTCAGCCAGCTGACTCCACTCAATGGTGTTCTTCGTCATGGGAATGAGCTGATCTTCTCCTAGTTGGGTCTTAATGGTCACAGAAGGAGCTTTGCAATGCATTTTTGTTATGACAAAACCAATCAATAAATGTGGATATGACGCAGAGTTACCTCAATTTGTTTACTCATTTAATTGAATTCTAGATAATGAAGATCACATTGTAAAAGACAAAGCAGGAGGTTGTTTGTATATTCTATTAGATTTTAATAGTTCTATTTTAAAGTTTATAGATAAACATTTATCAAAATGCTTAAATTTTGTCACCTTTTACTGATTAATTCCAGCAAAAAAGATCAATAGATATTCGCAGTCTTAACTGACTTCATTTCCCAGCCTTTTATAAGACATATACCTGAAGAAAACACGATCTCTTCTCTAATAAACACACACTATCCATAACTATAACAGGTGTTTTTGGCTGACAGCGCTTTTGATTTAGCATTAACAAATGGTTAATTAGTTACAAAAGGCGACCACAAATCTTAATGGTTTCGAAAGGCGTTCGATTTGTGGATTGAAAAAGCAATTGGATTTTCCTCTGCTAACATTGATTCGCTGTACATTTTCCAAAGGTGGGCTACCGCAGATGCTTTTTCCAGTTTTATTTTCTGTGGTTTTAACTCGATTTTTATGTAGTTTTTTTTCTACTACTCGTAATAACAATTTGGTATTGTGCGCTTCCCACGCCAAAGAGCAGAAAACCAAAGCCAAAGTGTGGGTGAAGTGAACACGAAGAGTTCAAAATAATTTCTTTATTGAAAATGAAAGAAGGGGGAGGAAGTCATGATGATGTGATGATGTTGGACAACAATTGCACTGGAAGCTGAACATTTTGGGAGTCATAAACAATCGAGGCCTAACGGTCGGTTAACTGTTATTTAACATGTAATTAACCCCACGTTAAATACTAAAAAACAAAAGCTGAACAGCTGAGCAGCTGAAAATGCAAATGCCAAGAAAAAGCCTCGGTTCGGGTTCAGCTCAGCTGAGATAATCTCCGAAAAACTCGGACTAGCCTGTAAATGTGGTGCAATAACTTTCTAACTGGGGGTCATTCGTCTTAATTATCGCGCGACTAGGAAAAGCCACAAAATCCAAGTATATTCATTAGGCAGGCCCTTAAAAAAATGCTCGACCATAATCATATTCCCTCGGCGCACAGCCCAGCCTCTGGAAACGATTTCTGTCGTCCATTGACCCATTTGCATTTGGCCTGGTCTAGAGATCCGACAAAATTAGTGGGGGAAAAGCCATAAAAGCATAAAGAAAGCTATGGCTAAGATGGGTTTTGGTTGGTCCAAGAGTTGCGTAGAAATTGTTCCCACCTTTATGGTTTGTTTGCCTTTGTTTTCAGTTCCCCGGGGTTCGTGTTTACGCACAGTTCTCCCAGCTGGTCTGGTTTCTAACACAATTTTAATCACCGGAAGCCATCTTAGGGCATCTCCAGAAGCTCTACCTTCATTACGAAAATCTCTTTCCAGTCTCCAGCTGAGCTCCGATTTAGATGAATCCATTTTCGGTTTGCATTTCATTAGTTTCGGACTCAAATTGGTTTACCATTTCCCGTATTATATTTTCTCTGTTGTGTTGTGAGTTGGCCAATTTGACACGTCTCTTGTCTGCCGCTTGTCTTCCACAGATATGGTAAATTGGAGCTGGCTGGGATGGATGATGGAGCCACCATAAGGTTCGATTGTGTCGAACGGCAACTGCTATCTTTTGGGTACTCTGATTCATTTGTTTGTCATAGTCATTGTTCTTTTTTTATAAGAAGCTAGTCATATGCATTTCAGTTAATTGATTGGTTAGCTGGAAGGGCGAGCATATTGATTTCTCTTCCAGAAAATAGATCATTATTACACCCTTTATAATTTTAGTCAGTAATTAACTATGATTTTACTGATCATCATCTATGACCAGTAAGTAACTATGATCTGTAAATAACTCTGATCAGCACTTAACTATGAGGAGTAAGTACTTATGAGCAGTATTTAGCTCCGAACAGTAAGTATCTATGACCAGTAAGTATCTATGACAAGTAAGTAACTATGAAAAGAAAGTACGTATGATCAGTTACTAACTTTGAACACTAATAAACAATGACTTGCAACTTTTGTAACACAACACATTCCTAAGACTCGGCCGGCAGAAGTCACTTCGTTCCGGGGATGTTAGAACCAATTGGGAATCATAATTACTATGATCAGCAATTAACTATGAGCGTTAAGTACTTATGAGCCGTAAGTAACTCTGAACAATAAGTATCTATGACCAGTAAGGAACTATGATCAGTAAATAACTATGATCTGCAATTAAATATGAGCAGTAATTACTTATGGGCAGTAATTAACTCTGAACAGTAAGTATCTATGACCAGTAAGTATCTATAACCAGTAAGACGCTGTGAGAAGTAAGTACGTATGATCAGTTACCAACTTTGAACACTAATAAACAATGACTTGCAACTTTTGTAACACAACACATTTCTGAGACTTGGCCGGCAGCAGCCACTTCGTTCCGGGGATGTTAGAACCAATTGGGAATCATATGCATCGAGATTTGTTTTGGAACAAATTTAAGCTATTTTAATAAACTATGGAGTTATTCTTTTATATAATTTTACTAGTATATAAGTCGGAGCATGGCGAATTGGTGGACTATATATACATACATATATGTATTGAGATAGCAAAAATCAAACGATTTATAGAAATATGATCAGATATTAACTATGACTAGTAATTAACTATATCGGTAAGTTTCAATGAACATTAAGTAACTCTGTACAGTAAGTATCTATGACCAGTAAGTATGTATGATCAGTTACTAACTTTGAAAACTTTTCCAGGTTTAAACAGATTTTCATCAAGTTTGATATATAATTAATCTAGAATTTTGTGTAAAATTTTATGAAAATCGGTCTTCTATACATATAGCTGCCATACAAAAGATCGTTATCTGTTTACAATTCATCTTTAATTTCTTGATTTGTCTAAAGGAAACTTCCCTTTAAATATTCCCACATAAACAGCCTCTTAAATCATCATGTACCCAAGATTAATGAGTTTACTTACACTCTCTCTGCAGGCTTGGTGGAGTACAAGAAACAAGGCCACGGAGTTGGCATCTGTTTTTGCGGGATTTTATTTAGTAGTTATTGTGATAGGAAACTTTGATTTAACACAGATTTTATATAGCCAAAGGTTGGATTTAAACTCAAATTTAATTAGAAACTTATAGTTTCAAGAAGAAGAACAAAAATAATTGTGTTTGCTACGGTGCTTAAGTACACTGGTTGAGAAGCGCAGAGGAGGGCACTTTTTTGAGAGATAGTGAATGCGAGGAAAGTATTATTTTTGAGAGAGAGTAAAAGAGAGCAAACAAAATTTGATTTTTTGGAAGCGTCTCATTGTTTATTTTGGGATAATGAGAATTTGAGTTAGTAAAAAATATGTGATACATCCGTAAAATTGATCAAAATATAACATACTGACCCTTGGTTTTTGTTTTTTGAACACTAAGTATCTATGGACATTAAGTAACTATAGTCAGTAAATATCTATGACCAGTAATTAACTATGAGCAGTAAGTAACTTTGAACACTAAGTATCTATGACCAGTAATTAACTACGATCAATAAGTATATATGACCAGTAAATATGTATGATTAGTTACTAACTTTGAACATTCGATTTAATTTTTTATTTTGATAATCTATGCCTCTCATAATGGAAGTTTGCACACATAATTAATTATCCACAGTTATTATTTACACATTTTCCATGTACACATAAAGTTAGAAAATTATTTAATTCACTTAAATCCCCCGCCGATTATCTATCGATTAAGAAACTTCTTGGTCAATCGAAGTTTGCACTGGAAATTATTTATGCGCAAGAAAATTTCCAAATGCAGTTACCGCATAAACGCTTAATTAACTAAATTAACTACTTCGCGCGATAAAACGTGTAGAAACATTAAATTTCTTTAGTTTGCACTCACCTGCTTAATAAAATTAAACGGCGGCATCTTGTGGTCCAATTTGTGGCTGCTGCAATGCAAATTTATTTGTATCTCTATTTGCACAGATCTACACACACATGGACGTGTAATTGCAGCTGCAATTGTTGCTCCGCCGGCTCCTTGCTAGTTGCACCTCCGAATTAAACAATTTAATTAACTTTTTCGCACCCGGATCGACTTATTTGTTGTGTTTTTATTGCTGTCACCGTTTTGGCATGCGTTTTTCCCGATTTACTTCGGCTCTATGAATGCTGTTTACCGTTATGGCAAAAGAGAGCGCCAGAAAAGTGATAACGCGTTTTTTGTTTTGTTTTTTTTTCGCGAGTCGTTTGTTTTGTTGCGAAAAATCGACTGCAACGGAAAAGGAAAAACACTTGAGCACTTTCGAAACAAATTAACCCGAATTATCGCTGAGCGGAAGCCCAAAAGGCCAAAAGTGAACCGCCACAACGTACTGCGTTTCGGGATGTACAAATACGATCCGTCGGTGTTAACTTAACGCGTGAAAAGTCGACTTACGAATGAAATTTTATAAACTGAAAACTTCAATTGTAGCGCGGCGCCTCGATCGCCGGCGCGCACACACACACACACACCAACGTACAGTGGCTTCAGTGAATGTGACCCTTTCAAGTTCCACTCTGACCATGGCCTGGCTTTTTCGGGGTATATTGGACCGGTGGACAGTGAAAAAAGGTTGTTTGTTGCTTGTTAACAATTACCTGGCGCCTGCACAGTGGCTAATTAAGCAAAAAGTTGAGTAATTGCGGAGCATTAGCCGGGAATGCCGCTTGTGGAAAGTATGTGACTGTTTTGTGGATGCTATGTGAAACGGCAGTTGCCGTGCAACATGCATGGTGCATGGGAAAACACTTAAAATTCGATAAAATGGTTCAAACCATCGACTGTTGGCTAATTAAAGTTTAAACTTGACAAGATTCCTGAATTTTGAGTGCCCATCAAACACCCAATTGGTAAGTGGACAATATTTGGCTTATTGGGGACTACATTACAAATTTGTATTGTGGATGATATGTAACGAAATGTGGAAGGTATGTGCCACAAGTGGATGGTATGTGACCTAGAGGTAGAATCAACTGAATTTATTAAAAACTTTCATTTTCCAGGGTGTCCCTCTGTCGGAATCTTATTATCTCTTTAAAGATGGCCAAGCTTCGCGCTCTGCTGGTCACTAGTGTCAAAATGCCGACAAAAACGCTGCAGGCACTGCCAAAGCCATCGTTGTACCCCGTTTTTAACCCATCCCACCTCCATCATGGTCATAGTTATACAAACTTTTCATGTGTGCAGGGTTCCTAGAACTCCCCGCTAGCTTTTGTTATTCTCGCTTTTTATTATTATGGCACACACATTCCCGCTGCTCCCAGAGAAGTGTCGTTAACAATGTAGAGATGGATAAGTCAGAGCTCCGAGTGACGTCACTCACTGGGGGAGCTACCTTGGGACTGGTTTCCGTCGATCTGAGGGTGCTGATCGCTCTCCAGGAGTAGAAGACATTCTCTTACCAAAACCCTGGCTTTGCCGATGTCCCGCAGCAGACAATCCTTGCGGGGTCGCACTCCAATCATTGTTGGCGGCAAATGGGGTCGGATTTCGGTCAGGACATTCAGTAAATCGGTGTACTTGTCCTCTATATTGGTGTTTTCATCCACAGCTGGAGAAGGTGTTGTATATGGAAGTTAAAAGAAGATGGGTACTTGTAACCAAAAAATACCTACTTATAGACGTGGGCAATATCCCAAACAAGCTGCCATTAAGTCCAGCTCCTCCACCACAGTTTGATTGACTGGTCAGGATCATCCGCTGGAGCTGAGACTGCATGTACTTGGTGTACTCCAGTTTGGCCAGCACCTCCTTGTACTCGTTGGCGTATACCAAGGCAGCTGCGCTCTGTTGGGTCCTGTGGCGCGTAGCCATCAGTTGATTAATGGGTGCAGTGGCAGAAGCTCCTCCTCCAGGGATTCTGGTAATCTCTACACGTGGCTCCTGCGACTTGGCTGCTATCTTTCCCTCCTGCTCAATGGCTTGCTGCTGATGTTCATCATTCCGCTTGGAGCTACTTGGCACGGCGGTCACAGTTAAGTCGCTGTACTTTGAGCGAAAGGATTCAATATCAACGTAATCCATTTTTGGGAAATGCAAGTTCGCAGAAAGTACAAGGTAGTAATTTTAGGAATGACTTGACAATGACACTGACAATTAAGACATTTTTGTGAGATGGCCTACTTTGATTAGTAATTGGTTCTTAAAAATATATTGAGCTGAACTTGAGCCTAAAATTGGATGTAAAGCACAAGGTGAAGTCATATAAAAGAGCACCCGGGACATAAAAAAAGAAGTACCATACACGTGACTGGGAGCTCATTGAACTGGAAGATGTGCAGAGAGGTAGTATTTTTTTGGTACCAGTTTTACCTTTTGCCCCCATAAGAATCTTTGTTTCCGTCTTTCTTTTGGGGTATCGCATGACGTGCGGGTAATTACCAGCTGCAGAACAAAACACGTTCATAAACAGTTCATTCTGTTGGCCATTCCCTCGTTCTCTTACTCCCGCGGGAGCTGCTCAAGCGTGCTTCCCGTTCTGCGCGCAGGCGCACGCAGAGAGTAGTAGGCAGCATTTCCCTTTTGCGCAACAGTCACCCCAATTTTTCATGACTCATGGAGTAATTCGAATAACAAGCCGCCTCGATCGTCGTCGTGGTTGTTTTACTTATTTCACATGCAAATTTTTGGCCAAAACTCGGGAGAGAGCTTGGACTTAACAATCTTCGGCTGGTCCGAATAACAATTTAGGGGGCTACGGTCTGCACTTAGGGGATAGTTAATTGCTACTCTGATGCTGCGAGCGGATGATCTCTTGCAGGTTCCGTTCCGTCCTCTCGCCAATTTCAAAGCGATGGTAGTCAATGACCTCGGTCGAGTATTCCTGCAAAACTTCACCAACTGTCTTGTCCGCATCCAGCAGATACTCCTGATGGATCAGGCACGTCTCTTCATCCTTGTTCTCCGCTGGCTGGTCCTTGTCATACTCGCCGATTTTCAGTGGCTTCAAGCCTACAATCTGCTGGCAGATGCTCTTGTGGAACTCATAGTTCAACAGCCTGTGTTCGGTCCGATAAGCCACAATCGCTCCGTACTTGCCCACCTGGGTGGTGTCCTCAGTGGAGCCAACATTGGTGGGTGCCGGATGAGCATAGCCCACAAGTTTCAAATCGTTGTTGACTCTGAAACACAGTGCCCGGCGAATGGCAGCATTCTCGCCAAGAGCTCCAATCAGCAGGGCCTGGTGGTCGCCCAAAGTGCGGCCCTCTTCCGTGGGCAGATTCTTCAGTGCATCCGAATCGAAGCCAAGCTGGATGGAGATATGTTATTTCGTGTTTCATCTCACACATATATCCTCCTTACCTTCCACAGATCCCCATCGAACTCTGTCAAATCAGTGTAGTACAAGCAAACGCGGGCAACATGGTCCACGAACCGCTTGAAGGTGTCGTTTCTGGCCACGAAATCCGTCTCACAGTTAATCTCCACCATAGCTCCACGATTGCCGCGAACGAGGACACCAATTAGACCCTGGGCTGTTGCCCGATCCGCCACCTTAGTGGCCTTGCTCCAGCCAAGGGCTTGGGCCTGCTGATGGAGCCATTTCTCAGCCTGCAAGGGATATAGTTGGGTTTGTAGTTGAGGTAATGGAAAAGTATTTCTTGCTACTCACCATGCTGATATTGTTGTCGTTCAATTCGAGGGCCTTCTTGCAATGGGAGAAAGTGTAGCCGGTCTTCTTGCGCAATGCCGCTAGTGCGCTCTTCTCCAGACCCGATCCGCTGGTGGCTCCTGCATATAGCTGCCGGCTAGTGTGCATTGCACGCATGCAGAATCTTTGTAGCGACATTTTTTCTTAAATTTCCAAACCGAACGGAGGTTACACTTTGAAAATTGGACTAAAAAGCAAAACTAAACCGAATCCGGACAAATTTGGAGGATGTATGTTTGTTTGTGGACTTGTTGCTCCTTGCCTGCTACCAAGGGCAACGTTACGGTGTTTGTTTTTCCGGACGCTGTTGTTATGTGTCTGTCTGGCCACGAAAATCAATTCATTCTAAACAACCGGAAAACGTGTGTGTGATTTTCATTTGTTTTCGACTCCTTCGTATGTGTGGATCAAGTCGGTACAATTAAACGCGTTGCGGCGCGTATTAAATATATAAACCGATTGTTGTGTCGTGCCTCGCCGAGAAAACGACTAAACCGGTGAGTAAAATTAAACGGTTTTCACACTGTTTTGTTTTTGGAAGGCGACAAATAAAATTTGGACAATTTTCCGGGTTGCACAATTTCAATTAGAGATGGCAAAAAAGCCGGGACAGACTCGTGTGGCGAACAGCTGTTTGGTGTTATCGTTTTTTATAGCCATCGATAGTTCGATAGTTCGATAGTTACTGTTTAGTAGAGACCACAACCGTAACCGTTTATTTTGAATATTAATTTGAATTATTTTTCTTATTATAAAATAGTTAAATGGAAAGTGAAATTAAACCAGTTTCAGTAAGAATAAAATCTTACCCACAGTAGCCGTTACAGTATATCAGTTTATTCTTTTACATTTACATCAGAACTGAGCTTCATTTACTTTCAACATTTCAATACATTCTTGAACTTCATTTAAATTTCAACAGGTTCCACCATGCAGGGCAGTCACAATCCGAACAATGAGATTCGCATCCCCAGCTTCACGTCAATATGCGGCGCCCACCGCCCGTGCGACAAGAGCAAGATGCTTTACACCAGACCCAAACCCGATGTGCTGCAGAGCATCCTGCAGTCCAAGGCCAATCCCGGATACAAGTCGCGCCGCCTGTGGTACGAGCTGAACATGCCGGAGTGCGCCAGCTCCCTGCTGGACGGGAAAATGCAATCCGACCTGCCCAACAGCATCCTCTGTCCCAAGAATCTGCCGGCCGCGAAACGGAAACAGAAACGTGACAGCGCGGTCTCCAAGACCAACTACATGACGATGCGCCTGGAACGAGAGCATTTCCGGCGCAAGCTGGTCGAGTTGATACTGCACATGGACGATGACCAGGATCCAGAGTTGGCCGCTCAGGGTGCCATACCCTTTCCGGATCAGGAAGAGCGTGAAATTTTGCGCTATTACTACTACATAAAGCACGGCATCGACACCATTCACGTTTCTCCGTTGAGCAAGAAGATCCTTAAGAGGTATGTACGTGAATTGATATCTTGGGTGCTCCAAAAATTTCGAATTAATTTAAAACTGTCCAAACGAGTGCCAAAAAAATAATGAACTTGACCTCTAATATTTCGTTGCCTACTTTTGATGGATTTTAAATCTAAATTCTATTATTTCTTTGTGCATTTTGCTCATGAAGTTAATATATATAATATATATTATTTAAATAACAATTATAATTTTGTATATTGTTGCAGAATCACAGACCTTGTACCACCATTACTTTACAAATGGCAAACCGCTCTTAATGATAATATTGCCGAGGTGCGGTCGGATTATGTGTTTGCCATGAAAAAGGCTGTGGTGGATTTTGTCCTGCGTCACACTGTCCTGGATCGATTGACCAAGGAGGGAACTGGTGGCAAATTCGATACCGCCGAGCGGAGAGAGGTCAAGGCCATGACTAACTTCTGGCGATATCGGTGAGTAGCTTAAAATTTTAAAATAGAACAATAAGTAATCAAGAAACAGAGCTAATGCTTCCCAAAAAATCTATCCCAATGGATATGTGTATTTTCCAGGCTTAAAATAATAGTTTTCCCTTATACAAATTGCATTAATAGAGTATAAAAATTGTACAAATCATTTTCCTAGTATCCAAACACTTCCGTTCTTCAAAACTTAACCAAAATTGCACACAAAGGGTTACCCAAATTAAACTTTGAGCGCGCATTTCCCGCATATATGGGGAAATTCAAATTTTTAATTATAATAAATTATACCCGCTTGCCGAACGGCGGGCATTGTAAAGAGGCAAAGTGGGGGAGGAGGACAGGAAAGTTGCCATAATTGAATGCGAGTGTTGTAACTTCACCCGGGCTCCCTCCCGCATCCTGCTGCTGCTACTGCTGTGGCTCCTCATTTGGCAAAAAGCGTGCAATTGACATGCAATTACGCCCTACCAAGTACTCGAGTACACCCACCTTACACACGAGTGGGAGTATGTGCAAATTCACGCGAACGGATGTCGACTTTATTGTGGATTAAGAAACCCAATCCGATTTTTATGAAATGAATTGCCCTTTGCGTTGGCGGAGCGAGCAAAATCTTATGAAAATAACTTGAGCTCTGCTCGCTGACAAAGTTTCCCGGCTCGCAAGGCCAAGGGAAAAGCAGCTTGAGGAAAATGAAAATGAAAATAAGGATGGGAAAATAACGAAAGTCGTCGTGCGACATTATTAAAAGCTGCTTGCAATGGGGGAGAACGCGAGAAATCGCTTTGCGGCGTGCCAAAAACTTTTTAACCACACTTTTTCAACTACAATGCCAGCGACGGAAATGGAAAAGTGGAAAAGGCTGCTGAGGCAGGAGGCGGAAGTGCGCCAGAAAGTTAAGTCCTCCTGTGTATTGGCTTGACATTTGATGAGCAACAGTAAGCTGGAGACTGGAGGGGGTGCACCGAAAATCTGCACGACATAAATTGCCAAAAGGATATGCTTAAAAATGAATTGAACTTGTTTGTTGTGGCACTCTGAGGGGGACGGGAAGTTGAGGCTTTTTTCATCGGATTGTTATCAGTGCTGACACTGTGTCTATTGTATTCCTTAAAATGGAATTACAGACGCAATAACCAACAAGGACTTGGAAGATTAAGTCTTCAATCTTTTGAATTGCCTAAACGTGGGAAAAGTAAGCCTGTTTCTTTTAAGAATAAGTTATAGCTTAAATAAGAAAGGTAGCTCATTTCGAGAAGACAAAGTTTGTATAGGCATAGGATCATGTTTGCGATTATAAAATTGATTATAATTAAGCCACATATACATTAATCTCACTTTTTATGCAAGGAAGGGTAATCACTATCACTAAATATCACTATCACTTTAGGTGTTACCTCCGCGGCCTCCCCGGAATGAATGAGGCGCGCGGGCTCTAAGTGCCTCTATTTATAGTCACCGAGCAAAGAGAACAGAGAAAGTGAGAGCGAGAGAAATAGAGATGTCTCTAGAGATAGGTAGAGAGAGGTAGAGCGTATGAGGTGCCTTTAGACATACTGAAAGAGATAGGGAGAAAGCGAGAGAGAGAGAGAGGTGTGCACTTTCCTCTACATTTAACGATCGTTCCTATGTTCGATTTTAATAAAATTAAATCCTTAATTATAAAATAAACAATATAAGTTAAAATTTGTTTTCCAGAAATGTTCCGATCGTTCCAATGGCAGCTATATGATATAGTCGTTCGATCGATATATATATAACAGTAAGAGTAAATAGATATAATAATACTATATATTTAATATTACCTTGTGTTTTTGGAAACATATATTATTATTTAATTTCTTTCCGAATTTTCCTCTCCTTGTCACGTATTTCAGGGGTTTCTAAAAATTCCTTTTTTGCTTTTTTGTTTTTTTTGGGTACAAACTGGGTCGATGGGCCTATCAATATCCACATGCACATCCACATCCGCGTGAGGTTTGCTAATTTATTGCCTTCAAGCATTTGGCATCATTAAGGAGAGGCCTTCAATGGCTTTGGTGGGTGGGCTCTTCTGTGGCTATGCGGCTCCTGTGGCTCGGGCAGTTGCGGTTCCCTGCACTGCTTAATGGGCTGTGACGGAATAGCTGGAGTGAAAAGTTTCCCTTAGTCTTAGTCTCTTGTTCTCTCTCTCTTTTGAGATAATTTGCATAAAAAGCATCTCGGCATCTCCACTCATTCCCTTTCCTTCCATTTCTTTCTCCACCCAACAGCTATGATGAGAATCGCAACGTCCTGATGAAAACGCTCTTCTGCATACATCGAAGTGTGGCCGGCATCTTGGAGCTGTGGAGCATGAAGTATAATGATAAGTTCTTTATCGATACGAAAGAGATTTCCAAAACCCAGACTCCCTTTACATTATTTGGATTTGTGGTAAGAATTTATATTAGCTTTAATCCTACTAATTTTCCCTATCCCTGCGCTTTTTGGTATATTAATATCTCCTTAATCTATATTTTCCTTTATAGTACTTGTGTGGATCCCACATTGACCAAGGCAAGAGCATGCTGGAGGAGAGCTGGTATGGGGAGATACATTCCTCATTGCTGAAGGCGAGCAAGCGTGGTCAGTTGCCGGACATCCGTCGGTTTACGCTGGTGAAGCGCTTCTTTAACTGCGTGGCTGCCTTGATGACGCAGCAGCTGGAGGATATATGCATTAGAAGTCTGAAGGCCTATGCCGATTTTATTTGCGATTACGGGGTAAGCTTAAATTCTTTTTACTTCGATAAAAATTAAATATAATTCATAAATTCCACAGCACTCGAATCCTGGATTCGAAATTTCTGTGATGCTGGCCGATGAGGATACTATTCAGTTTATTCCCAGCTTCTCTAAGGTTCAATCCGAACTGCTTCGCGTCATTGACATGATTATAATAAGCATCCAACAATTGCCGCGCATCGAGAGCAAGCTCTACACAGATCTGATCGTGTCAAAGAAGCTCTTCCTCACACCCACGGTGCCGGATAGCATTGTCCAGGAGACAAAGAACCGGATTTGCGCCATGCTTGAGGATCAGCGCATCGGACCGGAGTTGAGACTGCAGGACTTTGATCCTTTCATCGATTTGATAAACGGCATTGATGCCGAACGGGTGGCCAATTTTATGGAGAGCGATGCTACCTTCGAACAGTATTCGGAAATGGTGTATGAGTACAGGGATAAAGAGGATCGCATTGGCAAAGAAGTTTGGGCTGTGATCCGGATGGGTTTCTATGAGTTTCACCGCGAGAAGTTCATAACTCATTTAGAAACTTTGGCCCGACAGTTGCAACTGGATCTACTGGCCAGAATGGTTGCCGATCAGCAGGCGAGAATCTCTCGATTGGGTAAAGAGTACGATGCCATTGCCAAGAAGGCCTTAACTGTGCCCAAGGATACGGCTGAACTGATGGAACTGAAGGCCTATGTAGTGCATGCGGAGGAGAACCTTGTGCCTGAGATGGAGGCCCGACTTAAGGTGAATATGGGTGAAATCTTGTGGCTGATGGATCACACTCTGTACTCACCGCTGGAGATCAAGAACAATAGCAACTCCTTCCAGTGGTACCTGAAGCTTCCCTCGATCTTTGAGCAGCACCGCGCAATTATAGCGGAGAAGGTGATTGAGTACCAGGAGCTGCTGAAGAAGCGAATCGAGCTCTTCCGCCGCGAACTCCAGACTTACTACGAACAGGTGCAGACCTACGACACCTGGGGCGACATCAAGCAATTGGCGCGGTATAAAAAACGTGCCGGCGTGTTAGATCAACGATTGGTACAGGCTATGGAGACCATTGATCAAATTAACGAGGAAGAGACCTCCTATGGCTGGGATCTCTCGCAATATCCCATGCGAAAGAAGGCCCACGATCAGTTGAAGCCTTACAAAACCCTCTTCGATGCTGGACAGGATTTCATGGACAAGTACGACCTGTGGATGCACTCGCAAGTTGGATCCTTTTTCCCCGATGAGATCGATGGCGATGTGGCAAACTTCTATCGCGTTATCCAGAAACTGGACAAACAGATGGGTGATCATCCGACCACAATGCAGCTGATCCAAGATGTCAAGGCCCAGATAGAAGCCTTCCGCGAGCACATGCCGATCATCAATACGCTGGGCAATCCGGGCATGAAGGCTCGTCATTGGGAGTTGGTGTCCGAAATTATTGGCTTCCCCATCAAGGTGTCGCCAGAGCTGACGCTGGAGAAGATAATCGAGTATCAGTTGGATGAGTATGTGCCCAAGTTTGAGGCTATTTCAGAGAGTGCCACCAAAGAGAACAATCTGGAAAGAGCCATGGCTAAGATGGTCAACGAATGGGAGGGCGTTGAGTTCTCCGTTTCGCCATACAGGTGGGTATTAAAGCCGGTATATGTGGTGAAGGATGAGGGTATAATTGAAATGTCTCCCGCAGGGATTCTGGTACATACAAGTTGGCTGCCGTGGATGACATCCAAATATTGTTGGACGACCAAATCATCAAGACGCAGACGATGAAGAGCTCACCCTACATCAAGCCTTTCGAGGCAGAGATTCTGTAAGTACAGCGATTCTTTCTGCTTCATGGTACACACACTTTACATGTCTCCTTTATACATTTAATTATCCCATCAAATTTAGGAAAATATTTATTAGAAAACTTTCTCTCACTAAGCTTTTGAAATCAATTAAATTATGTTTAAGCTTATGGTGGCGCCAAGAATTTACCTTAGCCCTGCTAGTTGTTTTTCTTCACCTTTTGTTGGGCCGTCAATGTCACTGCCAGACACTATGTCCACACATGAGCTAACCTTTGTTGTCCTTTTACAGCAAGTGGGAGGCCAAGCTTATGCTGCTGCAGGAGATCCTGGATGAGTGGTTGCGCGTGCAGGCCACCTGGATGTATTTGGAGCCCATCTTCAGCAGCCCGGATATTCAGCAGCAGATGCCAGAGGAGGGGCGTCGCTTCAGTGCCGTGGATAAGGTAAATATTGCTGAAGTTTCTTTAAGAATTAAATACTAGTACAATGACAAATATAGAACCCTACCTTTATATAGTTCTAAATATTTTCTTACATATTATTCTTCTTTATTACAGATCTGGAAGGAACTAATGAAACAGGTGGCCTCCGATCCGAAAGTAATGGTTGTGGTCCAAATTGACAAAATGAACGACAAACTGAAGAAGGCCTACACCCTGTTGGAGATTATTCAGAAGGGTCTCAATGCCTATCTGGAGAAGAAGCGTCTATACTTCCCACGTTTCTTCTTCCTCTCGAACGACGAATTACTGGAGATTCTGTCCGAGACCAAGGATCCGACACGTGTCCAACCGCATTTGAAGAAGTGCTTCGAGGGCATCTCCACTTTAAATTTCACAGAGGAACTGGATGTGATTGCAATGCGTTCCTCGGAGCGCGAGGAAGTGGCCTTAGTGGACTCGATCTCAACGTCAAAGGCCCGTGGACAAGTGGAGAAGTGGTTGCTGGAGTTGGAGATCAGCATGAAGAAGAGTTTACACCACAAGATAGCGGAGGCCTTCTACAGCTACCTGAAGATGGTGCGACATGTTTGGGTGCTGACATGGCCGGGTCAGACGGTTCAGTCCATTTCGCTCACATACTGGACTTTGGAGATCACCGAGTGCTTCGAGAGCAACGATCCCAAAGAGAACTTGGCCAAATACTTGCAGAAATGCATCGCACAGATCAACAAGATTGTAGATTTGGTGCGTGGCGATTTAAACACTCAGAATCGTATCACTTTGGGCGCTTTGGTGGTGCTGGATGTCCATGCCCGTGATGTGCTCGCTGAGATTGTACAAAATGGAGTGGAGGATCTGCAGGACTTCCAGTGGTTGTGCCAGCTGCGTTATTACTGGGAGGATAATAACCTGGACACGCGAATGATAAACTGTTCGCTGCCGTATGGCTACGAGTATTTGGGCAACACACCTCGATTGGTGGTCACCCCGTTGACGGATCGCTGTTATCGCACATTGTTCGCTGCCCTGAACTTGCATTTGGGCGGTGCACCCGAGGGTCCGGCCGGAACTGGCAAGACTGAGACCACCAAGGATCTGGCAAAGGCTGTGGCTAAGCAGTGCGTGGTATTCAATTGCTCAGATGGTCTGGACTACCTGGCTCTGGGTAAGTTCTTTAAGGGATTGGCCTCATGCGGTGCCTGGTCTTGCTTCGACGAGTTCAACCGCATTGATCTGGAGGTGCTATCTGTGGTGGCGCAGCAAATTCTGACCATTCAGCGGGGCATCAACTCGGGCAGTCCCACTTTAATCTTTGAGGGCACTACCCTTACATTGGATCCCACTTGTGCGGTGTTCATCACCATGAATCCTGGCTACGCGGGACGTTCAGAGTTGCCTGATAATTTGAAGGTAAGAATTTTAAAAAATATAACAAATTATAAATGTTCAATTAACATTTTTCACTTGATCAGGCACTCTTCCGTTCAGTGGCCATGATGGTGCCAGATTATGCCCTAATTTCCGAGATTGAATTGTACTCGTATGGTTTCTTAACCGCCAAGCCGTTGTCCGTCAAGATCGTGGCCACATATCGTCTGTGTTCGGAGCAGTTGAGCACACAGTGTCACTATGATTATGGTATGAGAGCTGTGAAATCTGTGCTGAAGGCGGCGGGTGCTTTGAAGCTTCGTTATCGGGATGAAAATGAGGATATATTGGTCTTGCGCTCCATTAAGGATGTTAATTTGCCCAAGTTCCTCAACCAGGACATTCCCCTGTTCCAGGGCATCACCTCCGATTTGTTCCCTGGCACTGTTCTGCCGGAGGCTGATTATGTGCTCTTCAATAAGTGCACACAGATGGCATGTGACAAACAGAATAAACAGTGCACTCCTTTTGTCCTGGAGAAAGTGCAACAGGTTGGTGGAATATGAATCTCTTTGCTCGTCTTCTAACTTTATTCATATAAATAATTTTCTGTACAGCTTTATGAGATGATTGTGGTGCGTCACGGGCTTATGTTAGTGGGTTATCCCTTTGGGGGTAAATCAACTACCTATCGCATCCTAGCAGATACTCTTGAATGCATGGAGAAGACGGTGGGTTGATGATCAATTTAGCTATATTATTTCCTATCTTAACACAATCATTTTTACAGGATGGATCTGAAAACAAAGCTATTTATACAATCATCAATCCTAAGGCCATTACCATGGGTCAGCTGTATGGCCAATTCGATGCAGTGTCCCACGAATGGAGTGATGGTATCCTGGCGGTGAACTATCGTATTTTTGCTGTCTCCGATACACCAGATCGAAAGTGGCTAATATTCGATGGCCCCGTGGATGCCATTTGGATGAGAATATGAACACTGTGCTGGATGACAACAAGAAGCTGTGCCTTATGTCCGGTGAGATCATTCAGTTGTCGAATACCACTAATTTGGTTTTCGAGCCCATGGATCTGGAAGTGGCCTCGCCAGCCACTGTCTCTAGGTGCGGCATGATCTATCTGGAGCCGAGTTCTCTTGGTTGGGAACCGCTGGTGACCTCGTGGAAGAACACGCTACCCGCAGCCTTCCATACGGTCAGCAAGCAACTGATATCGACTCTGATCTCACGTTTTTGCCCCATTCTATTGTATATTGTGCGCAAGTGTCTGAAGGAAATTGCACCCACATCGGACGCCAATCTAATGGTCAGCTTGATGAACTTCTTCGAGTGTTTCATTGACGACTTTAAAGACGAAAAGTACGTGGCCAATATATCCGATTTGGATTTTAGGGCCCAAACGGAGGGTATATTCCTGTTCTCTTGCATTTGGTCAATCGGCGGCGCCCTTGATGCCGACAGCAGGGATAAATTTAACGTGGTTTTTAGAGCGCTAATGGAGAAGACCTTTCCGCAAAATCTCTACGATACCTATGGCGTTACGGAAGATCTTTATGTGGAAGCCTTGGCCAAGCCATTTATATTCCCGATACCGAAGCAGGGATCAGTGTTCGATTATAGGTACATTAAGGAGGGCAAGGGCAAGTGGAAGCCTTGGCAGGATGATGTTAATTCCGCACCGCCGATTCCCCGAGATATTCCCGTGAATCAGATCATCATACAGACCAATGAAAGCGTTCGAATCGCAGCCGTTTTGGATCTTCTAGTGCGGCATGGCAAGCCGCTAATGTTGGTTGGACCCACCGGCACCGGCAAAAGTGTCTACATCATCGATTACATGCTGAAGAAGATGGATCTGACGATCTTTAAGCCGCTCCTGATCAGTTTCTCTGCTCAAACATCGGCCAATCAGACGCAGGACATCATTATGTCCAAGCTGGATAAGCGTCGCAAAGGTGTCTTTGGGCCACCGCTTAACAGTAGTTTTGTGATCTTCGTGGATGATGTCTCTATGCCGCTGAAGGAAAACTACGGTGCCCAGCCGCCCATCGAACTTCTGCGCATGATGCTCGATCACATGATGTGGTATGATCGGAAAAACATAGTCCCAATGAAGTTAATTGACTTGCAGATGATCGTGGCCATGGGACCGCCGTCAACAGGAAATACGGTGACTCCTCGCTTCCAGCGCTTCTTCAATGTGGTCGCCATTGACGATTTTAACAACGATATTATGAACACAATATTTAGCAAAATTGTTTTGTGGCATCTGGACACTAGGTATGGCCAAGATATCTTTACTTTCTATAGTCTTGCAGAATTTTATAAATGTAAAGTTTACATATTTAATTTTATAGATTAAAATATGTTTGCAGTTAGGCCGTAGAAGATAAAACCATATTTTCGATTTAATTTATATTTTTCGGATATTGTTTTAATATCAAAACTTTGCGATATATTTACAATAGATATATAAGATCATATCGATCTTTTCCTATCAAATCTATACAATTTTTAACTTAACTTCAATTCTGTAAGACTTCAAGCTTCGGTTATCGAAGATATCCCTCCTAAAAGTATATATTTTTATGTTATATTTACCTCGACTCAATAAAACAACACAGGGGCTTTTCCAAGGAGTTTGATCCTTGCATTGAAGAGATCGTAGGCGCCACATTGACCATTTACAATGACGCCAAACTGAATCTGCTCCCCACCCCGGCCAAATCCCACTATTTATTCAATCTGCGTGACTTTTCGAGGGTGATCCAGGGTGTCCTGTTGTCCGTACCGGAGGCCACCGAGGATGTAAACTCGATGCGACGCCTGTGGGTGCATGAGGTGTTGCGAGTATATGGAGATCGTCTGGTTGAGGATGCGGATCGTACCTGGCTCTTTGAGAACATATGCAGCACAGTGAAGAACTCCTTCAATACCGAACCCAATCGACTGTTTTCGGCCTTTGTGGAGAAGGATAAAGCGTTGCAGGAATCCGATTTCCGCCGACTGATCTACTGTGACTTTACCAATCCGAAGGCGGACACCAAGAACTATGTGGAGGTGCAGGATCTGGAGGAGTTGCGCCGGGTGGTGGAGGCATATCTGGTGGAATACAACAACATGTCGAAGAAGCCCATGAATCTAGTGCTTTTCCGTTTCGCCATCGAGCATTTGTCGCGCATATGTCGCATCATTAAGCAGCCGAGGAGTCATGCTCTGCTCATCGGGGTCGGAGGCTCCGGACGCCAGAGCTTGACTCGATTGGCTTCGCATATTTGCGACTATGAGCTGTTCCAGGTGGAAATCACACGATTGTATGGGCCGTACGAGTATCACGAGGACATCAAGGCGATCCTACGCAAAATTGGGGCATCCGAGATGCATGGCGTGTTCCTCTTTACGGACGTACAGGTGGGGGGAACCGCAAATTGGCAATTGGACTGTGTCCTGGACAGTATTTCCTTCGTTTCGCTAACTTTTTTAGACTCTTACAGATTAAAGACGAGTCCTTCCTGGAGGATATTAATAATCTGCTCAACTCTGGTGAGGTGCCGAATCTCTTTACCAACGAGGAGAAGATCGAAGTGGTGGAAAAGATGGCACAGATTGACAAGCAGAGGGACAAAGCTGTCCAAACCGATGGCAGCCCAGTGGCTCTTTTTAACTTCTTTGTCACGGTGGGGTCACCTTAGAGGAACACTACACAATTATTGCAATATACAAATATCTTATATATTTTATTTAATTTATTAATTTATAATACTCTCTCTTTAATAGACCTGCAAAGATCAACTGCACATTGTCCTTGCCATGTCACCCATTGGTGATGCTCTGCGGAATCGCATCCGTAAATTCCCTTCGATAGTCAATTGCTGCACAATCGATTGGTTCCAGCCTTGGCCGGAGGATGCCCTGCTCGCCGTATCCACAAGATTCTTGGCCAGCGAGGATCTCACTGCTCTGGAGCGTCGCACAGCTATTGACATGTGCATGGAATTTCACACATCGACCCAGGCTCTGTCCGCGAGCTTCTTCTCGAGGTTACATCGATACAATTATGTGACGCCCACATCGTATTTGGAATTGATTCAGACCTTTAAGGCTTTACTTAGCCAAAAGAGAAAGTAATTTGAATTGTTTAATCAATGAAGATTTTAATTTACACATATAAACTTCCCTCAGCAACATTACAAACAATCGAAATCGATATTTGACTGGCATCTCCCAGCTGGATATTGCCGCCCAGCAAGTGGCCGTGATGCAGGAGCAACTGATTGCCTTGGAACCGAAGCTAAAAGAGGCATCCGAGATAGTGGCTGAGCAAGTGGCCAAGGTGACGGCGGATAGCAAATTGGCCGAGGAACAGCGAGAGATTGTCAAGCTGGATGAGATGGCGGCCAAGGAGCAGGCGGCCGTGGCCCAAGAGATCAAGGACGAGTGCGATGCTAAGCTGGGCGAGGCTCTACCGATTTTGGAGTCAGCTTTGGCTGCTTTGAACACCCTAACCACGGCGGATATAGCCGTGGTCAAGACCATGAAGAGTCCACCCATCGGTGTGAGAATAGTCATGGAGGCGGTGTGCATCCTTAAAGATGTTAAGCCCGATAAGGTACCTAATCCCAGTGGCGTGGGAACCGTTGAGGATTACTGGGGACCGTCGAAGCGTGTGCTTAGCGACATGAAGTTCCTGGATAGCCTGCTTAACTTCGACAAGGATAATATTCCGCCGGAGGTGATGAAGAAGTTGGGACAGCGAATTCTCAACAATGAAGCGTTTGATCCGGATAAGATTAAGACCGCCTCCACGGCCTGCGAGGGCCTGTGCAGGTGGGTCATAGCTCTAACCAAATACGATGTGGTGGCCAAGGTGGTGGCACCCAAGAAGATTGCTTTGGCCGAGGCCGAGGCCACATACAATGCGGCCATGAAGACGCTGAACGAAAAACTGGCCCAGTTGGCCAGGGTAGAGGCCAATCTGGCCGCAATCCAAAAAATACTCGACGAACAGCTGCGGCAATATGGGTGAGTTGAGGTTTCCTTTAATTACCTTTACGTTTAACTAAAGTTTTAATTTTTAGAAGTTGAAATTAAAATCGTATTTCCTCTTTCCCTTAGCATTTTGTTGGCGGAACACGAGGCCTGTACCAAGAAGTTGCAACGTGCCCAGGAGCTCATCTCTGGCTTGGGTGGCGAGAGAACTCGATGGTCGGAAACGGCCAAAATGCTGCAGGCCAGCTTCAAGAGTGTAACTGGGGACGTGCTCATTTCATCGGGCGTCGTTGCTTATTTGGGCCCCTTCACAATCGATTTTCGAGTGAATCAAATCCGCAAATGGGTGACCAAGTGCCTGGAGTATGGCGTAACCTGTTCGGCTGACTTCCAGCTATCTGTTGTCCTGGGAGAACCAGTGGAAATTCGTTTCTGGAACATTTGCGGTCTGCCCACAGATGCCTTCTCCATTGAGAGTGCCATTATGATGAAGTGAGTACAAGTTAAATGAAATTAAATTACAGGAAAGCAAACAAATATTTATTAAATAATACTCTATTTTGTTTATTTAATTATTAGGGGAAATAGGTCATCCCTTGATTGTACTATTTATTATTATGTGAATCTTTTATTTCCTAAAAGAGGATACGATTCCATCTTTGTCACGAAATTTTGCGATTAATATTTCCATCGAATCCACATCGATCTTAGATCTAATTAATTACAACAGATTGCTAATTAAATTTTGCTGATAAAACCATTAAGTTTCAAGGCTTACCATTGAAGATTTATGGCTAGAGTTTTAACCAAGCATATATATACCTTAACCACAAGTTATGACAGCATCTGGCCCTGCCCTTTCCTTAGCCATATCCCCCCTGGTGATCGCTAAACCCAGCTCTCTCTCTCGCATCAATTAAACAACCTGACACGGTAATTATGGCCCTGCCTCGAAGCCTGTCAGCGGCACGAAATCCGGCATGGCCACGACTTCGTTTCTCCCACTCTCTGTTGTGTTTCTTCGTTTTCTAATTACAAAACATAAAACGTTAGAATTCACGCGTATTAGGAAAATTAAAGATACGCCTCGTGCTGGCGGCGTGAGTGTGAGAACAGCACCGGATGCTGCACGGCATCCGCGTACTGGAACTGGCTTCTGGGATGGGAGAAGGGGAAGGAGAAGGAGAGGGGGAATTAAAATGGGAACAGTAGCCAGGGGGTAGGTGTTTGTAGGCGGAAAAGGGGGCGATGGACGGGGACAGGGATGCATGTGCGCATTAAGCAGGATACCCGCATGTGGCCAGGAGAACTCGTTGCCAGGACACGCCAGCTTCGGTGGTGGCTTCTGTAGCAGCCAAAGGTACACAAGGGCACTGGAAGTTGAGATGAAGAGCACTGGCAGAAAATATTGCATTTTAGAAGCTAGAATTATCTAAATATCTGAAATATTTATTTATTAATAACTTATTTCATATTTATACCCTAGCAGGTTATTATAGCTTGTAAACTGTGAAGGAGTCATTTCCGACCCCATAAAGCATATATATTCTTGATCAGCATGAACTGCCGAATCGATCCAGCTGGGTCTGGGGAAAATTTAATTTTTTTTTAATTTAAACAATTTTATAAGTGGTTAAATCATTAATTCGCATATGAAAAATTGGCAAAAATTCGAATTTCTTAAAATTATAAATTTTGAATGGAGACTTATTAACCTAATAAAAACTAGCATAGGACAGCTTTCCGAATTAAATTTAATACTCTTTTGACCGAGTTATTCTATTCTTAAGCTTTACTAACCTTAAATAAATATTTAAATTGTAATACCCACTTGAGGGTGGAAGCTTGTAACACAGTGAAGGAGTCATTTCCGACCCTATATATCATATATATTCTTGATCAGCATGAACTGCCTAATCGATCTAGATAAGTCGGATAAAAATTACATTTTTTAAAATTAAAAAAAAAATTTTAGGGCAAAATTGGCATCTTAAAAATTGGCAAAAATTTCAATTTCCTAAAATTATAAATTAAGAATGCAGATTTATTAACCTAATAAAAAGTAACATACGACAGCTTTCCGAATTGAAATTAATGCTTTTCTGACTGAGTTATTCTATTTTTAAGCTTTGTTTTTCTCGAAAATTAGCATATAAAATTGTATATATATTTAAATTTTAATACCCATTTCAGGGTATTATAATTATAGTTAGAAGCTTGTAACACAGTGAAGGAGTCATTTCCGACCCCATAAAGCATATATATTCTTGATCAGCATGAACAGCCGAATCGATCTAGCTAAGTCAGACTAAAATTTAGTTTTTAAAAAATTTTCCAAATTTTATGAGGGGTTAAATCGATAATATTGGAATCTGAAAAATTGGAAAAAATTGTATTATCTCAAAATTATAAATGTAGAATGCAGATTTTTTAACCTTATAAAAAGTAACATAGGACAGCTTTCCGAATTGAAATTAATGCTATTTTGGCTTAGACATGACCTTTTCAAATTTTGATTGGTCGAAAAAATTAGCATATAAAAATCTCGATTTCCTTTTTAGTTTATTATAGATATTTAAAAAAATGTCATAATTTTTCTCGTGTAAGAGGCTGCTTTGAATAGAGGAGGAGGCTGGCAGGCAGAATTTTCATGTTTGATGCGTGTATTACGCATCTGGTGGGTTTCTCGGAGGTCAGAGGGCCACATCCAGAGCCAGAGACAGGGTCCTGGGCCACATGCCACTCCACCGCGGTCCATGCCACTTCACGTCGATTTAATAAAGGAAATTCCTGGCTGCTTTTCACGAAAGTGTTCAAAGTAATTTGGAGCATGCCCGAAAATACCTGAGGGGCCGAATTCGTGGCCCTTGAATTTGGGAAAGAGACCGAAGAGGAGGAGGAGGATGCGGGCAGGAAAACTCCAGACTCTCCCTGTATAAGCAATTGATTAATGTGCGCCCAGAGCGGATTAGGTTTAATTTTTACATAGAGCCAGGGGTAGCGATGCGAGATGCGACAGCGATAGACGATTGCACATCCTTGGGGATTACTCTCTAGTTTAGGGCCTTTGTCTATCCTGTCCTGCCTATATACTATATAGATGAATTTGTATTTGTGTTTGGCAAATAATGCCAGCAGGATGAAGGGAGGGTGACTGTGATGTTGTCCTTACTATTAACATTCATTTGCTTAATATTTCGTGTGACACGTAGCACATATGGTGACCTCCTCCGGGCTCGTCTTCAGCCTCGTAAAAACCTATGGCTGGATATATACATAACATTTACTGGGTGTCAGGTGTACGTACATGGATGTTGATGTTGCCTTCCATTTTCCCCATTTCGGGCAGCAGGTTTTTAGGGTCACGACAGCCACCCATCCATGCCTTTGATTAAATAATGTTAATTTGAAAAAGGGAAAACAATTTGTAGACCTTCGTTTTGGGTTGCCCCGTTTTAAGGGTTTGAATTTAAAGTATTTGCCAGGGGATACTTTATATATAAAAACAAATGGAAAGTGAGAGATATCCATATCATATTGAATATTTCCCTTCTATATACAACCTCTCCTAAGTGTATTCCTTAGTTTACAGAAAGCTAAATAAATCCCCTGATACAGGTTATTTTTCAAAATTCATAAGTTTAAAGGTCTTAAGCCCCAATATATTTGTAAATATTTACATTTGAAGAGCGCTATGTTTTATCAATGCAATAAATATACATTCCATTTCCATTTAAATGGAAGTTTTATCAATTGAATTGCTGCCAGTGAATTTTATTAAAATCACCTTACTATTAAGTTTTCTCTCAAATATCAAAAGTATAAATCCTCGCCAATGAATGAAAACGTATATGGAAAGGGTTTCTATGAAACTAAATGATTATTTTATTTATTTTTCAGTGGCAAACGGGAAATCCCCAAACTCCATTCAACAGATTCGCCAGCCATTGCACTTTTATTTGTGTTCACAACTATCTGCATGGATATTTTTTATTTTGTGACAACAAACTGTTCTATCCTTCCCAATCCTATCTGTTCATTCGTCCCTGGTGATGCGCTTTGAACTTTAACCATTTTTCACATGGCAACTGCCTACCTAGACCCCGCGCACTTGTGGGGATTCTATTGTATTCCGTGTCCTGGCCCTTCGCCTGCCGGTTTTCAAACTGGAATTCGTTGTTTAAAAATTGTTGGGGCTTCCTTTTTTTTGTATTTTCTTTTGGGTAACATTGATGGCGAAGGCGCGGCACATTGCTCTTTTGTTTTTCCATCAAATATTTTTCATTCATCAAGTTTTCAATTTACAAAAATGCTCATTCATTCGCACGAGCAATTTGTATTCGGTGTGAATTTGTCATGTGTTGGCTGCTGCTGCAACTTATTGTTGTTTTTTCCCCGCTCCGAACCGCTTCCATTCCGTATTTTTTTGTCGCTCCCAAACCTCCTGTCCCGATTTCCATTCCCAATTTTTCCGCCACCGTGGCAGTGAGTTATCGCAATAGCTATATGTACATATAAATATATACATATGCATTGTCTAAACATACACAGTACAACCGCAATCGATGTATTCACATATCCTATATAAATATGTATTTTTACATTTATATAGCGAAATTCAGGGGCTTATCCTGACGGGGGGTACATTGGGGTGAAATTCGATTCTAATCTTATAAAATATAAATTTAAAAAGGACTTCAAAGATTTGTGCATTAATTTTAATAGGTTTATCTTTTGAAGTTGAAAAGTATTAGAACAATATTTCTATTTGAAAAGTTGCCAAAAGGAAATATTAGATTGAAGATCTATTTAAAAAATATCTAAAAAGATTTTAAAAACTTTCTAGAAAAGTATTTTAAGTTACATTTACATTATAATTTTTAAATACTCCTAAATATATTTTCCAATACTCTCTTCTGGACCCTGTTCCCAGGGTCCCTGACTTCCGGACCCTTATGATATAGTTCTGGGTTGTGGCTTAACGTTTGCATGATGTATTGGCACATGTTTGAAGCCAGTGGTTTTGCTGCTCATTCCATAAAAACCCACAAAGCAGACGCACAAATACAACACAAAATATACAGGAGAATATTTTCTATAGCATTATATACGCTTATGAATTATTGACGTAAATATTGAATGTGTATTTATGCGGTATTTTCTCTTTTTAAATATTCCAACTTCAACAAACTGATGATGAGCTCGCTGGGCCATTCATTGTTTATTGGATGTTGACAAATTGCTTGCATTTATTATATCACTTAAAGTACAAATACAATATATATAAATTTATATGAGATACTGTGAAATGAATTTAAACTTTATTTATTGTATGATAGGAATGCTCGTCGTTGGCCACTGATGATTGATCCACAGGGACAGGCAAACAAATGGATTAAGAACTATGAAAAGAACAACAAACTCTGTGTGATTCGTCTTAATCAGGCTGATTACACGCGGGTCATGGAGAATGCCATTCAATTTGGTCTGCCCGTTCTGTTGGAGAACATTGGCGAGGAGCTGGATCCATTTTAGAGTCGGTGCTGCTGAAACAACTATTTAAACAGGGCGGAGCCCTTTGCATCAAACTGGGCGACTCTGTCATTGAGTATAATCATAGCTTTAGGTGAGTAATAATTAGAATAATAGAAGCTAAGATTTATATTATTAATTTAATTACAGATTCTACATGACAACAAAATTGAGAAATCCGCATTATCTGCCCGAGGTGGCAGTCAAGGTAACCTTGTTGAATTTCATGATCACTACGCAGGGTTTGCAGGATCAATTGCTGGGCATAACCGTGGCTCGAGAACGTCCCGATTTGGAAGCGGAAAAGAATAATTTGATTGTCCAGGGAGCGGAGAATAAGCGGATGTTAAAGGAGACTGAAGATCAGATATTGGAAGTTCTGTCATCCGCTGAAAATATTCTAGAGGATGAGACGGCTGTACAGATATTGAGTTCGGCCAAGGCTTTGGCCAATGACATTAATGAGAAGCAGGTCATCACAGAGGCCACCGAAAAGCAGATAGATATCGCACGTTTGAGTTATGTTCCTATAGCCGAACACTCTACCATATTGTTCTTTACCATAGGTAAGGGATATCATTCAAATTAATTGATTGTTACTAAATCTAATCATTTTCCCTTAGTGGAGCTGGCCAACATCGATCCCATGTACCAGTACAGCTTGGTTTGGTTTGTCAACCTGTATATGTCATCCATAGATAATACGGAAAAGGTGGACGATATAGCGGCCCGGTTATTGGACTTGCGGAATCACTTCACCTACAGCCTGTACGTCAACATCTGTCGCAGCCTCTTCGAGCGTGTGAGTGCCCATTGAGTAAACCCAATTATAGTCAAATGCCGGTTCGCTGGTCAGTATGCGAGGTCCTTTGGCCTCGTTAGTACCGTAATTGCGCATAATCTGATAATGTGACATTTGAAGCGTGCTCAGCTCCTTTTGCGTTTCATTTGCTTTGTGGCTGAGCATCAAGTTTGCAGCTTGACTGGACTCGACTCCTCTCCACGACTTTTAAATAATATTTCCAGTATTTCAGCTTTGACTTGAATTCAAGGAACGATTAAGTTGATCCACCTCTTAACGGAAATCCACTGTGGAAACCAAAGATATATCTTTTAGGATATATTTGTAGGAAATTCACCTTTTTCACTTTACTATATTCATCACTTTTGTTTAATTTCAGCTTGAATTATAAACCTTTAGAATTCTTTTTATAATTTCCTTCAGTGATTAGATTGTCTCCATTTTTTGTTTCTCTGTGCATCTGCTCAAATTATATTACGTTGCGATTGCAATCAAAGGGATGCACCTAGCTACGGTTAAAAAAAAAGAGGAAATAATAATCCAAAGCTGGCTTTTGCTATTTTCAGTCAATTATGCCCTGGCCTTTGCACCCGTCCCTCTTCCTCAACTTTGCCCCCTGTGGCGTCCCTGAAATAAGCTAACCTTTGATCCCTCGCGTTTAATTTTCTTGTGTGCAACAGAAATAAAAAAAAGAGGAAAACTTGAGTATCAGAACATCAGCAACGTTGTTGTTCGTGGAAATGCTTTTGATTTCAGTTGGACAACCTTTCGTTGGAACCCATTTAATGCGAGAATGAGCCTCTGAGCCCTGACCCTTAATCTGGCCCCAATCCACATCCCATCACATTTGATCCCAATGTGAGATGTAAATGCACTAGGAGAAATGTCTTCAGTTTTGTATTCTTTACAAATATTTACCTATTAACTAATTTGAATTTATTGACTTGGAACTTCAGACTATCTCTTCTGGAGATTATCATTTAGTTACATTATTATTTAAATAATTTCTCATGATTATTTCAAGTGTAATGAAATGTTTTTGACCTTTGAACACACAGGATAAGCTGCTGTTTTCGCTCATATTGAACATCAACCTGATGAAGCATGAAAATAAGATAGACAACGGCGAATGGATGTTCCTGTTGACAGGAGGCATTGGTCTGGAGAATCCACACAAGAATCCCACCAGCTGGCTGGGCATCCAAAACTGGGACGAGCTCTGTCGTCTCACCAATTTGCCCAATTTTAAGGGTTTACGCGAGGACTTTGGTAACAATTCTGGCCAATGGAAGACATACTTTGATTCACGGACGCCTCATGATAATAACGATGTACCGCCCGCTTGGAAAAAGCGACTCTCCGTATTCCAGCAACTCTGCTTTACGTGTCTTCCGTCCGGATAAGTTGGTGCCGGCTGTGCTGAATTTTGTTGCCGGTGAACTGGGTGCTCGGTTTGTTGATCCACCACAGTTTGATTTGATGGCCTCGTTCGCTGACTCACACTGCTGTGTACCATTGATATTTATCCTGACCCCCGGCTCGGATCCCACGGCTACGCTTTTGAAGTTCGCCGAGGATCAGGGCTTTGGCACAAATCGATTATTCTCGCTGTCGTTGGGTCAGGGGCAGGGCCCCATTGCCATGAAGATGATCGACGAGGGCGTCAAGTTGGGCAACTGGGTGGTGCTTCAGAATTGTCATTTGGCGGCCAGTTTTATGCCATCGCTGGAGAAGGTCTGTGAGAACCTCTTGCCGGATTCCACGCATCCGGACTTCCGGCTGTGGCTTACCTCGTATCCGGCGGAACATTTCCCGGTTGTGGTGCTGCAGAATGGCATCAAGATGACCAACGAACCGCCCAAGGGTCTGCGCTCCAACATTCTCCGCTCGATGATCAGTGATCCGATCAGTGATCCCGAGTGGTACGAGTCCTGTACCAGCCCCGTATTTTCAAGCAGCTCATCTACTCGCTGTGCTTCTTCCATGCGGTCATACAGAGAGGCGATACTTTGGCCCAATCGGCTGGAATATTCCCTACGAGTTAACGAAACCGATCTCCGTATATCCCTGATGCAGCTGAGGATGTTCCTTAACCAATACGAGACTGTTAACTATGATGCTTTACGTTATTTGACTGGAGAATGTAATTACGGTGGACGTGTGACGGACGATTGGGATCGACGGACATTGAAAACTATTCTGAATCAGTATTATTGCCCGGAAATTATCGACCTGGAGAAGCCGCACTTCCTCGATGATTCCGGTCTGTACTATGTGCCCGTGTTCAAGGAAGTGGAGCTGTATTTGAACTACACGAGAGACCTGCCACAGATCTCGGCGCCAGCAATCTTTGGCTTCCATGCAAATGCGGATATAATGAGGGATCAAAAGGAAACGATATGTTGCTATCGCACACTCTGCTAACACAGGTGAGTACTGATCGAGTTTAGCTATCTTTACACTTTACAATTTATATTGAAAAATAATTGTAAGCTTTAAACATTGCCATATATAATTATTGCTTCTACATTTACTTGCTTTGCCATAAAAGGATCGTTGGGTAAGGCTTTAGTTTAGCTCTTCAGAAAATACATTAATTAATTATACATTTTTACCACACTCTAAAAAAGGACCTCTATGATCGACGCGTAAGTGCTGGCTAATAATTGTTTAGCATCCACACAGCTCCTTACATACATATTCTAATAATCTCCATTTTAATACACGCTGCTCTTAAGAAATTGGAAAAAACCCAAAGAGTCTATGTAGAAACGCTTAGTAGACGCTTTCCCGAAAACCTTTTCCTACCCACTTACCCAACCTGTCCCCCCTTCCTTGCTATGCACCAAATTCCTTGAAGGATACGAGTGCCACATCCGATGATAGCGGCGGTGCCAAGGCGTTGACCCCGAAGAGGTGGTGACCAATGTGGCCACCGATATTCTGGACAAGCTGCCCAAGCTGTTTGATCGGGATGCCGCCCTGCTCAAGTATCCCACTCTGTACATCAGAGCATGAACACGGTCCTGGTGCAGGAGATGGTGCGGTTTAATGTCCTGCTGAATACGATTCGAACCAGTCTGATCACATTGCGGAAGGGAATCAAGGGTAAGGGAATTTTTAACCTTTAATCACACACAAGATTAGTCACTAAATTTGAATACACTTTAATTTGTAATTAGATCATTTTTTTTTATCCAAGTCGCCCATATCGGATCTAAAAGCTTTCAACACCGAGGATCCTGCTCGTTTATAGTCAGTGTCAGAAAATGAATAGCTTGATTCTTGCATAGAGGAGACTTCATAACTTACGGTTTTGATATCCGAATCTGGGGCAAATGCTTGTGACTTGGACGGTTTTAAGTTAGGTGGTGATGTAGTTTTTGAATCGGTATCAGACATGTATTCCGATTCTCCTGATGTATTAAATGGTATTAGATTATTTATGGAAATCGCATCTTTATCTGGATTTTGCTCTGAATTTCTTTCCACGCCCGACGGCAGCATCACTCGATAGCCTCTACCCTTGAGTGACTTTAAGTCGGGTTCTTCGTTTACAAAAAGACTGCTCTTCATGCTGAATACTTCCTCGTTTGTTGGCTTTTTCCTCAGCGGAAAAAACATTACTTTCTTTAAGAACGTATCGGAATCGTTTATCTGCTCATCATCCTTGTAGTCATCCAAGTTCTTCAACTGCCCAGTGACATTGTCACCCTTGAATTTCCTCAACAAAGATAAAATATGCATTGAAACAAATTCCGATGGACGTTCCTGTGATTTCTTTTGTGTTGACGAGTCGCTGTCAGAACTATCGTCTTCGCGAATAGTGTCGGTCATTTGAATAACATTATGCGATTCGAACGCACGTAGTTTAATGAGGTCGCTGGGAGAGATGGGCGGCGGATTGAAAATGTTGGCGAATATATCATCAAAGAGATCGTTGCAGTTCTCCGCCACAATCCTTTCATTTTCCTCTTTCCAGCGCTGTCCGGGAACTGCCTGTCTTATGATCTTGCGATAATGGCACGGGCCTCGTTCCTGGGCGTCCTTTGAGGTCCTTCGGTTTCACTGTCCGAGGAGAATAGATAGAGATCATCGTCAATAAGGCGGCTAATCAAATCGTCTGTCAATGTAGTGGCTATGTCGAACGGATCCAATGTGTCCCACATCTTTGGAAAGATCACATCATCAATAATATGCTGTGCAATTAGGAAGTTCTCGAAACGCATCAGAGCCAATTCCATATCGGGTCAACCATGCTGTTGAGTAAATGTCGCAGGGGTTCATATGTTAGGGGGTTCTGGATCAGCTCGAAGCTGTTCAGCCATCGCGATATATCCTCATCAATTTGCTTAGCCAGCTCCTAACGGTCTCAGCAGCATCGCCCTCTGCCACATTGTACATATCCTTGCGAAGTATCTGACCATATACTCGTTCGTTATCTGATTGTTGACTATATTGCTCTGCTGGAACAGCTCCTCGTACATCATCCTCAGTTCGTTCTCCTTTTGCCTCAATCCTCCCTCGGCTGCCTCACGGCGCCAGCGCTCCTTCTGGGCCAAAATCGTAAAGAAGTGCAACTTGCGCTGTTCGGAGAGGCGGGTCATCTCCTCCGAGAGGAACTGCATCACCCAGCCAATGTAGGAGCCCTCGTATACGTTCAGCATAGCCTCCATTTCGTGTATTTGCCTTCGGCTTTCAACAGACGGAGCATATAGCTCGGAGCTATACCTTCGTAGCCGGGTGGTTTTTTCATCGGGCCTCTGACTTTCGGCGCTATCGGTTCATGCTTTTCGCTGTACTTATCGGTCTCGTAAAGGTCCTTGAGACAAGCAAGGATCAGTTGGGACGGTGTCCTTCACTTAAGGGCTGCCTTCGTTTCTTCAGGCACTTCGGTTCCTCCTTCTCCCTGGAGGCCAGGGTTCTGAGCGCCTTTAGGCTTTCATAGAGCTTCTTTAGATGGGCTTCATTGCAGAAGTTCTGCTCATACTCCCGACATATTCGTTGGGTTTGGACCAGTTCTTAAGCTTCCTGAATGGACATGTCATATTGGCATGTTCACACGCTTCTCCAGGTCATCGATCCTCATGTCAAACGCTTTCTGCCCGATTATCGATTGATAATTTCGACGTGCAGGATCAACGCCGTGCCTCATCGTCGGACCATAAAACTCGGAGCATGGGGTTCCGAGAGCCTGTATGGACCCTGTTTCTTCCACTTACGCGGGTCCTTGACAGTTGATCTCCAGACGTCGCATTCCCGCTGGAATTCGATCTCATTTTGCGCAATCCCGCCTGACGACGCTGCTCGATGGTCTCGCAGGCGGTCTCAATCCGTGACTTGGAGGCTTCGTGCATTTCCCTCTCCCGCTTGTCAAACATCTTGATCACAATGTTCAGGCGCAGCATCTGACACTCCTGGATATACTCCTCCCGCTCGATCCACTGTTGCCACTCGAATGCCTCCATAATAGCCTTGTATTTGGTGTTCAAAGCTAATTCCTTGGACTCCTTATTAAGCCTAGTCAAGTTTACCTCAACGCATCACTAAAGACCAACGTTTCCTGGCACGATCCAGCACCTCAATTTCGTAAAGTCCAGGGGGCTTATCACTGGGCAATACAGTTGGCAGGGAAAATAGCTCCAGGGTTTGAACTTTTTCTGCATTTGAAATCTTTGGCAAGTAGGGCATAGTCTGTGCAGAGGACTCCCTAAGGGGCAAGATATGGTAATTAAGCACAAATTTAAACAAACAAATTTTGCACTTAGTTTACCTATAAAGCGTTTGGGTATTTTGATCTTTAAAGGGTTTTCGATCTTCATATCTAGGAAAGAAATCGCATTTATGCTTCAATTCCTTTTTCATTTTAATGCTGGAACTCATCTTGACTTCGTGGGTATTGACCGTTGTGTCCGCTCCCCTGAGGAACGCATATCCGGGGGCATTAAACTGGCACTCGCTGTCAGTGCGAGGCATCTTTCCAACATCCCGTGTCGCTGGATTGTTGGCTCCTAGAAATATTTAGCATTCACTTCAATTCAATTTATAAAGTTTGAATTTAAGGACATACCGCCAGTTAAGCGTAGGTCCGGAGTGCTGGCACTTAAACATGATGATAGCTGATCCTGTCTAAGCTTCTCTTCCTTCTTTGTAATTGGGTCCTTGCCTCGCGGCTTGCAGAACGAGACACGTTTGTTACTGTTCAGGCGTTCTGGTGTCTCAAGAAAAATCGATGAATTCTCATTTCCGGTTTGTTTTTCTTATCTTTTTTGTTAGTTTGTATAAGGACATTATTTAATTATGTGGTGTATTATTATTGTTTGCTTTGTTCTGTAAGTGTTTCAGTGGACAAAATGAAAACTTATGACAAAATTAATTAAATTGTTTTAATTTTACGCAGGCTACTTTGATTAGTTTAGTAAATTTAGAAGACCATTTCACACTAGGTATTTTCTATATACCAAAGATGAAGTATATAATGTATAAAATGCGTGATCTTTATTCATTTGCTATAGCTCCATACCTTACGATATATAATTTTAGACAATATTGTTGTTAAGTACTATTAACATATTATCCTTTTACAGGATTGGTTGTAATGTCAGCCGCTGTGGAGGCCGTATACAAGTCTGTTCTGATAGCCAAGATACCTGCCATGTGGGCGGGAAAATCATATCCAAGTCTAAAGCCATTGGGCAGTTATATTACCGATTTTCTGCGACGCCTTGAGTTCCTACAGGTGAGCGAAATTTTGTATTGACTTTTCTCAACTTTGACGTATTAACATAATTACAGCATTGGTTTGATCATGGAGCTCCCTCGACCTTTTGGCTATCCGGTTTCTTCTTTACCCAAGCCTTCCTCACGGGAGCCCAGCAGAATTATGCTAGGAAGTACGTTATATCCATAGATTTGCTGGCCTTTGACTACGAGGTCCTGCAGCTAGAAGAAACCCAAATTAAGGGAGTGGCGGCACCAGAGGATGGGGTGTTCGTGTATGGCATCTTTCTGGAGGGTGCACGTTGGGATCGAACCGGCAAGTATCTGGCCGAATCCCGTCCTCGGGAACTGTTCGATACGATGCCATTGATCCATCTCAAGCCACTCAAGCGGGTTGATCTGCCCGAGCGTCATAATTACCTGTGTCCCATGTACAAGACAGCCGAGAGACGAGGTGTCCTGTCCACCACTGGGCACAGTACCAACTTCGTGGTCGCCATGCTGCTGTTGTGCAATCCCAACACACCGACCTCACATTGGATTATTCGTGGCACGGCTTTGCTGTGTCAGCTGAGTTTCTAATTGAATTGTGACATTACCCAACTGATTTGAGTGTATTTTTTAAAAATTATTGCGAGGCTAAAATAAATGTAGTCTGGGCAAAAAAAAAAGGAAGAAACCTTTAAGGAAAGTATATTTATTTTATTTTTTGTTCGGTATTCCAAGATAATGACAATAGCTTTGTTAAAAATATCTAGATCGAATTATCGGAAACTAAAGATCGTAGAGTGGTGTTTCGCATACTGTATCGGTTGACCTATCTGGTAATCCTCTATTTCATCTTCAGGCTCTTCAGGCTCTTTAGCTGCCTCAGGTTCTTTATTTTTTGTGGCTTCCGAAACTTTTTGCTCTGTTTTCTCTCCAACAATATTTGGTACTGGAGCTTTTGATACTGGACTATTTGGATGTGGAGATGCTACACTTACTGCCTCTAGGCTTTGCACATCCATATCCAAATCGGAATCGGGTTCAATCTGTTGAGAGGACGTAGTTGAATGGATGACGCCCGGAGAGTTTAGCTCATAACCAGCATCGCAAATATCTTCAATACTTGTAACTGGCGATACATCTATTTTGGGTTTTGCTGTCGAAGGTTTGATCTTCTTTTTTTGAAAACTATGCCTTCCAACAAATTTTTCTTTTTTAACCGAATTATCTGAATCAAAATTCATCAGCTCATCGGTCGCCAGCACCCCGGTAACATTGTCATCTTTGAACTTTTTAACCAAGCTTAGAACTTGGCCGCGCAAGAACTTGGCCCTTTGCATTGACTCATGCGATACCGTCCTCCTCATCTTTGGCTTATGTTGGCATACCTTGAACATGGCAACACTTGGACACACCACGATTAGGTCGGAGGGTAGGACCATTGGCGGATTCTCAGCTTTGTCCATAATCTCGTCGAATATGTCGTCGAACAGATCGTTGTAGGTTTCGGCTACAACCCTTTCCGTTTCCTCCATCCAGCGCTGGCCGGGCACCGCCTGTCGGATTAGCTTTCGTATGATGGCCTCGGCTTCGTACCAGGATCTCTTATGTGGAGTTTCGCTCTCGCTATCCGAGGAGAAGAGGAACAGATCGTTGTCAATGAGGCGATCAATAAAATCACTGGTCAAGGTAGAGACTACGTCGAACGGTTCAAGTATCTCCCACACCCTTCCGAAGATCACATCTTCCACAATGTACTGGGTAATCAGAACATTTTCTCCCCGTTTGATCACTGCCTCCACATCTGGACAAACCATGCCCTTCAGCATCTGCCGCAGTGGAACATAGGTGAGGGGATTCTGGACCATCTTAAAGCTATCGAGCCACCTGTTTATATCTTTATCAATTTGCTGCGCCATCTCGTTGACAGTCTTGGCAGCTGATTCACCCATTATATCATCTACGTCCCTCTCCATTATAGTATCGATATATTGCTGCGAGACATCCTGGACCCCGGAATGGGAACGCTGGAATATCTCCTCATACAGTATCCTCATGTCATTCTCCGTCTGCCTCATTCCCGCCTCGCTAGCCTCCCGTCTCAAACGTTCCCTGTGGGCCAGAATCGTGAAGAAGTGGAGCTTGCGCTGCGTCTTGAGTCTGCCCATTTCGTCGGAAAGGAATTGCATGATATTGCCAATATAGGTTCCTTCATAGGTATAAATTAGATGCTCTAGATCCTGTTGTCCCCTTGAGGTTGATTTCAATATTACAGGGTCCGCCTGCTTGGGTTTCTTTGGCTGAACTCTCGCTTCCTCAATCGGGTGAGAGATGCGAGTTTGAGAGTAACGAGCGTACTTCCTAGAATCAAACATTAAGCTAATGGAAGAGCTGCGCCTGCCTTCCGACCGTTTCAATCGTTTCTTCAGACACTTTGGATATATTTTGACGTCCGATTGCGTCCTAAGGTGTTTCAGGGACTCATAGAGCCTCTGGAGATTGCGGTCGTTGCAGAAGTTTTGCTCGTACTCCCTCACATACTCCTTGGGCTTGGACCACTCCCTTAGCTTGCTAAATGGACACTGCACCTTCTTCATGTTCACACGCTTCTCCAGGTCATCGATCCTCATGTCAAATGCTTTGCGTTCGGTTACCGATTGATAACTTCGACGTGCAGGATCAACGCCGTGCCTTATCAGGGGACCGTAGAATTCGGAGCACGGAGATCCCAGATCTTGCATGGGACTCGGCTTCTTCCACTTCCGCGGTATGTTGGCCATTTTGATATACAAGCGTCGCATTTCTCGCTGAAACTCACTCTCGTTTTTGCGCAGAGCCACCTGACGCCTCTTCTCGATACCTTCGCAGGCCTGTTCGATTCTAATCCTTGAGGCTGCATGCATTTCCTTCTCTCGCTTATCAAACATCTTAATTACGATCTGGAGACGTATCATCTGGCACTCCTGTATGTACTCCTCACGCTCGATCCACTGCTCCCATTCAAAGGCCTCGAGTAGGTTCTGAAATTTTGGTTTTATGGCGATACTTTTAGCCTCACTGATGAGCCTCTTTGAGGTTGTCTTAATGGCGTCTTGGAAAAGCCACCGCTTCCTGGCACGTTCTAAAATCTCAACTTCATGCAGTCCTGGTGGCTTTTCGCCCGGTATTAACTTGGCCAGAGAGAACAGCTCCAGGGTATCCGCATTTTCTTTGTTGCCGATTTCTGGTAAATAGGCCAAGGTCTGAGCAGAGGATTCCCTGGAAATATATTATAATTATATGGAGGAACTTCTTTCCCAAGAATTTCTTTGGTCATACCTATATAGCGTTTGTGTGGTCTGATCCTTAAAGGGACGATTGTCCACATATTTGGGAAAGAAATCGCACTTGTTCTTCAACTCCTTTCGAATAGGTTTCACGGGATTCAGTCTAATCTCATGAGTCGAATGTTCCAACTGTTGAGTTTTAAGAAAAGTGAGACCCGGTGCCTTAAAGTGGCATTCACTGTCTGTTCGCGGCAGATTTCCAACATTGCGAATGTTAGGATTATTTGCGCCTAATTTTACAACAATTTAAATAAATTCTTCTAAATTTATAATTTTTATAAGAACCTACCTCCTGTTATTCGCATATCGGACGACCTCCTGTTGAAAGACGAATTTCCTGAACTTTCGCTGCCTCTGCGGGATAAATTCTTTTCTATTGGAATATTTCCACCTAGAAAATAATTATATTTAGAGGATCTTAAGATATCAGAGCACTGTGTGGAAGGACTTACCACCGGCTGGAATCCTGGTATCTGAGGATTTGGTAATCAAGCATGAAGTTAGGCCCCTTCCAATGAGCCTCTCATTTTCCTTGACCCTTAACACCTCCCCAAGATTGCGCTGCTGCTTTCCCTGGTTGAATGTAACTCGTTTCTTCTGCCTTAAGGAGTTCTCATCTTTTTCTTGAACTTGAGGTGGAGTAACTAGTTGGTTTTCGTGAATAAACTTAGGATTCGTTCCCTCCGCAAAGCCTTATCCTTGCTGATGACATTTTTAAGCTATTCTTGTTGTTTAATTGTTGGTAATCGCGAATTAAGTTTTTCTTGTGCGTGTGTTTATTTAGTTATTTTATTTTAGTGTAATTTGTGTTCTCTGTTGTTATGTAAGTGGCTTACTGAGTTATTTGAATGAAATGACTTGCTGCCATCCAAGCTCAAGGAATTTCTGGTTGTGCAAAGCATTTGGGTTAGTAGTCAAGGAATTCCTTACTCCCCTGACAACCGTTCCGCTGCTAGGGAGAAATCAACTTGTTTGTTAGGCCAATCGATAAGCCTCAAGTCCCCTAAAGTAATTGCTATTACATTTTTTAGTTCACACGCAATGAGCGTGGAAAATAGAGCTGTAATAACTCTGAATGCAAAGCAGGAAATCGCTAAATTGTTATCTATCTAAGAAGACCAACCCAGATAATAACCCAAATTTCCAATAATAATTATTGTAAATTTATTCAATGTATATACAGGTAGTAAATGTATATAAAATGACCCAGTTAGTCATCGCTTGGTGGCGGTGAAGATAGAACAGACGCGAGGTCTTCATCTTGATTTGATGATTTACTCTTGGGAAGCTCTTGCACCGGATACTTATAGGCCTCCATGACGACATATCTGCATTCCTGATAGGGCTTACTCTTCTCCTCTTGTACTAAATCGCATAAACGATTCTTTTTCTTTACAAGACTTAACACTTGTGTAGCCAAATGGTGGCTCGATTCAGATTCAAATTGTTTTGGGTGTATTTGTAGAATGGTGGAATCCCTAGTCTGATCATTCTTAAGGTCTCGGTGTCCCGGTATGTCATGAAGTGGGGTAAGCTCAGAGGGTGGTGGTGGATTATCCGCTTTGAAAATGATTTCCACAAAAATGTCATCTAGCAAGTCGTTGTAGATTTCGTAAACGTTTCGCTCGGTCTCCTCCTTCCAACGTATTCCAGGTACCGACTGTCGAATGAGCTTCCGTATTAGGCATGTGCCTCGTACCAGGAGTTTTCTGCTCACTTTCGCTCTCGCTTTCCGAGGAGAAGAGGTACAGATCATTGTCAATGAGGCGATCAATAAATCACTGGTCAAGCAAGTGGACACGTCGAAAGGTTCGAGTTCCTCCCACACCCTTCCGAAGATCACATCTTCCACTATGTACTGGACAATTAGATTCGATTCGTGGCTCTTGAGCACTTCCTCTAGATTTGGAGAAATAATGTCTGCCATTAGCAGCCGCAGGGGAATATAGGTGAGGGGATTCTGGATCAGTTTAAAGCTATCCAGCCAGCGTTGGATATCCACATCAATTTGCTTGGCCATCTCGGTGACTGTATCGGCGGCTTCCACTCCAGCGATGCAGTCAATATCATCCGTCAGAATGGAGCTGATGTACTGATCGGTGACTTGGTTACTTATCCTAACCGAATTCTGGTAGATCTCCTCGTACAACATTCGAAATTCATTTTCCTTTTGCCTTAAACCAGACTCAAGTGCCTCCCGTTGCCAGCGCTCCTTCTGCGCCAGCAAACAGATGAATTGAAGGTTCCGCTGCTGCTGCATCCTTACCGTTTCCTCCCAGAGGAACTGCATCAAAAGACCAATTGCAGTGGCCTCGTAGCTGCTTATCATATTTTGCATGTCCTCGGCTTCTAGGTCCCTTAATATTATCATGGGCTTATCTTCAACATAAGCTTTAATTTTATGGAAGTCCGTCATTTTGGGTTTTGGCACCCCATAGGAATCATCTAGTTTCTCATAAAGATTGTCATAGACCATTTTATGTCCCAAAAATGAACTTCTTCCTTCGTCTGGAGCATACTTGAACTTTAGCTTGATGCACTTGGGATTTGTACGTTGCATTTCACCGGCTTGTCTTAAGAATTTCAACGAACTGTAAGGCCCTGCAAAGTCTTCTCATTGCAACTGTTCCTCTCAGCCTCGGCAAGCCTTGGCTTGGGCTGGGACAATTGGTGGAGTTTTCTGAATGGACACTTTAGGCTTCGAGCGATCACTTGCTTCTCCAGTTCATCGATTCGGTCGTCAAAGGTGCGCTGACCGGTAATGGAGCTGAAGTGGCGGCGAGCTGGATCCACTCCGTACCTAATTTGTGGGGCATAGAACTCGGAGCACTGCACTCCCAGGGCTTGAGTAGGTGTCTCCTTCTTCCATGTCCTTTGCATCTTGGTATTTAAGCGACGAATGCCCCTCTGGTAGGCGATTTCATTCTTTTTCAAAGCTTTCTGTCGTCGCTTCTCGATACACTCACAGGCCTTTTCTATGCGGGTCTTGGAGGCGGCATGCATTTCCCTCTCGCGCTTGTCAAACATCTTGATCAGGATCTGGAGACGCATCATCTGGCACTCCTGTATGTACTCCTCACGCTCGATCCACTTCTCCCATTCAAGGGCCTCTATTGCATCTTGTACTTTCCAACCTTAGATCCTTCTCCGAGAGTTGCAACCTCTTCGATTGACCTTCACAGCCTCGTAAAAGGCCCATCGCTTGCGGGAACGTCCAAGACCTCGACCTCATAGAGACCCGGTGGCTTATCGTTAGGCAATATGAGGGCAGGACAAAAAGCTCTCGGGGATCTGGTCCTTCGGCATAAGGTGTGGTAAATAAGCTAAAGTCTGGGCCGAGGATTCCCTAAGTAATTAACTTTTTAAGGGGGTTTTTTAAAAGCAGATGCATAGTTGATCTCACCTATACAGTGTCTGTGTAATTGATCCTTAAAGGGTGAGTCTGCAACATATTTGGGAAAGAAGTCACATTTGTTCTTTAATTCCTTGCGAATCGGTTGTTCAGGTTTCAAAACCACAACTTGTTCGGTCAAATTTGTATTCCGTTTTGCAAGAAACTTAAAACCAGGCGCTTGAAACTGACATTCGCTATCTGTTCGAGGCACTTTTCCCGGTGGTTTTCGTATAGTCGGATCATTCTCTCCTGGAAACATAACGAGGAATATATGAACAAAAAGTTAATATTATATTCCACCTGATTAACCCACCGGCAGCTAAACGAGGATCCCTAGAGGGTGTTGTAATCAAACATGATGATAGATCTGCCTTCTTGGGACTGGCACTGGATTTGAGTTTATTTGAAATCTTTACAGGTTCAGTTGCTTTGGACTCTCGGTTCTCCAAAATGAATTTCAAAATTCGCTCCTTTCTCTCCTTGGCGCAGTTTTAGTTTGTTTTTTACGTTTTCCCATGTTAATATTATCAGTTATAGTAAGATTATGTCTTATTAATTGTTTAAAATATATATTTGTCCGGCCTACTATATGACGAGTAGTTAACAATCTGTCTGTCAATTAATTTTATAATTTATTAATTATTTATCTAAATGGTTATTTTGGTATCCATTATGATTGATATAATTTTTCGTTCGTTTTTTATTAAAAACATGACCCCTTAATGGGTTTTTTGGCTCATCAATATCAATTTGAGTCATTGAAATGGTCAACATTAAACCGGCAAATCCCGAAATCTCGGGGCAATATATAAAATACCTTAAATGGGGTTGACTTTCCCACCACCCCGAACACCACCCACTCGGGCCTCGGCCCCAGCACGTTAATCATTTATTATCCGACATGTCTGTGATTATTTGCTTTTTGTCTTGACTCGGCGGCCATATTTCATTTTCTTCTCAAGCTTTAAATTTTTTAAGTCATTGAAGATGTTTCTTGTGAACTTCCCGGGACTCCCTGCTAACTAATTTTATGTAATAATTTATGAGTAAAGTTTACTCCCAACGGGGGGATTTGGGGGGTGGGTATTTCGATAAGAAGTGTTTTTGACGATTAAGCGCAACACTCGAGCAAGTTGTGGGGCGTAAATTGTTGTTTTTCATTCCCAGCTCGAGGGTTTTAAACATTAAGAGTTCTTTTGTGGGCAATTTAATGCCAAAGTTTTCGCACAAAGCCAAACGCAGAACAAAAGGCAGGAGCAGTTTTTCGGTGGTTTTCGGTCTTGAAAAACTTGACCCATTTTGACAGCTTCACAGATTGCCAACTTTTAATTGGCATCAATTTTTATCAACTCCGGAAGAGAGCGCTTTTCTCAACGGTTCCCGATTGAGGGGACTCATATTCGTGCTAAGCAGGCACATTAATTATCGCCTAAAGGCCTCCTCCAATCCCCCCTCCAGTACACTTTCCCATTAATTACCTTTACTAAGCATTTCCCCATTTATCAGACTCGACTCGTCATCCTCCCGATTGCTCCTGGTTCCTCTAGCTAGCTTGCATAAGGTATGAAAATGGGTTCACAGCGCTTTCCTGTTGCCTGCGTGACCCCATCAAAATAATGATGCTAATTAGGCAACAATGTTTTTGTCGAATGTTTAACCGATTAGAGCGAGTACAAAATTTATCCTAGGCAAATCCTAGGAAATCAAGATCCTTGAAGGTATTTTTTTTACAATGGTAAATGGCTTGGCGAAAAGAAATCCTTTAACTTTAAGATGGTGGTAAAATCTATAATTAATCGTTAAATTAGGTATTTATTTTTGTATTTGCACTTTCCTTTTTGTTAAGTTAATATTAAATATATATTGTAAAATATTTTATATTTTAAATAGAAAAAGAAATTATTATAGGAACTACAAGGTTTTTATCATTTTTCTGGAGCTTATGTTTTATTTTACTTTAGGAATACCCATAAGGGAGTATTTATACCTATTTTATATATAGTAGCTTTTTTAATATATGAAAAGCTTTGTTTAATTGAATAATAAGCATGTACAGATTATAAAAATAGTATTTAATTCTACGAACTACAATATTCAAATTAATATAATAGAAATAAATTATACTTTTCATTTAATCTTCATACGAAAAATGAATACAATACAATAATATATAAAACAAATATGTTTAACTTTTGTTATTTATTTTCCTATGTTAACATTTAATTCCCCCTAATATTAGTAATATATAAAACAAATAAAATATATTTGTTACTATTAGTTGTCAATTAATCCAATAAAAAATATATATAATGTATAAAAATTTATATTACAAAAAAATTACTTTCTTATTAAAACGATTTTTTATATGCCTTTTTAAACAGAAATGCTGGAAAACATTGATGTATCGATTATTGTATCAAAATTTCTTCCCTCCCTAGTCTACAGACATAGTTCAATTGCACGACAGCGACTGTAATGTTTATTATTGCGCTTTGCTTTTATTGTTGGAATACAATAAAGTCGGTTAAGTTTACCGACAACTCGTTTTCGGTGCGCAGTTAGTCAGAGTTCAGCATTTGCGAGAGCACAGCACAATGTCCAACGTGGAGCTTAAAGAGTTGCTAAACAGTTGGGGATTTGGACATATATTTCCACTCTTGTTGTGTAAGTACATAAATAACTATATATAAAATATATTTATATTGTTTTAGCATATTGTAAAAATATAATTTTATTAAATTCATTTGTGTTAATGTTTAATCACAAGCAAACCAGTTCTGGCGTTCTCTTTTATTCTCTCTTACAAAAATTAAAAAAGCTTTCTTCATGCGGCTGGTTTTATCTTGCGCTCTCTGCAGTACTCTAACTGTTGCTTACTGCCTTTTGTTATTGCGCTCGCTTTAACTTTCTCTTATACATATATTTTTGTACATACATATATGTACGAGTAAAAGCTCGGTGTGTTCAACAGCAAATAATACAAATAACAACCGTGATCAACAGCTGATGACTAAAACTAAGAACATAAATCTACAATATTTTAAACTATTTGTAATTAAATTTCTTATTACTTAAGTAATTATTAAAATTATAAGATAATTATTATTGTATAATTAAACATACAAATTATTCATTTTTAATTATTTTTTAGCTGAGGATATTACCTTGAAAAGATTGCGATTCTTAACCGAAATCGACTTGACATTTCTTTTTCGACATTTGAAATTAGGCGAAAAAATTGAATTTCGATTTCATTTAAACGAATGGAAACGCAAAGAAGTAAGGAATGAACTATTTATGATTTTAAATATTTAATTCTCTTGTTATTAATTTAGGGTTATGCAAGTAGCACCCAAATTGAAAGGGATTTAGATGATCATGTTCATCATCATCATGTTGAGCCCATACAACCAAGCACTTCTTCCTCGTCAACTTCAAATAAAATAAACCAACATCCAAACTTTTTGTAAGTGCTTAACTAATTTATTAACAGAAAAGTTGTATATTCATTTGTTTTATTTATTTTTTGTAATTTAGGATATTTTACTCACGCTACGAGACCATCCGGCTGGCAACTATGTTAAACGAATTCTTAAAGAACAAAGTAGCATGAATGATACATCGAGAAAAATTCTGATTGAAGCCATTGTTACACATATGGTTAAAAATAAAATAAAGCCTGGCAAACTGATTTCGATAGGATAGCCCATGAAATAGAAAGACAATTCAAAGATGACAAGGTATTTAGCTTTATTTATATATTGTTTATTTTGTATAATAATCACTGGATTTTAGAGAATTTATTATAATTGTATTGGATTAAGGCCCAGCGGAAGACTCTATGATAAGTATTACAATACGCTGAAAAAACTTAAGAAATACGGTGGAGTTTTTGATACATCTTCTTCGGGGAAAGTTGTAGAAAGCACTGAAGAAAAGATATCGAATGAAAAAGGTTAGTTTTGTAATAACCAATAATTATTAAATAATTCATATTTTTAATAGCTATTCAGGCCCAAGAATGGCTTAAATCTAATAACGAACCCTGGTCTGTGGTCGAGGAGAAATGGCGTTTGTGCTATAAATTGCGAAGGGACGATATAGTTAACATGGATGATCGAAAACTCTCAATTCTTGGCTTTTAACTCAATGGAGTTTATATTCCCATTTTTGGGACATCTTTTGGTAAGCATATCATTATTATTATATTTACATAATATTTAATCATTTTTTTCAGGTTGAGATAGATTTATAATGTTATATCCCGAATGCCCGCCATTAATGAGTAAATGGGATTTATTCAGGGAGAAAATAACGCCCATATTGAATGAAAAATTAACAGATTCAGTTAATTTACTTACTTGGAGGAAATTAACGCAAACACTGAAGGTTTGTAAAGGTCATATAAATACATTTTGCCATAAATATATATTTCTTTTATGAATAGGTTCCGATCAAACTTTGGCAATGTTACTTCATGTCCTTCTCGTGTCTATGCGAAAACCTAATGTCAAGACCACGGTAAAGGACTCGCACATTTCATTTATGATTCAAGCTACATCATATTGCAAAGCAGAAAAGCAATTAGAAATGCTAAAAACTAAAATGTACAATAGTGGCGAGTCTCTGAAACCCATTGTAGTTGCAATTGGTGGAAATTTTGATTGTACCAAGTTCTATGTGTATTTTGATGATATTAAATATTCTGCGCCTGACTTCCTCACAGCATTCGATATAAGCTTTAAGATATTTCATGTTTTAAATCTTAAGTATCCAGCTGAAAGTTTTGATTTTTTGATGTTTATACAGAAATATTTTTATGACATTCATTTGGAAACGGACAATGTATCACCTAACATATTATGTTTAATAGTGACCTACAGTAAGCATTTTGTTTTGTGTTAAATATTATTATCTATGCTTAAAGTAACTACGAGTTATGTTAATGTAAACTTAATCATATAATAAATAATGTACATTTTACCAATACAATGTGCAAAAATATAATTAGTTTCTATAGAAATAAAAGCTGTATATTTATTAATTAATACTCTTTGGTTCATTAAACTTTCAAGAGATTTAAATTAAAGTTATTTTCTTAGATATCTCCCTTGTGTGCTGTTCTCCGCTGGCTGAAGCTTTTCTATTTTCATTTTCCAAATAATGCGTATTTATGAGTAAACAATGAAATTATATTTACTTTCGCTTTGTCAATATTTGCATGCAATTAATTTTCCGAAGCTCCGGAAGAGCCCAGCCAGCATAACCATGACGAGCGGTGAAAAACAAAATCAAACGAAGCATGGAGCGAGGGCAAAGTGCCGTAACGTGTGCAGGGGACCAGGAACCTTACTTTCCCGGATCCGGATCGGAAAAAAACCCAACCAAGTTTTACGGGGGAGGGTTGGGTTTGGGTTTTGGGGTCTGCGTCCGGGTCTGCCGCAATTTACTTTAAAAGTATTGCTAACGAAGGAATCGAAGACGAGTGGCTTGGTCTTTGTTGCCACTGTTATTATTGTATCTGCCGTTGATGATGGGCGATGATAACGAGATGCTCCGCTCCGGAGTTTGCCAAGTTCCTGGCGTTTCCTTTTGGCGCATCGCATCGTATCCTTTGTGGCCGGGGTTCCAGGAAAGTTCTGGCTAATGCCAGCCGCCTTTCTCCTTGAAAACTTCGTTTTGCATGCTTTGGACTTTTTTAATTAAATCTTTGAGCAGAAGACAAATAGAATTGGCCAAAGTGCGGCTGAATATTGGGGAAACGTCGGCAGAAAACCAACCAACCACTAAGCAATCTCCTTCCCAAAAATGGAGTCATTAAACTACATCAAACTCGTTTCGTTTAATGGCCGGCCCCGTTTAAATTTTCAGGCCTCGTCGAGAATAACAACATGAAAAGGGATCTCTCTGCCTTTGGCTTGTCTTGATTTTATGTTTATCAAAAAATTTTCAGGCACTTAAATTAATTTATAGCTCAGTGAACTGCCCCCTGAAATAGCTAAATATCATTGTATTGACAAAGGGAGCAGAAAAATTTAATCAAATTTGCTAGGGAATTTCTGAGTCAAGCGAAAGATAATTATATGTTTATTAGGATCCTTTACAGCATATTGATTGGAATTTTCATTTTCTTGTCGCTTGTTTAAATTTAAGCAAGGTTTCTTTGTAATTTTGTTACTTTTTCCAGGCTACACCCCTGCTTATGGCTGAATTAATGTCCTAAGCGCAAAAAATTGTAAATCAATATTTATTGTAATGTGCGTTGCTTGTAAGAGATGCTCTAAGGATAATGGATGCTTCGATTTTGGAAGATAATATGTATTTCGAAGAATAAGATTACATATTAACTTAAACATTCTTTTTGAGAAGTTCCAAAGAATAATTAAGAATTTTGAAGGTCTATTTCGATTTGAATTAAATATATTAAGCCTAGCTTAATTAAAGCTTCATATATATAATGTTCACGGGTTTAACTATCTTATTTTAAAGCTTAAATTTTAACCACTTGTTATTATTTGTATTATTTTTTTAGGGTATACAATTTGGTGCTAAACTTTTGAGTTACTTTTGTTTTTCTATTCCCCTCTGTTGTGGTTTTTCTGGCAGTTTTCCCTTTTGTGTGTGTTGTGTGCCTTTGCCTTTCGCGCTTATGTCGTAAAATTTATGACACGAAATGTTTTTGGGTTTTTGGCATTACTTTCGGACGGTTTATCTGCGGCCATGTAGCACTCAGCAAGGTAGGCGGCTCGTTAGGCGTGGCATGTGGTTTTTCCGGCCAGTTTCTGGCTACCCTTCTTGCTCTCGATATGGGACAAGCATAAAAAACAGCGACCATATTTATTTATATATATATATAAACATTTTTAGATTTATGCACAGAAATTTGCATTTTTTTTTGTTATGCTTCTGCTGTGAATTGTGTGTTTGGGTTAGAAAGGGATTGGGTTTTGCGGATTTTCCATAGATTCTCCGGCGGAGCGAGGGCGCCATTTATCAACTAGTTCGCTTCGGAGGCAACTTTTCGGGGGCCAAAACCAATCTAACCATAACCAACCAACCAGCCATAACCAAAGCCCAGCCAAGTGCATGCAGGGTTCGCTATCCTTAATCCCAACCCAACCCAGGCCAACCCAGGCCATCCCAGTCTCCTTCTGGCATCATGGAGAAACTATTCTCGCATTCGGAGCGCACATCTTGAGTTTGTTGAATGCCCGGATCGCGTTGGGTGTCTTCTGTTGGTATTGGTATGGTTTTTGTACGTAGTTTTTAGACACGTCCCACAACCCACATTTCCACATCTCCACAGCTCCAGCTCCAGCTCCTGCTCCAGCTTTCATCCCACCGGATGGTTAGAAACCGCATAAATTGCTTTAGCACCAAAGGGATTTGTGTCGAAATCAGACCAAAACAGACCAGCTCAAAGACAAGGGGCCTTCACTCCATTTAATCTGGCTGTGTCTATAAGAAATAGAAGGAGTCTATATGGATTTATGATGGAGCAGGGATATATTACTTCCCTGAGGTTTGACTAAGTTTAGAGTTGATAAATGGAGTTTCTTTTCATATATAATAGTAAATAAAGTAAAATGAATTTACTTTTGTGTTTCGTAAAATCTGGTAAAGGTTCTATTAAAAGGAGATTATAATAACAAGTTAAGTAACGGCCATATATGTTAATTCTTCATGATTTATGGCAGTTTAGTCTATGGGAAATATATCTTTAGGAAGGTTATCTCAAATTGCAAATTATTTATTTCAGTTTCTCCTAAGTTAAATAATATTCTTTACAAGAAATATATTATATCTTAAGTAATGTATTAAAATACATTACCTTGACACTTCTTATCTTATTAATCTTTAAAAATGAATCTGAAGTGAAAACATAAAAATTTCCTTTAATTTGCCAACTCATTCAAGTTCATTAGAAATGTATGAGACCCAAGTTAATGGCATTGGCCAAAAAAAGGGAATACAAGTCAGAGTTTTGCCTTAATTTCAAGCATTTGTGTTGCTGCTACTCCAGCCTGAAAGTTTTTCTACTTCAATGAGCCGGCAGGAGCAGCACATATCCTGGCATATGTGTTTTCAGGACACACATGAACATATATACACAGATGTGTGTGTATATATATATAAAGAGAGAGAGGGTCTTGTGGCCATATTACGCTCTAGCAAATCAGCTTACAACTTAAATTGAGGCACTTTCGTTTAGCTTCACTTTGCATGGTCGCTCCTTTTGCCGAATATCCTTGAGTGGTTTTGGAGGCTTTTTCAAGGAGCAGGCGAAATACGAAATTACCGGAGGGAGGGGTGGATAAGCAAAGGAACTGCCCGCAGGATGCGGAGTTGAAAGGAAGCAAACAAAACCGCCGTCGGTGGCACAATTTAGTTCCTCAGGGAAATGCTAAAGTTTTCCCCAGTTGTTGTTGTTGTTGCATTATTGCTTTTATTTTTTCTTTCCCTTTTCTTTTTTTTTGTGTGAACGAGGAAAACTTTTCACTTGCTCTATTTACCAGGATATGCCTTTCCATGTGTGCGTGTGTGTGTGTGTAAAAGTATTAGAAATAAATCAAGGGATTTTTGGGATTTCGGCTTTTTGCTTCACTTCGTTACGTTTCGATTCGTTCATTGCTTTTTCCTTTGCCGCTTTTCAGGGCTTTTCCTGTGTATGAGTGTGTGTGTGTGGCGGCTCAGCTCAGGTTTTTCCCAGCGGGGTATTAGTTTGGAAAATTGTTTAGTCTGCCGCAGGCCTAAGCAACAACTTGTTGTGGTTTTGGTTGCGGTCAAAGCTGTTGTACAAATACAATGCAATTACAGAAGCTTCATATTTGTATTTAGGGAAAATTATATATTTTTCACAATAAGAGGATAATTGTAGAATGTAGGAAATTATTGATTTCATAGAATTAGAGTCTCAAGAACTTACACAACACATTTTTCTTGGAAGAGTATAAAAACTAGGGAACAAAAATACAACTCTGAGAAAAGCAGCATGAAAATTCAACTATTCTTTGACTATTTTATTAATACAACTAACTTTTATTTAACAGAGTTTTATTACACCCAAAAGGAAACTAATTTGAAGGAGCATCGATGCATTATACTAATTACTAGCTGGAATCAGAAAGAGAGCCAAACGCTGGCATTATCAATTCGGATTCATTTAAAACGAACCGAATCTGATTTCGGTGCTTAGTGTTAATTAATGCAACATTCGCCTGCGAGCTCTGGCTCCTGGCTAATCAACCGAAAAGCAAACAGAACCGAACAGATCCTGCGATGCTGTGCATTATTGATAATTTGCTGTGTGTCAAGCCATGTTTAATTAGCGAGTGTGTGGAGGGGAATGTAATGATGGGACATGTCTTTGATGTTTCGTGGCATTGCGACGGGTATGTCCTTTGGCAAATGTGGTTAATTAAATGTATTCACATATTGGCAAGAGTATTTCAAGCAATCTCCTCCTTGCTGTATCCTCCGCTGTAAGTGAACAGGAAAATTACGTTTCCAAATCGAGCAACAAGCGAAATATACATATTAAAAAGCATCAATTTATGAAATGAATGAAAAACAATTTCATTTGAAAGAAAATAATTGCAGAGGACACATTTCCTGCGCTTTGAAGTGGAAAATTCGTTGCCAAAAGAGTTTAAATGGAAATTGTGGAAAATTTCACAATGGATTTCCTGACAGCCCCGCCTCCGTCTCGCCGCCCCACATCCAATTATGATTACTTGCCCGAAGGGCGTGGTCACTGTACATGTGTGCATGAAATTGAAAACTAATTCGTGGAAATATTTAGCCCAGATGGACACTAGTTAGGGGGAGGGGTGTGCAAATTAATTAGTTGGTAATTAAATCCGTGCCAGAGCCAAAG